CTGACAATGTTTGAGTCTTTCCAAAACCAACAAGCGCACAATCTCGCCAACTTTGCACAGCACTTGGCTGAGCGTGGAGGCAGAAATCAGACTGAACCTGAAGCAGCAGCAGAAAAAGTGTTTGGTACTCTTGTTTAAGTCTTCACATGATTATATCTTCACTTAAGGAAAAATTCAGCAAACAGGAGTCTGGGATTTTAAAGGTTTCCTTAAAGCGATAGAGTATGAAGGATGGTTTTGAGCGGACTGAAGGCCAAAAAAGACAGAATTAGGAGTTGTCAGAGTGGCTTAAGACGGATTTACAAAAATCTGTGACTTCTGTGCAGTTTTTTAGTTTTTTTTTTAAATGATTTTCTGCGAATTTCCTTGTAGAAATTTTGAACCCAACATAAAAGTTCAAACTGCCGATGATAACAGTATTATTTTATCTGACAGAAATGATCTAGATTAGATTGCGGAGAAAACTAGCGGGTTTCTTACCGCTCCAGAACAGCAGCCAGATCAAATACGCAAGCTTTATAATCAATGTGCGTGATTCCACACAATGCGTCCGCCGGTCCGGCCCCGCTGCGGATCCGCTTCGGCAGTCGGATTAGATACGCAAGGCTTCTATTTTTGCCAGACAAGTCAATACATTGAACTGTTCATGTGATAATAGGAGGTGCCAGGGTTGAAGGATTTAGATGTTGATATTCACTATCGATCTCATTCAATGTCTCACAGTGAAACACGCAAGATCTTGTAAGATCTCGTCCAGTCTTGCGAGAAATATCGCTAATATCGCAAGCTCTTCTCCTCCGCTTGCAGCAGCGAATCAGATCTTGTGGGTGCTCTATGCTTGCTTTTTTGATCAGCCTGCCATTGCTGATCGAAGCGTAGTGGATCTGCATGCGGTGGAATCCTAGCGTTAGCTCTGTAAATTTGATAATTTTTGTTTACCAACACAATGACTATAAAGCGTTTTCTATGTGTCTTCTATCGATCTTTAACACTCTGCAAAAAAAAAAATCTAATTTATGTTGTTTTATCATTTTTTATTGTTGAAAATGTTTTTTATTTAAAAACTGATGTCAAAAAGCATCGCTGGCCTGGCAATCTTAGTGCATGCCGGACTCGATTCCAGCTTGCAGCTTTTTCCTTATACACCTTTAACCTGCTCCGTCTGCTGTCCCATCGTTTAAATAAAACCTCAATTTATTCATACTTCATTCTTTCAGGACTAAATGTGTTGCGTCCAAAAAACTCTGCAAATCAAAGTGGTTGTCGGTGAAAGTGAAGGGCTGGAAAACTTTCACCTGTCCGAGTATTAAAGTCAAACGTCTTTCCGGTATCAAAGCTGTAAATGTACAAGATTTACTCAAGCACCCTCATCCCAGAGGACGTTTCATCTCCACATCCGTCTCCGTCTGCTCCTCCAGGTCGAAGAGCGGCCTACCGTTTTGTACAGACAGAGCTCCGGTAGCACCGGGTTGGATTGCCTTATTACAGGTCTATCTCCTCTCAACAGTCACTACCGATCCAAGTCATTAGGCAGCGGAGTGCCTGCTTGAGAGCGCACTGAGGCAGAAAGATAGAGGGAGGGCGGGGAGGTGAAGAAGAGGGGAGACAGGGAGGAAAGGTTGATAAAAATAAAAAAAAGGAGGTGGAGATGAACCAATGGCTTCCTGACGTTTTAGCCAGGAGAGAGCGTGAAAGAGGGGAGAGGAGGAGAGAAGACAAAAATATGAGGATTAATGAAGGAAACAAAGAGGCCAAATCTGCTGCCAGGCAATAAAGAGACACAAAGACCCAAAAATGAAGTGACAAAAGAAGAAAATATAAAAGAAAAGAAAGAAGTGGTGATTTTAAGCAAAGAGAGGAAGAGTCAGGAGCTACTGGAGGAAAGTACAGTCATGCATATGCAGAGTGGAGTAAAAGGGAGAGAGGAAGTAGTACTCACAGTTTACTCCAGTGTGGGTGTAGTCGTCCCCCCTGAGGTGGAGAGTGTAGTTCAGTAGAGTAGATCAGCTGCTCTCTTGGTCACAGAAGGAGTTTCAGTGACGGAAACACTGTGAAATTAGCAACAGCTGAGCAGCGTTTCGCCAACATTTGCCTGTTTGATTTGAATCTCGTTCTGAAATCAATTATGATTATGTATCAGGAATAATTTAGAAGTGACACCGATAGGAAAGAGATTCTTGTGCAACTTTCTTTGACAGGAAGAAACCTTGAGCAGGACCAGACTTATGTTAGACAGTCATCTGCCAAGACTGAAGTGAAACAGTGACGGACAGATGGGCAGAAAGATCAACAAGGTCGTGATAAACACTTTCTTCTTTTTTTGACCCTGAAACTTTCGGGACATTTTCAGGAGTTTTGTGCAGCTGCAGTCGACCGAAAACAAACAGCAGAGGTTGGAGAATCAACATCTCCAGTGTGAGTGTTTTGTCTAAAAGTGTTGTTTAGTCACTTCTGGTTCGGTCTTGTGCTCTGGATTTCTTTGTTTCCTTTGAGCTGCTGACAGAGCTTCACGGCTCTTTCGAGGATCATGTCTCCAGCCGTGTCCATCTGCACATTTTCAGGGTGTCGTGTGTTTCCCTGTCATCACTTCTGCCTCATGTCCTTCACTGCTTTTTCATTTCATGTTCATTTTTTTTCCTCCCTCCGTCCATCAGATTTAAAGAAATCAAACCCTGTGATTGTAAACCGCTCTCCCTGCCAGCTCACACCCTCTCGGAGGGACGCGGCTGAATGGAAAATGCTTGTCCTGTACTGCTGTGTGCAGAGAATAGTAACAGCTTTGACAGCACTCAGTCAGAGGTCAGGAAAGGGACTGACAGCGTAACATTTGTAGCTCTGACTCAAAGGACCGGATGACTCCTGCAAACATCAGCTTTCCTCATCAACAAAGTGACATAAAGGTGAGAGGAACCGGCAGCGTTTGTGCGACTGTCGAGAAACTGACAACAGCAAAAATATCTCCCTCTCTTTATTTATTTTCTTAAATCTTTTTGTCATAACATTTATAACAGATTTATATATATTTAGTTTATGCTCTGGCCTTTGACTGTCTATCTAAAAACAAATAATCCTCCATGGTCACAGCATATCTACAGCTGTTATTGTATTAAACTCATTTTAGTCCCGGTCTGCTAGAAATACTTGATTCTGATTGGTCAAAACCCCATAAAAAAACATTTTAAATCAATCCATTTGACTTCTGCTTGTTGACACTGTGGCAAAAATCTCATCCTGAGGAGCAACAGAAACCAGATCATCTCTGATCAAGCAATCCTGTCCTGCAATCTGTGCAAGGATGCTGACTAATGCTGCATTCCAGTTACCTCGGATGTCAGAGCTGGGAATGATGTTACACCCGAGTTGACGCTGTTCCAGTAAACAAGTCGAAAAACCAAGGTGGGCGCCTACTGTTAGTCGTATTTAGCCGTTGTCAGCTGTTGTTAACAATTGTCAGTTGTAGTTGGCTGTTGTCAGCTGTTGTTCGCCCTTGTCAGCTGTTAGTTGTTGTTAGCTATTCCAGTTCTAAACAACGCGCAACACAGTATATTACAAACACCATAGCACCGTGTTCACAGTTAGACATTGGGCAGTACAACATATGTCACTTATTTAATTTAACAAAAACAAAACAGAAGTGCTAATAGATAAAACATTATGAGAGCTTTCACTGTTACTCTTTACTGTTGATGCACTGTGCTGCCATCCTGGGTTATGACATTGTCGTCAAGTCGGGGTTGGTGACTTCAGGGGGGCATTCCAGATGAATGTTTGACCTGGAGCTCAGAAATCCAGACTTCTGAGTACAACTGGAATGCAGCATAAGACCAGAAAGAGAGAGAGAGACCACATTCTATCAGCTTTCAGGTGTCTGCATTGGCTTCTAGTGTCTTTTAGAATTAATTTTAAGTTTCTTTCATCGGTTTTTGAAATCCTTTATGGTCTTGCATTCACCAACTTATTTATTAGATTACCTCTATGAGCCTGTGTGAGCCCTCAAGTATTCAGTGTTAGTTGTGAGTGGTCTTTTATCAGTGCCAAAAGTCAAAGAAAGACCCATGATGAGGCAGCTTTTTATTGTTATTGTTCATAACATACTGATTATACAGATTTGTATTCTGCTCTTATACTGTTTTATTATTTTTCCTATTATTTTTCTCCTTTAATACAATTTATTTGAACATGAACAACAATTCAACTAGGTACAAATTAAAGACATAAACACATAAAAACATAAAAAAAAAAAAAAGAGTCAAATAATTTTGTTATTTGCGTGTTCAAAATGGAGTGAGAGGAAATCGAAACTTGTGTAGTCCCACCCCCTCACCTTAGACGAATCATCAATAATTCGTTAAACATAATAATCAATAAGTGTTGTATTTTCTTAATCTGCTTTTTTCTAATTTTAACATTTTAATTGTTCCATTTGCATAATCTCCCGCTCACTATACATAACCCCTTCCATATCTTAGGTGAATTAATACAGGTAATGAGTTTCAATACCGTCCATATTAAAGGATTTCCAGGAATCAAATGAGAGCAGAGAGTAAATACAGCTGTGTCTGCTCTTCTCATGGCTCCGAGGCAAAGGTCTCATGAATGATTCAGTCTGCTTCATGCATCTATAACATCATCCTCTCCTGAAGAGCCCTGACCCGCAGGTCTCTGGAGCTTTCCCTGATAGGTGTGTCTCTCAATTCAAACACATTTTCTGGTCGAGAGGTTCCTGAACTGAAGCGGCTCCGCGGCCGTGACGCCAGGATCCAGATAAAAAAGGGAAATAGTTGAAATAGCGTTTTTTTTTCATTTTCCTGAATAAATATGCATCAGTTAACTCTCTTTAGCTTCAGATAAATGAAACTATTACACTATGAAGCTGCCTAATGTGGTAACAGAGCTTCTGAAACAGTAAATCCAACAGTAATATTCTGTTAAAGAGACAGGTATAAGCTTATGTTAAAGAGTCTGAGCCAAAACAAAAACAAGAGTCACACCAACAGGAGTATCGGCATTTTTAGAGTCTTTTATTCTTGTTTTGAAAAAGACAATGACAGACTTTTACAGACGATGAATGAATCTAAAATCAGACAGAAATCAGGGCGAATCTTTACAGCAGATAACAAACAGGAGGATCTTTTTGCAGAGATGTTGGCTTTTTCATGAAATTACAATCCTTACTGTGTTTCAAATCTTTTAATTGATGTGAAATTCAGAGTATGAGGCTAGGACAGAAGCAGGTTGTGATTTATAGAAGAAACCGTTCCTCCCAGACGACCTCGCGGCTAAATTTAATCATTTCTTTTTGTGTTTCTGTGTGAAGCGGCGTCATTTACGGAGCTTTAATTTCACTGCACCTGCACCAGCTGAATGAGATTGAGGCCAGAGTGACTCACTGAAAATAACACGTTAGACGCAGATGACTGTTTTGCTAACAATAAACGGCCCTTGTGTTGTGTTAAACGTGGAGAAAAAAAGGAGCCGAATGAAAATGACTGCTGTCAGGTGAAAGACGACTTTTATTGCTCTGTGTTAGAATAGGAAAAGGCGTCTATTATTGAACATGAAGATCATTTAAAAACCTATTTAAAGGCCGCCTAACCATCTGGAAAAGGGTTTGATCTGACAGAAGAGATTTACAGCGTAATAAACAATGCCTGAAAAAGAGGAATAAAAAAAGTTTTCTACACAATACTTCATCTAAATGTTGTAGCTTCAGTCAGAGGTGCCTCCGAAATAAAAACCAGTAGCTAAGACACGTACGGCTTCAAATAGAACAAACACTTTAAACACTTTATTGCGCTAACATTCATGATTTAGATTTAACTGTTCTCTCGTTGAGGTCTAGGAAGCAGACACCTTCTCTACTTTAGAGTTAGATTAAAACTAGGTGTGTCCCGATATTGTAGCCTTTGATTCGCAATTGGCACTTAATTGTTCATGACAAGTTTTTCACTACTTGGTTTGTAGCTTAGTACACACTGATGTTGTGATTTTGTTGGCTCAGCTTGCTGGATGCGGTCACTGATAGGTGTGCTAGAGCGGAGTCTGGTGTGGACTGCTTGTATGGAGTGCTGATATTGGAGATTTTAGATGTAGGCCGATATATTCCGATATTCTTTTTTTTTCCAATATCAATTTTGTATCTGTACACCCCTAGTAAGAGCTTGCACAGGCTTACCCGGAAATCTACCGCATCCGGAATGGCTGCTGTATGCCAATTCCTACCGGGTCCGTTTGTGAGGGGATTATGGACAGCAGGAGTTGCGAGAACCTGGAAAAAATACAACTCTTGTGATTAGCTGTGGAATCCAGCGTTCCGCAGTGGAACGGAACGAAGCCGGTGTATATTCAAATTGACTTGAATGGTTACGGCCTTTTCGTAGCCATTCTGGATGCGGTGGAAATTGCCGGTTAGACCAGGCCCCCGTTACGCTGCTACAGACCTAGACTTCCTTTGCACCTTGCATGCTTTCTCAGGAGTCTCTAAGCTCCTTTGTCTGCACAGTCCTGCAGATTGGCCTTTTGTTTTGGACCTCTCTTTCTGCTTCTCCTCATTTCCCTCCATGTCTGGTTCTCCTTGAGGTTTCTGCCTCAAAACATGGAGCAACACTGAAGCTTTAAACTCTTTGAGTGACAATAAAAAGCTCGGCTGCCCGCCAGAATTCGAGTGCATAGATTTCCAGAGTACAACAAGCTGGAGGTGGTTGATCTCATCGCATGAACCCGCAAAAACATTCAGTACCTACTAAAAGGAAATAAGAAAAACCCTTACTGAAAAGGTTTAAAAGAAGTTTGAAATGAGTGATATTTGAGAATATTAAGGATACTACCAGGAGAGATTGAGATTGAAGCACTAGATGTTCCAGTCAGGCTTGTATGCAGATGGAGTAGCATCTAGAATAAGTGCTCACTAATTCAGGCTTCATTTGTTTACGTCCAAAAGGCTTAAAAACGAGATCTAAAGATGTTTGGTTGTTAAAAGAGAAACTTTCAGAGGCCAGACTTAAGAACTAAAGTGAATTTGGATCCTGATGAACAAAGACTCGACTGAACCTGACGATGAGCCGTTGCTCTGTAACCCTTTAATAAGGAGTCACTTGTAATTACGGGCTTCAATCGGCCCTTTCTTTTCTCCTCTCTGAGGGTTTTTCTTCAGTCAATCTGAGTTATTGATTGTCCAAAGCGAGACCATTATCTCAGGTCAGTGTTCATGACCCCCTGGTGACTTTAGTCCAGCAGCTCTGATCCTTAATATCGTCCTGAACGTCGGCTCAGCCTCAGAGTCTTTTCATCAATGTTGATATAATTCTGTTTACCAACAATTCTGATTTATTTTGTGCTGGGAGGAAAAAATTGAGTTATAATTGACACTGTAGACATCTAAAATTAACAGAAAGGTGTTTATTTTTTTAATTAATGAAAAAATATGAAAAAAAAAAACAATTACAAAATGAGTTATTAGAGTGTTTAAATGATGAAAACGATCGTTCTATAGTTGCAGCTCAAGCGAACAATAAGCAGAAGCGAAAGGTCTGAGCGCATCTTTGCAAACGCTACAATAACAACAACAACAAAAAAATGATTTTACTTAAAGTTTTATCAAGTTGCAACTTCAATTAGTTTTGTAAATTTACGATTGGGGTGAGGGAGAATAAGTTTGAGTGGATAAGGATGAAGCAGCAAACACCAGATAAATCAATCAATCGTGATTTTTTTTTTGGAAATTCCTGCAAAGACAAAAATTCACTGATGAGTTTTCCCAAGAGTCCCTCAGCCCTAATCACGCCGGCTAACAAGAAAGCTTTTACACAATCGCCGCCATGTTTTATGAAGATAATAGGAACTGCTTTGTTTGGCATCAATCACACACCTCTCTGATCAAAATCAAGCGACAAACTGAGGGCAGAATGAGTCATTAAAGGGCGAAAAAGATGCAAAAACACCAAAGATCATTTCTCCACATCACCTGCGTCTAATCTAAGGTGTCGGGCTCGGCGTCCATGCAGGTCTCCCAGGGGTTACGCGGCATGTGGGGCATGGAGATGAGGAGCAGGGCGGCCCCGCTGAGGATGAGGAGGGTGAAGGAGGCGCAGGCGCAGGTAAAAGACCAGGAGTAGTAGTATTCGATCCAGATGGTCTCGTCGCTGTCGATCATACGTTTCACAGACTGCCGCATTACCTCCACGGAAATGATGATGCAAAGGCCTGCGCGCCAAAAACAGACAGAAAAGCAGATGCTTCGCTCAGAGTCCTGGTGATTGTGTTGACACAACAGTTTCATCATATTTACGACGTTCACAGCGTGTTCGGATTTTATACTTTTTTTAGTCTGCTTTGAGTCTGTGACAGTAAATGTGAAGGTGTGCGCTCGTCGTGATAAATCCATTATCTCCAAATTACTGCAATTACAGTCATCCTGATTGTTTGTAGGGTATTATTTCCACTGACCTCAGAGATCTGAACTTTAAAATGATTTGCATAAATAGTGTTTGTCGCAGAAATAGCAGTTATGTGTGATGATTACACAGATTCTGAGTTAAGGTGCCATACTGTAGTGACAGTAGCGCCGCATCGAGCCTGACCTGTGATTCACATTATCCGACATTTCTGACCTGCAAAAGCGAAGAACATCCCAGCAGGCCGCAGCAGGTAGTCGCGGCCCTTCCCGAAGGAGAAGATGACGCAGAGCGTGCCCAGGATCATGAAGAAGAGGCTGAAGATGGCGATGGCTGCTGCCGAGATGTTGTACTCTGAATAAAGAGACAGAAGGATTAAAACTGAGGAGGCAGAAAACTCAAGTTTTTGTCACCTCATTTATGGTCTTACTGCACACACTGGGTCCACTGTGAAGACTTTATAAGCAGCTGATCTGAGGATGCTTTAACTCTGTAAATTGGTTTTAGGGCTGTGCAATAAACTGAAAATTTACAGATACCAAAATTTACGACAATAACTGACGTCACTTTGCCCATATCGGTGTATTCAGTGTCAAAAAAATTAATGAATAAAAGTTGGTTTTGGATCTGTGTAGGTAGGCTACGGTCTCATGTCCCTTTAAGACGCTGTCCTACGTCAGAGAGGTCAGAGATTCCACCCCATCCAGTCTGTAACAAAGAGAGAAAGACTCGTGATGGGCACGGCAGTTTCTTTTGATGTACTGAATCACTAGAATCTGTTCACTAAAAAGATTCGTTCAAAAGATTTGTTCACCGTATCACCAAACTATTCAGCGTTTGGTGGGAGGAGCCTGCGACTCTGACCTCCTGAATTGATACTCAGCTGAAAGGTTCAGGATTCAGTTCAATTCATAGTTTCTGGGACCGGGAGACAAGAGTGTTTGTCTGTGTATTTCTTTGGCAAACAGGTTTGCAAAAATGAACTTGTTTATAAATCATGATCAGGGTTTTTCCTGCGTTCAAAATTGCGTGGCGGCCGCCTCCACCTAATTTTGTGCCGCCCCCAGCCAGAGCGATTGATTTCGCTCAACACAGCGTAAAGCTCCAGCTGTGTTGATTGAGCGATTGATGTCCCTCTGCAGCAGCAACGTATTCTAACTGCAGTTGCAGCGTTGCGCCACTGTAGAGGCGCTATATCAACAGCAGTGCACCGGAAAGACCTGAAGCATCTACCGAAGAAGAAACGGATCGACTCATGTTTTTTCAAGTTTTTTTCCCGTTAGTTGGTGCTATCGGCGTCCTGATTTTCCCTGGCGGATGGTACAAACAGGTAAATACTGCTTGTCTTTTTTGCATCCAAGCATGTCGTGTTTATTAAAACAAAAAGTTTCCTCCGTTTTTTAGCGTTGCAGATATGACAGGCAAAATCAGCCAGTACTTTAGAAAGCGACCTCGCGAGGAGGAAAGTCAAGAGTCCAGGTGAAACACAGCAGAGAAAAAACGGGCAGTTAAATGCTATATTTCATGGTGGTGTAAACGTGGAAATTTGTGTCAGGTCTGAAAGTACTTCACAAGGGACTGGTGATCGCGAGGGTAAGAATGCAGGACAGGACGAGTCGGCGAGGCGAGGGTAATTAATTAATTAGTTTCCAATTAGGAGCATAACAACGCAAAACCAACGTGTACGTGGTTTTTATTCCTCTTTCTATAACTTCTCAAAAACACAGAGCCAGTGGCTTTGACAAGCAGTGGCTCAATCAATTTACCTGGCTCAGGCATACTGAGGAGGGTATGCACTGCTATTTATGCCAAAAGCACTGTGCCCCAACACAGCAGGCAATTGCTGCCTCCTAAGTGAGACAGCCATCAACCAACTACAGGCTGGACACATTAAAAAGACATGAGGTGACAGCCATTCACAAAGCAGCAGAAGAGAAGGAGAAGTATATTAAAGATGGTAGTACCTAAAAAAAAACTCAACTAATAAAGTTACAAAAACTAAAATAACATAGTTTAGATAGTTTAAGAAATAATTGGTTGTTGTTCTTTTTTGGGAGGACACTCCAGCGTATACATATAAATAATATATGATTGAAAACACTATCACTCTTCATGTCTGTATCAGAATAAAAACAAAAATACTTAATGCATGATGAATTGTGTTTTTTAAGATGAAGACACCTCTGCGGAACAGACTGAAGGAGAGGCACTTGGATGTCTGTTGTAAGGTGGCCGTTGATGGACCAGACCAGGAGGCCTTGGACTACAAGGAGTGCATGAAGAGGTTCTACAGAATGAAAAAGAGGAGGCTGAAATGTTCTGTCTGGTTGCGAGATGTGTGGATGAAGTGTACTTTCAATTTAAAGTTGCCAGCTGATTTGTGTATGTATATAGATTTAATAAATGAATGCTTTAACATGATAATGGTCACACTCTTTTTTGAACTCTTAACTTAAAGTATGTTGCCTGTAAAAGAAAGTGAGTCAGTTGAATTTACAAATACATGCACGTCATGGCGCATGGTCAGGATGGTGCCACCTCTGCCTCAATTTGAGCCAGGAAAAACCCTGATGATGTTTTAAGTTTACTGTCTTCAACCTCAGCTCAACTGAAGTGAGAAACGAACGAACGAATCACTTGAGGAAGTGATTCAGTTCAGAACGTTCACCTAAAAGATTCGATTCTTTTGAACGAATCGTTCACGAATGACACAACTCTAGGAAAAACAGGTGAGGAGATGGAGGACGGTTCAAAAGTTGTAACGGCGGCTGAATTAGATAAAGTTAATGTGGGAGGGGGTGAGCAGCTTGTGGAGTAGTTATCGTGGTGAACTGATCAATATATTGGGAAATTGATTTGACGCCATATCGCCCAGCCCTAGTTGGTTATATGGTTTTGAGATCATTAACTCCTTCTTGTGCAGTTGCAGGACTGTCAAGAAGAACAAAACAGTGACTTCACCATCATACAGAAGCAGCTGCATGGTCTCCAATTTGATTTAAGAGCACAACAGTAATCTCTGCTCTGTTAACACTCTGACATGGAAAAATGAAGCTTGTTGGATGCTACTGAACCACTTGAGAATAACAGCCGATCTCCCCAAAAAGCAGCATTTGTACACATATGCACTTAAGCTGTATAAAAATTTGCTTTCCAACATTCATACAAGTAATAAAGAGTGATTAAATACGCACAATTATAACAGAGTAAAGTGACTTGTAGTAGTGAAGTTTGTGACCTGATAGACAAATGCAATAACTGGGATGTAGTGAGTGATGCTTGCGAGGATTAAAAACTGGTAGCACGCGTAGGAAGAGAAGTGGAGGTTGCCGTATTGTTTACATGATAATCGTCTCAATGTTGTTCTCAGGCGAGTCATGACAAAGATAATTAGCCTTTAAATTAGCCTCACTTAAAATGAGAATAAAAAAACAACAACCAGCATTTATCCAAACTGGCAATAACACCATAAGGATGACAGAGAAGATGCTGCAGGCTCATAACAGGATGATTACACTCTCCCTCTCTCTCTCTCTCTCTCTGACTGTTAGATGGAGATAATGTAGCTTCCTCTTTCTCACTAATAGTCGACTGTGATGAAAATTATCCTCTGAGCTTTTTTTCTTTTTTTTTTCATTTTAGCAGCCTGACTGTCGAGAGCACGAGGTGTAAATTAACTCGCTCTGCCTCGTCTGCGTGAGGATGTTTGTATGTAGATTTTTGTTTTGCGTCGCAGTGATTTGATTCTAACACGCTCTGTGCATGCAGATGGAGAACACGTTATGTTAATCTGCAGAGCATCTTGAAGTCGGTTAACTCCAGACAATAACGAAAGAAGTAGGTTAATGACATTTGGAGGTGGTGTGGCATCATGGGAGTAGTGCTGATAAAAATCCAGCCCCGAAATCTCCTGGAAGAGAAATCATGAAGGATTCAAGTCGTTTTCCCTCGATTTTGTTGAACAACACCAGACATAGTGTTCCCATATATGCATCCTCCATTGTGAGTATTTATCAAAAAATTAATACTTCTTATGTTTAAATTAGACGGTAATTGGTGTGTGTCAAATGAAAGCTGTAAAGCGTTTTTGAAGAGTCTCCAGCTGATAATTAAATAAACCTAAACTAATATTGTTGCTCTTTTATGAGACACAGGAGCAAAGATTGATTATTTCCTTGTAGTTATTTTCATGTTTCCTGCCATAATGGACTTTTTTCCAAAGAAGAGTTTCTTTTTAACTTTTTTGGGGCTTTTTTTTGGGCCTTATTATTATAAAGGTCTGCAGAGACGAGAGAAAGCATGCACCAAAGGGTCGGTACCGGGAGTGCGCACTTTAACTGCAGAGCCAAACCAGCGTCCTCACAGCAGGGTTTCTCATTAAGAAATATATTTCAGTGTTTCAAGGGAGCAGAATGAGAGTTTGAGCCCTCAGCTCCAAAATCATCTCAAAATTTAAAACCCATCTTCTCGTCCGGGGAAGAAAATAATCCATGCCCTCATCTCTGCCTGGCTTGATAACTCCGGATCAGCCTGTCATCTCTGTCCAAAAGATTTCTGACTGACTCCAGCAAGAGGGAACATGTTCGGCTTATTCACTGGCTGCCATTAGTCTGCAGGATTCACCTTAAAGTTGCATTGTTCGTGTTTAAAGTCCTACTCCGATCTTTTTTTTTTTTTTAAGTGTTCTCTCAGTGGTCTTTAAATTGTGATTATGAAGTTTTTAGCCGAAATCATGTTACCTGTGTCATTTTCAAGGACTTTTCTTCTGCAGAGCTCCAAAAGCTCATTAGCATTTTGCCTTTAAGCCGTAAGCAGAGACAACGCTGCTCTGCATACTCCTCTTTATGCTAGCTTGTAGTCTAACATTGCCGGTGTAGTAGAAGAAGTAGGTAACATAAGAGGTCTTCAGCTCTCGGACACTAATGTCTTTGGGGACATGATGAAAGTTGATATCATAATTAGCTTTCTTACGAGAATTGCAATCCGCTAATACATACGCTTGTTCTGCAATCGTCCTCTCATTTTTTTGAGTCTGGCCTGTATAGCAGGGCCTTGGGGGCGGAGCTTGGATTTGTGATGTAGGAAATCTCACTCTGTCTAAACCTGCCGTTTGGGTCTGCCAGAGGTTCGTAGAGGTTCATTCGATTTGAATATAGAAATACTCAGAAGTGTAATTTTGCACTTATTTTTTTTCATATGTCCTGTCGCATCAGAAAAATGCCATATGAACATGTAGACAACAAGAAAAACATGATTTTCATCAGAGTGGATCTTTAAATCCCTGAAAGGCCTGGGCCATCTCCATAAAACTGACATCCTCTGCCTTTTTTGAGTAATCCATCACTCAGACTTAATCTGAGAAGTGACCATGACCTCTAACTGTTGCACGTCACACTAATTTCAGTACTATTTTGACACTTTGCTAACTAATAATGAGCTGGAAAACTATAGGGGACCTAAGATTGACCCCTGTGGGACTCCAAAACAAACATCCATGCAAAAAGGTGCAGAATATGTGCTTATTTAGATACTGTATCTGACCTTCTCGAGTACGCATGTGGGCTTTTTTCTTCCGGGTATGACTAAATATCTGAATTTTTGTCTGTGTGCCCGCAAGCTGATAAGGTTCACAATCAAACACAAGAAGAGAAGAGCAGCTTCCTGGAAATACATTCACTTTGAGTTTAACAGCCTTCCTGAAGCAGAGAAGATGAGAAGATGAAATCAGAGGATACCGGAGCAGGTTTCCTCTCCTCTGATCTGAAGGGCAGTGTGCATGTAGCTGAGTTCGTGTTTGTGTTTCAGCATTTGTTTGCTACACTAGAAAAAAATCTGGCATGCATTAGCATTTATTTTTTAATCCTGTTGCAAATTAGCCGTGTATGAAGCGAATGTGTGGGAAACCTGGTGGACGTGTTTGTGCAGCTTACACCTACCTTTCTGGGTCTTGACTTCAAAAACTTCAGCTTCTTCCCCTGAGGTGAAGTGTTTGAAGTAGGAGCAGTTTTTTGCTGCACAGAACGACAGAAAGAGAGGGAGAGAAAGAGAGAGAGAGAGAGAGAGAAAAGAGAGAGAGAGTCGAAACAGGAAAATGAAACATGAGGGGGAGAGAGCAGGTGACTCAGGTGGTATCTGTAGCTCTCTGGGAGACTGAATTACTCATCAATGAATCTGTAAATCTCTCTGTGGATCACATTAAAATGCAAAAAGATAAACAAACGTTAAAAAGGGAGTTTAGAAAAACAGAACAGTTCTAACTACGTTTATTTTATCTCGCTGTGAGGCTTTTAAAAAAGTTATTTGACATTTATTTATTACCGTCAGTATAAAAGAGCGAAAGATGTAAAAGATCAGGTCTTTTTATTGTACACTCGATAGTCGAAATGTCAAGAGAAAGTTGACAGTTTCTGTTTGTTATAGACACACTGTTTCCATGTCTCAACTCTCCTACCCTCTCATCACTGCTTAGATGTTGCATGCAAAAATGATCGCAGACATTTGAAGGATTTTATAAACTTCCCGGACAAAGCCGGACTGCCCCCAAAAAAGAGGACATGTCCAGGTTAAAGAGGACGTATGGTCACCCTAACCCAGGATTTCCACTAGCCTGGCTGGGCCATCCTGTTGCGTGAATCACTTGATGTTCCTTCCCACCACAGTCTGGACTTCGGCCCATAGAGAGCGTGTATTCCCGATCAGAATAAATCAAAGATGAAAGTCGGCAGAAATCGTAAACGAATTTCGTGGCGGATGTGGTGGAAAGTGGGGGTAACCTAGGAACAATACGAGTGGTTGCACAGTTGTTTTAAGAAGTTTTAAGAAGTTCACAGAAGTACAGAGATTGGAAACTCCTCAGAGACACTTTTTTATAAAGAGTCAGGACTCAAACAAGTGTTTTTTATTCATTTTCTACCTCTTGATCAGACGTACACTCTGCTGCTCTGTGACTGAAATCCTCCATGTTTTCTCTCACACCCATTTCTCCACAACAATGAAACATTTCTGCATTTCACTCCTTTGACCGCAATCTACAACGAAGCCCAAACAATTCAGGGAGCAGTCATTGCCCACACATCCATCACTCTGTTTGTTGTCTCTCTAAGGACGGCCGGGGGGGGGGGGGGGGGGGTAGTGGAGGGGAGGGGGTTAAGGCCAAGCGAGCGTCCCCTCTTTCCTCCTCCATCGAACAACCCTCCTCACTGTGATTAAACCCATAAAACAGACAGCTTCTCCCTCTCTGTCCACACAAAGACGGACAATGTTTGGGTGCCGGAGTCTGCGTGTGTGTGTGTGTGTGTGTGTTTATATGTACGATGTGTGAGTATGTGTGCACCAGGCAACAGAGGAGCTGTTTGTTACCCAGGATGAGAAAGAATCACTAAAGAGGTAACCTAGCAACAGGCTGCTGCAGGTCTCGGCTAGTCCTATCTGTTTACCCATGTACAGGCAAATCAAGAGGAATGCATGTGAGAGCATGTACATGCATACGTGTGTGTGCAGGGATTGACAGGCTGCAGGAAGGTGGGGTGGGTGGGGAGATCTCCGTGCAGCCTGGATCTGTAAATATATTATTTTCATTAGTCTCTTCTCATTAGGTGCACTCACCTCTGGGGCTAAGCTAATCAAAGCTAATGTGTATTTCTCCAGCTGCTGAAGACAATTATCCGCCCAGCACACAAAGACGGAGCGGAGAGACCTTTTGAAAGAGGGCGGCTTCAAAAAGAGCGTCCGTATCTGCTCGATATCGATGAAACGAAGAGGATAAAACAAGAGCAGGCCGGAGGAAGTTACTGTTGCTTCACCTGCCAAGGTTTCAGGCTGAGCACAGCACTGGAGTGGTTTACAGAACAGCTGAGACAGATATAGTCAGGGTCAAATATCAAAATTTTCAATACAGATTTTTGTACCTTTTGACAGGAGCAAAATAAAGTTGTATGTACTTTTTATTTTATTTTACCTAAAACTGTCGGTTAAATGATACTACAAAACATCTCTAGTTTCTTTTTTATTTGCAGAGTTTGTATGATGTGAGTTGAATCCCCCAGTTGTGGAGCTGTGGTTGTATTACACCAGTAGATGGCGGTACATAAGGTCACATGTCTGTGTTTCCACGATAGACTGTAGGGCTGGGATGATATGCTTTTCCCTCAATTCGATTCTTTTACGATTTTTTGGATGCCGATTCGATTTAAATTGCGATTCTATGATTTTGTCATTTTCCTTGGTTTTTAGTCTACATTTTTAAAACCAGTGAAACAGTTGAATGATTGTGATTGTCTACTTACTATTGAGCAAAGGTAAAAATTTTAGAGCTCCCCCTGGTGGCGGGCTGCACTTTAGTCCTTCATTGTAACAGATGGAACATGGGTCAAACTATAAATATTAAAATACATGTCTTAAACATAATTTCTGTTAAAATAGTTCTTATAAATGATAATTTAAGGTTGTGACGGTTGACCTCTGTTGACCTGCAGTATTTTCACACTCGTGATATCATGACTTTTCTACGCCTTTAATCTTATAATATTGTGATTGTCACGAGCTAGAGTCGAATAACGAAAAAAGGAAAAATGATTTACTAAAAAGAACGAAATAAAAAGCAACATCCAAACCAAAGAAACCACCAGGAAACGAAGGATTCACGGATAAAAGATGATGGGGAACAGGCTGACATGCACACACATCAACATACAATGAACCAACCAGGACAGAGGAGAAGACAGGGACTATATACACACTGGGAAATGAGCAACAGGTGAGGCAGACGAGACACAGGTGAAGGAGGGAAAACTAGGGAAGTAAAACAAGGAATCAGCTACTACAAAATAAAACAGGAAACACTGAAAACTGATCTAAAGAATAAAACACAGAGTAGAGGAGGGAAACAGGGTCAAAGATAAACTGAAAACTCACAAGACAGGACTACAGGGGAACAGGAACACTAAGGGAAAAATACACAAATCAAAATTCAGCGGAAACAGTTTTATCCCACAGAGTTTCAACTCCAGCTCCGTCACATTAAAACAGTTCAAGTCTCTGAAAGTGTGGCATCAGCTCTGAAGACAAACTCGCCATGTTTAGTTTTTGGCAGAGCTTGACAATCGCTGGAAACATTTCCCAGAAAATGTTTCCAGGCGAGGCCGACACGTTCTCTGGGCACAATGGACCGCCGAACACGATGTCAGCCAGCTTACATCTGCAGCAGCCTCCCGCCAGGAGAGAGGAGGAGAGACCGATTCAGATCGACTTTAACCCGCTCTGAATTTGGGACCGGGTCGCCAAGATTGTTTAGAAAAACTTCTGGGCCTGTTCGTCGTAAATGGATCCTAAAATCGTATTTTATTGTTCTGGGTCTGTACGATACAAACAACAAAATGAGCGAGAGAATCCAAATGGCAGAAACGACTCACATCACTCCAGAGAAACAAAGCTCTTCTTTCAGAGCCGTGATTCATCAGAATTCAACCACCTCACAGTCCTTCTTGTCACCGTCTCAGTTTCTCCGCTGTGAAGTTGAACCCAGACGTTTTACACCTCTCAAAGTGAAATCTGGTTTTTCTTCTAACTTTGGTGGACGTTCACGGCGAAGAAGGACATGTGGGTGAGCGTAATCGACCTTGCAGTCTAGTTAATGGGCAGATTTCGTTCCGGGGGGGTGGAGTGATTAGGACGAGGTATCGCCTGTCATTTTAGTTTTGCCTCTTTCCATTAAACTCCGCCGCCACCTCCACGCTTTGATACGCCGCCTCGACTTTTGCCCTCTTCCTCCCTCTCAAGTCTTTCCGCCTGTCCATCGTCTTCCACGTCACATCTTTCTCTTCGGTAACTTTTGTTCCTCCCCTCGCCGTCTTTACCTAAACTAACCATGCATACACTTTTGCGATAACAAAAAGGTTTTTTTAGGTGAAGGCTGTTCTTTTTCTAGCAGAGTGACCGACTAATTCTGGGTCAATGTGAATAGGATGGGTGGTGGTGGTGGGAGGTGGATCTCTATTCCACCAGGAGCTCTGATAACTGGGACACATCAGCACAGGAGAGGCCCCACAGCCCGGTCCTGCATGTGTGTGTTTATTAAAATGAAATCAAAACATTAATGAGTTTGATTGGCGCCATCTTAGTCCACACACTCTCCAATCTTTCCTCCCAATCTGTCAGCGATCGCAGTCGTCGTCTTTGAATGTGTGTTTTCTTTTTAGATTTACATAATGTGGAGTGATTCATTCAGATTTTGAACTTGTTTTCTGAATACTAAATCAGCCACACACCTCCACAGCGTCGACTCTGCGACCAAAGCGAGGGCCTGGCAGACAGGAGAGAATCATTCTCAGTGTCTAGAAAGTGAAATCGGTGGCTCAAGGTGCTTTTTAAGGTTATGAATTTGGACGAACAGAACAGGAATAATGTCAGTAAAAGCTACAGAAGAGGAGGAGGATTTATTTTGAAAGTGTGAGTGATCTCCAAAAACAGAGAATATGCTTCTTGACCGTTTGGATCCTTAAAAAAACATCCCTCAGATTTAACTCCTCTCTCGGTCTTTTCTGCACACGTGCACTCAGCAGCAGCAGCAGCAGCAGCAGGAGCATCATTTAAGTGCTTTATTTCCCAGCCGAGCAGCACAATGTGATTCTCGAAGGGTGCGCTTGATTTTTACAGCACTCAAGCTGTCATGCGTCATTTTGTGGGAAGCCAATTTCAGAAGTGATTTCGTTTCACCTCTTTGCTTCCGTTGTTATAAAACCTCTGTGTTATTGTGCCGTATATGAAACAGTGTCAGTGTGAATAAGTCCTCCTCTGTTTGGGGAAAAATGCAAATGTGTGTTATTAAGTCCAATCACTGCAGCGTGCTCGGGTATTCAGTTCATCAAGATTGTAATCTGTTATAGTGCACTTTACAACAACCACTGTGAAAAAAACAGAGAAAAAAACAGAGAAACAGAGGAAGACACGTTGACGTGGCGTTGTTCGCCTTTGCAAACTCAGTGACCGCCTTCTTTAAAGCTCAAAGCACAGGCCTCCTTTTTGCTTGCAGAGTTTATTTTGCTCCACAGACCTGTTGCACCTGAATGATCTTTGTCTTTGATTTGAGCTTGAATGCAAATTTGAGCGTGTTTGGGAGGTAGCTACTAGGGCTGCATGATAGATCGATTTAAATAGTAATCAGATTATTTGATTATGACGATGTTAGAAAAACTAAAATCCTCAAATCGATTTTCCTCTTTATCATGTCTCGCGCCTCCAGGCCACCTTAGGTCCCTCCTTCCTACAGGAGTGCTCCCCTGTTCCTACACACACCAGTGTAAACAAACATGGCATTTGCAAAAGAAGGCGATAATTTCGTGGCTAAATAGGACGAGAGCGAGTCAGTCATGTGGAATTGGTACCACGATATTAACCCGTCCACACAGAAACGCACACGCTTGTTCCACGATCTTCCTCTCTGTTTCTCCAAGTCCGGCCTTCTCCCGGGGTTGGAGCTTGGATTTGTGATGTAGGAAATCCCACTGTGTCTGAGTCTGCTGTTTGGGTCCGATTACTTGATTAATCGATGGAATATTGATAGACTACTCAATTGTTAAAATATTCGATAGCTGCAGCCTTAATAAATATGTGAGTCTGCAAAGTGATATTACATAGCCTAAAAGTAAATTATAAATATTGTGCTGCAGGTACAACTGACCACGAATCCAAACTATTTCCACTCTAACTGGGTGTGGTGTTTGGTGCATTATTTATGAGTTAAACGCCTTTTGCAGTGAAGCTCATTTGAATAGAAATAGGACAGTTCTGCCCCAAATGAATGCATAATGTCAGATTTAAATCTGTGCAGACAGCACCAGAGGGCCAAGATGATATTTGCTTTGTGGAGCATTTAGAGCCGTTTCTCCCTGTGCTGCTGCTTTAAGAATTACGAGGTTTCTACACCGCTGATTGCTTTTCATCGTTTGCCCCAAAGTGCTGGTGGAAGGCCAGCGAAAGAAGAGTCAGATCTCTCCCTGAGTCTCTTCAGTCGAGCTAAACCAACCTCTCAGGCGGTCAGACTGTCCACAGAAGAGAGGGGGCGAGCTCTGCGAAATCACATATCAACTGAACTCGAGAAATCCAACGAACGTCTTTGTCGTGTTATGTGCTAAACACGGCAAAGAGGACTTAAGGGACACACCGACACGTTCAGATCCGTTTCTGGTGGGCACCGGGGCCACAAATGGAGAGAGACGGGCTTGTATAATCAAATCTATTCAGCCTGGCGTGGGAGCAAATGGCAGAGCCGCGTCCTCGTATGCCAAATCACTGGACATTTTCAGGTGGTATGAGAGAATGACTCACTTTCCTTTTTTTTATCTGAGTGGAGAAACAACGTTAGGGTTGAAATTAAGCTAATGGAGGGTCTCTGAGGAAAACAGCTGCACACTCAGGGAGGCGGCACTTAGCTGAGCTAATTCTGCTGCTGGAGGTAAAACAGGTTTGACACCGACAACATGAGTCCGTCACGTGATCCTCTTTAGACCAGCTCTTAGAACAATCCTTTCCTCACTGCTTCCGAAGTGGGGTAGTTTTTTTGCATCCTTCTCCATCACAGCTCCTGTCGCTAAGCTGCTACGCTACTATTAGGGCCGGGAGAGTGGGAGGGAACGACAGGAGAGGGGTGTGTCGAATACAGCGAGGTGATTGGTTGGAGAGGCGGCGCAAGAGATTGACCAATAAGAGCTGTTCGGGACGGATGGCTCCCATTGGTCAATGTTTTTTCAGCCCTGAACCTGCTCGGGTGAACAGATTTTTTCCATTTTTTTTTTTAGGACCATGATCGCCATAGAAACGAGGTTTATAATAATTACCAATCCCTCCAATCGTCAACCATGCCTTTAAATGAATAAATCAGCACGTGCGTCATGCTCTACAAACTGGATTTCTCTGACCGAGCTGCTGGATTTGACTCCTTGAGAGGATGAGAACCAGCTGTCCTGTTTTATTTCGTGTCGCTCTGTGCTTCGTTACTGTTTCTGTCAGATAGTGGAGAGAGTAAGTGTCTGTCAGCGGCGATATGCCCTTCACTCACCCCACAGGTGATCGACTCGTCCACAGAGGAGTAAAATCTGCAGCTGCTGGTCTTAACTCTGAAACACATCTGTCTGCGTTTAGACCGAGCAGGTGATCTGGCATATTTCCATGACAGGCAGCTGTCACAGCTCTCTCTGCTCCTCTCAAAGAGCTTCCTACTTGTAGACGGAGGCATCCCTGCCACTATCAATCCAAGCAGACTTTGGTCTTCTTACCGAATCCCCTCCATCCCCCCCTCTCTGAGTCCCCCGTCAGGTGTGCTCTAACTCACGAGCAGGAGCAGGAAGCCACACTTCATTAAGACTTGTACTGATCCTGAGGTGCGGGCGCTGGAGGCTAAAGTCAATGATAGAGTCAGAGTGAAATCTGTCTGTTAGGCTGCGAGGCACGAGCTCACAGCCAGAGGCCGGAGAGACTCTCCTCAAACACAGCTGATAATTAAAGCCACAAGGATATTTGACTGAAGTTTACTCTGAATACAAAACAAAACGCTTTAGACTAACTCTCTGAATCTGAAAAAACTCTTTATAACACACGAAAAATCCTGATATGTTAAAGGACGACTGCATGGGAGAAACATCTCAAAATCTTATAAACTGGAACTTGCACAGATTTTTCCTCAGCAGGTAAAAATCAGGAATATTTAATAGGAGCGCTCACACATTAAGATATTGTTTCACCAGCTTCCTCATGCCTGTTGCAGATACCATATAGAGAAATCGACCTCCTTCACCTCATGATAAACCAGCTGTCCGAGTCTCTTTTGTCTCTTTTCTGCTGTATTCCTGTGGGAAAAGTCGGCCTAAATAGATTTCTTGTATCTGTATTTTATCTCCAGTTTTATCACCTTCACTGCTCCAGGGGAGCAAACATGGCCCCTGATTGGACCTTTGAATGTCAGCTGATTGTAGCTACAGCCGCTGATTGGTCGACAGGCCAAAACAGAGATGGCAGCCTCTCTCTCGCGTCATAGAAAGGACACTTTTTCACTAAAATGAATTACCTCTGTCTGTGAAAATATTCTTATCTCCTCCACAGTGGGATGGGAAGAGCCCTGAATGTCACATGGTTTATCAGAAAGCGAGTGTGCTATTTTAAGAGCTAACACAACAATACTATTTGACTCCTTGGTTGTGGTCCAGATCTTATGCTGCGTTCCAGTTACCTCAGAAGTCGGATGTTGGAGCTGGGACTGACGTTACACCCGAGTTGACTAGGGTGACTATATTCTGAATCCCAAAAAAGAAGACATTACTACGCGGGGTGGAGTCACGGAGTCACGTGAAGTTAATTTTGAGAGTTTTTCGAGTCGCTTTTCCGTACAAAACCGCGGTCATTTGTAGGATTTTATAAACTCCCCTGGACAAGCCGGACAGCCTCCAAAAAAGAGGACATGTCCAGGTAAAAGAGCACATATGGTCACCCTCAAGTTAACGACGTTCCAGTAAACAAGTTGGAATACCAAGATGGACGCCTACTGTTTGTTGTTAACATTTGTCAGTTGTTGTGAGCCGTTGTCAGCTGTTGTTAGCTGTACCAGTTAGACGTTGGGCTGTACAACATAAACCACTGATTTAATTTCACAAAAACAAAACAGAAGTGCTAATAAAAAGATTCATTACGAGAGCTTTTACTGTTACTCTTTACTGTTGATGCACTGCGCTGCCATCTTGGATTATGACATTGTCATCAAGTCAGAGTTGGTGAGGATCGTAAATCCGACTTCAGGGGGTGTTCCAGATGAAATCCAGACTTCCGAGGACAACTGGAACGCAGCATAAGCTGAAGTTTGGATAGTTCAGCAGTTTGAATTAGTTTTCTTCTATAACTTTTTTTTGATGCCCATCCAGAGTCTTTATCTTATCTGAGGTGCTGCAGTCGTTCATGTGCAAAGATGTCGGTGAAATTTCAGATTTTTTTATGCTGTATATGAGTTTCAACAGAGTCTGACTGTATTCGGATAAAAGTGGAAAAGCTCTCTGTAAATGTTACTGGAAGTTCAGATGAAAAGGAGCCTCCTCGCTGTGAGGTCAAATTAATTCCGTTTCTCGCCTCACACTGAGAGTCCATCAGCGCAGACAGAGCAGATCTGTGTGTCTGTCACATTAACTGTAAAGTACGGCAGCACTTCTCCTCCATTACGCTCCGACTTCAGCTGTTTGACTGTGCTTAATTGGCTTAATTATCCATCTCTGTGCAGCTTTATGATAGTACAGTGAGAAAATGGCCTCACAGTCGGTTCAAAGACACATGCATCATCATCATCGTTGTGGGGTATTTTTCACAAACAAGCACTTATATGTGCGAGATATGGAGAAGGGAGCGACTCACTGAAGCATTTAGTGGAAAGAAACCTGGAGAAACAGCTCCGTTTTTCTTCTTCTTCTTCTATATCAGTGGTTAAAAACAGCATGAGTGCAGAAAACTCTTAAAATAATCACAGTATAAATCCTTCTACCTAAACTTTTGTGTTTGAAATGGTTTTAAGATTTAAAAGCAACAATATTAAAGTGTTTTATGCCTCAAGGTTGGCCGTTTATTGTGCACATTGAGGAAATGATCAAACTTAAGGCTTCATTTAGACTCTAATAACAGCTCTAAAGTCCTGCTTACAATCGTTTTAGTCTGCCATGACCTCCATGCTACACTCATACATCAAAATCAGACTCGTGAAGTTACAGAGGTTTGTTTTATCCGACTTAAACACTCCTGAAGGTGATTATAGATCCAGAATCTTTCCCTCTAAGTCAAAAAAGACTCTTTTCTACCGCCTTGCTCGTACTGAAATGACCCCACAACAGCAGGAGGATCTAAAGTCTCCATACCTCCAGGTAAGCTGATGGGGCCGCAGCCTTTGCCCTGAGGGTCCTCCTCCACGATGAAGATGCTCTTCTTGCAGAGCCTCCAGAGGCCAAAGTGGGCCGCCTCACAGGTGGCGTTAAGCTTCTCCACCCTGGGGCTGAGCACGGCCCAGTGGTCGGTCACCACCGCCGCCAGCATCGCCGACATGCCCACCAGGATCACCACGGACGTGATCTTCACCTTCGTTGCCTGCTCTTCGAACATGTTGCAGCTCCAAAGTTGCAGGTGTGTGTGTGAGTGTGTGTGTGTGTTTCGGTAAAAGCTTCCCTCCTAATGTTGGGTGTGTTAGCTCCAGAGGTTCCCCTGTCTGGTCTCCAGCTTCACTTCACCTCTGATGTCCTCTCGTCTCTCCTGTCCTCAGCTCCTTCTTCCTCTTTCTCTGCCTGGTGCCTGCTGCTTGGTAAAAAGGGGCCAGATAACAGTGCCCTAGTTTCCTCCTCGCCTCTCTCCTCCTCTCCCTCCCTGGTTGCCTTCGGTGAGCTGAGGCCATTTACCTGCTACATGATGATGATGATGATGATGATTTACACGGATGTGCTTACACCTCTTTTTACACCACACGGATGTTGATTCAGAGAGTTTATTTAAAGTTTTGCCGCTGCGTGTAAGTCAACTCCAGATTGAACTTCTGGAAACTTTTAAATCTTTCTTTTCCACATTTTATAGACACGCCAAATATTGATTTTACCAATCGATCAAACATTCAGCCACATCTTTTCCCAGTTTGATCTGTTTTCAGCTCAATTGTCTCCCAGGCGCCGCGTGCCAGGGGACTCGGAGGAGGAAGATTTCCTTTATTAGTTGTCGTCTGATCCACTTATTCAGCCAATCAGCGATTTAGCTCTGAGACAAAGGTCCCACCTGAAACCGGCAGCTGATCCAGATTCAGAAAGACTCAGGCAGGTCGGGATGAAATCAACAAGGAATAAGGTGTTACAGATCCTTCACGTGGTCCCTGAGAGGAGATTAGGATTTTTAGAATATTTTAAGTGTTTTTCACGTCAGACTTCATGTTCTCTCTGTTTGATTTATGCTGTCTGGGTCCTTTAGTACGACCAAGAGCCTGTTGAAGTCATAGTGAATGCATCTGCATTTCCGTTTTTTCTGCAATGTCTGCAAGAAAAGCAAAATACGGCAAAAAGTTACCTCATTAAAGAAGAGGAAGAGTCAACAACACAAACGGCAATGTTAGAGAGGATATTCATGAAGTCCCCGAACAATCTGAGGTGGTTCTGCAGACTTTGGTGGTCCTTGAGACTAAAGACGGATGATTTAATCCTCAAAGTTCATGTTTTACACAGTCTAGGGTTTGAACTCTTGGTCTGCATCCACAAGTGTGCAGACGATGTTTGAGTCTGGTCTCGAAGTAGGGGAGAGGCTGCTGATGGGTACTGTTGCTGCTTGTCACGATCATGGATGTATTGATTGCAAACTGCAGGTGCAATGCGTGCTTTTGCTTCCCTGTAGATTTGAGGCTCAGATACAGAACCCAGAATATGTCAGTCATTTGCACAGTAGACAGTTGTCAGCCTATAGAATTTAATTCATTGCCATAACTCTCAAGGTTAAAAAATATCCTCCGCCTGCCTGTGACTCTGCACAGAAATAAGAGTCCTGATGCGACGTTAAATTTGACTTTTGGCTGCTTTACATAAAAATGACAGCGCTCTCTTTGAGGGTGAAAAAAAAAAAACTGTAAAAAAAACCTGAAACATCTCAAAGGCACAATCAACCTTCTCCGGATGAAATACTTCAGTAAATGGGCATGCTTTTTATAAACCTCTGTGCCCCACTTTAAACAGGACTCTGGCCCATTTTCAGCCCTGACAACGCTCGCACAGCTCTGGGTTTTTAACGCGCTGAATGGCGAGACCTTAAAGCAGGAGAGAGAAGGAAAGGGGGACGTCGCCTGAAATCTCTAAATCCTCCAAATATATTTCTTTTTATTTGTGCGTATGTACATGAAAATCGGACAGAAGCAGCACAGCCAGTTTGGCGTTTCTCTGAGACCAGGATGTGAGGGATCCAAAGTGCTTTCTGCAAACACCATCAGTGGTTAACTGAACCAGGAAATTGATCATTAAAGATAAATCAGTTCGCTCACTTCCTTGAAAAAACGGTCCCCACTGTGCAGGTTTGGGAGGAGATGAGGGACAGTCATGTTCATTATCACGTTCCACCTGGATGCTCCTGCTGTAAAACTATCTCCCCGAGGACCCCATGAGGCGGTGAGAACCGCTCGTCTTCAAGTTTGTAATAACAGTGTTTTTTTTTTCTAACCATAGCCCATCTCACTGGGTGACCCTCTGACCTGCTTCATTTCCTCATAGTCCCCCGGAGACTGCAGAGCGACCGCTACACCTCTCAGCTGAGAGTCTCCAAGCAACAGGCAGCAGGAAGGACGACTATAGAAACGTGTCATCAGCGGTGTGTGTGGATGACAGGAGGAGAAACATGAAGTGACATCTGGCAGGGAGGCATGTCTGACTCACCTGGACTGTCACCAGAATCACCTTAAATATCAGCGATGAGACCCGAGAACGCGAGCCGTGAAAGCAATCACAGGCAAATCATTTCCCCTCAAATCATGACTGACATCTTCTCCATCCTCCTGATCTCCTCCTGTTTTCATCTTTGGATGTTAAAGTCCACATTTTTCCCTCTGTCTTTATATAAAGTTTGCTGTTTCGTCAGCTCTAGCCTTGCATCGTACCTGCAGCCCACCTACAGGGAAAATATAGCTCATGTAAAGCGATGTAAATTTGCTCCTGCAACAATGAGGTTTTCAGAGGTATGCATGCAGAACCACTCACTCCTACACTGTTGTGGTTTTGCTTCAGTGCTGGAGATTCAAGGTGTTAAAGGTTAAAGCCAGAATTCTCTACTGCTCTTTGCAAATAGCATCACAAATGTTTATATCCTGTAAACCAAAGTAAACAGCGGTTGCTTTTTATTTTATTTTTTTGGATATTGCGGGGAGTCGATTACAGAGGCTCAGAAGTTTGAGGATATGTCAAACTGAAGGCTAAAACATACAGGATGTGTATTTGGAGCGTGGCAGCAGCGTCGCGCATCAAACAGCTAATAGGTTGCCATTCTAATTGTAACGCTTGTGAAATATATACTATATTTATATTATGATATATTAGATAATGTTTCATTAATTTTAAATGTAATTTATAAATGATTATACATTTAACACAAGGTTAGATTTGGGCTTGTGTCTGGCTCTAGTGTTGTTTCGTTTGTGAATGATTCGTTCAAAAGAACCGAATCTTTTAAGTGAACGTTCTGAACCGAATCACTTCCTCAAGTGAGTCGTTCGTTTCTCACTTCAGTTGAGCTGAAGGGAGAAACAGCATTGCCACTCAAGCAGCCGGCGAACAAGGAACCGCATGCACCAGCATCTGAATCACTTGGTGAACGAATCACCCATTGAACTACACTCTCTGGAATCATTTTTGTCAAGCAAAACTACCCTTTATTTTGTTTTTTTTTTCTGCTAAATCGCCACCACGACAACTTTCATACAATAGGACACAGCATGTAACAAATAGCGCATTAAACCGCATTAAATAGCAGATACGAAACGCGCTCAATATGATCCTGTACGTTTCCAGCTTTACTATCACCTGCAGTTTGCAAAGTTCAGGTCATGTAGTCTTGCAGTTTTTCCACCTCTACATCCATCTCCCCTCAGTCTTGTCCCGTCCCCGCCCACTCAGATCCTCCATGGAGGCTGACTTTGTGATAGTTTTGAAGCATCATTACATCAGAACTGCTCTATTTACTTCTCTCTGTCTGTCTCCTCTCAGTAAAGTTGGGTATTTTCATGTTGACTCATTCTCGTATTCAGCCTCAAGTGGCCACTTGAGGAACTGCATTTTTGTGCTCCTTTAGTTTGGCCTCATTTTTCAGCTCTGGAGGGTTTGCCTCTTGGTCATACTAGTGTGGGGATCACTTCAGGTTAACAGAGTGGAGAGGAAAACAGCCAGAGACATCATTTGTGACTCACCTGTGAGTGCTGCTCACTCCACAGTTTTCAACATCTCTCGCCGCTGTGAAAGAGAGATACCAATCACCTGAGCTGGAATCAGGAATGACTGCCAGCGTCTCAGTTCAAACTCTTAATCCAGGATGAAAAACAACCTTGACTTGTGGCTAATTTTAACAGAATAGATTGCATGGCCTTCGGAGGGACCTGACTGTGTTCATTCACTAATGACAGGCAGCATTACTCAAGCTAAATTAGATTACCCAAACCCCGCAGCCATTTTTGGGAGGGTCACGTTGATATTCTTCTCGGGGAATCAGAAACGTGAGCCTTAGAGACGCCGCCTGATCGCGTTTGACCTGTTGAATCCAAAACATACATTTGTCTCCATGTGAAGCAGAGGAACGGGGATCTGAGACGGTCTTACCAGATTGATATCACATACCAGACAGGTTGGTTTCTTCTTTATGAAGCACTCTCAACTTCTCTGTATAAGCTTTTTCCTTGAAATAGATTCCTTTGTGTCCAGGTAATGTCAGCCCCTGAGCTTTCAAACGCTAACTCCAGTATATTCTGCTCATCTTTACTGTTAAACACCTGCCTAAGTCTGATAAAAGCAGTGTCATATCGACATAAATCACCTCAGCAACATGTAGAAGCCGTCATCTCACCTTGACGAGTTTATTTTTAGCCATCAAAAGGAGTCTAATCCGGTTTAATCGCCCGCCTTCTTTTATCTATATATTATTGACACATGTAGAGAAAAGACAGTTTCACTCTGCTCACCAACTGGATCAGCTGGACGACTGGTGAGATATAAAAATGTTTTATCTCGTCACGGTTTCTCTGACAGCTTTTTAATGGTTTGATATAAGAGCGCCGCCACTTACACTGAGATTTATTTCTCCGCCAAACAAAGCAGAGACTCCGAGGACGAGGAGGCTGATTCAGACTCCTGCAGCTGAATACAACTCTAAGGTTTAGTGTCGCCCTAGTCATTTGACATGAGCAGGGGTGTGTCCAAGAGGTGGCCGAGGGAGGCCTTCCTGGAATCTAGATACAAGGCTCCTAAACTCAGTCTTTAACAATATCATAGTGTTTTGATTGTTTTTGCAGGTGCGTGAAATGAAGATAACGAGCTGACAGCTGTTTTCACAGGCTTCTTAATCGATGGAAGTTACGTACACTTTTAAAATTATGCAATCAGTCAAAATTTTAAAATAAATCATTTGACAGTCCATTTGTTTCAGCTTTTCAAGGTAGTAACAGATTCACTTTTCTTTTTTTTTCCCCGATAGAGTGCTTTTTGATAAAAACACTTAGAACTGGAGAGAAAAGAATTTATTGTAAATTAAACAAAGGCACTCTACAATCAGATTTAGGAATTTAAACACATTTATGGAGGTTTTTTCATCCTTTTTTTGTTTAAAACGCAGACTTTTTTGTGACATTTGTTTAATATGCACTCAATCCAAGTAATGTCCTTTAAACTTTCAGACCAAGATAATACAGAAAATCAAGTGTTCTTATTTCACAACCAAAGGAAGCTGTAAATTAATAAAAGATCAAACTATAAAATACTGATAGAAAACCAGGTTCACTTTCCTCACTCTACATAAAACTGAGATTTTCATACTTAAAGCTCCTATAAGGAATTTTTCATGTTTACAAAACAGACTGGAAATCATATTACAGAATTTTCACAACATTTAAAATCAAACAAAACCAACACCCACATAAAAAGTCCCAATTAATGACTAATTTGAGTGTCAGGATGAGCAAGATGAGATTTCTTTTTAGCATGTATTGGACAAAGTAAGCAATAACTGCTTTGTCCACTGGGGGCGCCAAATCTAACACATGCAAAAAGTTCCCCACAGGAGCTTTAAGTCTCTCCCTTAGCTGAGCTGCTAAACCTGTGTGTGTTAACTGAATAGTATGAGGCGTTTTTATCTCCGTACACGTCTTTGCACATTTAGCGGTTTTGTTTTTTGTATATTTTTTTTTATTATTGTTGGTTTTATATACAACTTTACAGGTTTACGATACAAACAACACATTTCTCCCAAACTGTAATATAAAAGTGTAAGATCTACACTCTGAACAGGTCATACTGATGGCTTTCTTTTACACAATCTCAGCCCGGTTTAGCGTTAATGGAATATCAAACACACTAAATACAATCAGATACTACTCTGTGGTCGAGTGAGTGAGCTCGCCAATCTTGAACCCGCCGAATAGCCCTAAGACTGACAAAAAAAATCCACTCCAGCTGGTTCTTGGCGTGAGCTTCGTCACACCCTCACAGCTAAATACTGCAATGGCATTTTGTTTTTATCTTACAGGTTGATCTTTATCACTGGTCCAGTTTTCCAGCAAAGTACTGAGAGGACCTCAAAGGGTTCAACCTGTCCAAACAACAGAGTATTTCCTGAGAGAACTAAAAGACAGAGCGTATACACACGCACAAACACACATACACACACAAATGTCTGGTTAATAGAGCCAAATCCTTCAGGGACCCTGTCGCAGACAGCTCCCTCTGCTCCTGTCTGGGTCCTCTGTTTGACATGGGAGGGGGGAGAAAGCAACCAGATGGACTCACAGGCGAGTGTGACAGAGAGACAAACAGTCTCTGCCTGGCTCTGATCCTTATCCATTAAACTCCGCCGGGGTTTCATTTACTACAAAGGGAAGTCCTGATCGGGGGAGTTGTCACAGTCCTGGCCACCCCCTTTTAATTATGATGGTCATGTTGTCACAACCATGAGAACAGGTTAATGGACAGATGAATGAAAGGGGGTTTGAACAGTACAGTGCTACTGACCAAAGTGACAGACAAGTAGGGTTAAAGGAGAGACAGAGACGGCAGCCATTTCTGAGCAAAAAAGAAATACTCTCCAACTATTTTTTTTTATAATAAAGATGCAAGATTTGAGTATAAGGCCATACGCAGTCGTAAAGGGCAGTGCTAAAAAAGTCTCTGTCAAAGGTTCAGTAAGAGTTAAGGTTCCTTCACATCAGCTGTTTGTCAATAAAAAGGTATTTAGTTGGCAATGTTTTCATTGATTAGCTATGACTAATATGGTGAATTTTGAGTCAAATAGAAAAATTTTTAGGGCCTGTGTCCACTAATACAAAGCCTAAGGGCCTGTGTCCACGGTATGTTTAACCCTTAATTAATTTTACGCCGGAATATCCCAAAAACAGGTGTGGTTAGCTTCTCTTGCAAATGGCCATTGCTCTTGATGGAGTTGATACCAGCAGTCTCGCCCCTGCTTGATTCTGATTGGTTGTTATCAAGGAATGACAAGTGGGAGTGCAGGGACCCCAGAAGCTAAAATCAGCAAACAACAAAAGTTGGGTTTTTTTTATGAGTGAGGACGTTGACTCCTAAAAATGTTGCACTGCATTTGCTTTGCCACCAGTGCAAAAAAATGTAAGTGGACACAGGCCCTTACTCAGCCCTAATGAGAGTATAAGGCAGGATTACTGGTTGTAAGTTCTGATGGGCTCGGGTTCAGACTGTTTCACACATATGGGACACATTCAAGCTGAAGAGAACAAGTTGAAGTTTCATGTAGCACCTTGTTAAACAATTCACAGGTAGGATACTGCTGATTGGCACACGTTGACACGTCACTCTCAGTTTACCCACAATGTTTAGTTACACAAACAGAGGTCATGATCCACACGCTGCTCGCTTAAGCGTTTCCACAGTTAAAAGATAACACTAGTTTCATATCAGCTACAGCACAGACAATAATACTCTACTCTGCTCTGATGATGGTTTTTGAAAGCAGATAAATGACTGTTGGCTCATCTTCTGTCCAAACAACCCTCTTGGACTTCAGTCATAAAAGACAATGTCTCTAAAAACTGAGTCTCCGAGATGGCAGGCTTTCATGAGCACTTTGGCTTCAACAAATAAGCCCCCTCTGGTTTTTTAACATTTTCTGTTCGACTTCTTTTTGATCTCTGAGTCCACCAACACGTCTCTCACACCGGTGTGGTCCTGCGATTCACCCCGTCTTTTAAATCATTGGGGAAACAGTTATGGACTTGGAGGAACTCAGCCGTTGCCTCATGTTCAGGGCTGTACGTATTCTCCGTCACACTGTCCCTCGCAAGTGCGTACATGGACAGCTCATCCAGGGGCCCGCTTGAGGACGGCACTCCTTTCAGATTGGTCACTGGCGAGTTCTCCCGAGACGCCTCCGTCGAGTGAGAGCTGGCCTGCGAAGTCCGCCGGCGGTAGCGGAAGCTCGGTATCCTCGAGTACGGGGAAGAGGAAGAGAGTGAACGGATGAACTCTCGCCGCGCCCTCCAGCGGACCTCTTTGTTCTTCTCGATGTAGATGTTGATGGCGAGGACGGCGACAGTTTCAGCCACGATGAAGGAGAGGGCGCCAAAGTAGAAGGACCATCCGTAGGAGTAAGTGTACTTCTTGTCATCGTCGCGTTTGTCGTTGGGGTCTCCTGCGTTGCTCGATATGTAAACGATGATGCCGATGATGTTGCTAAGACCTGGACAGAGAGACAGTAGAATCAGGATTCAAAGGAAGCAAAGGGAAATGAAAGTATGTGATTAAAAGAAAAGACAGTCATCAGTCATCCTGACTCCACAGCAGTGATGACACCTGTGGAGTCCCTCTGTGTGAAGGTGTTCATCAGGCAGTGATTACAAGACTCCCATAACAACCATCCTCTTAATGGAATTCGTCATCATCGCTTGTGGTTGAGGTGTGTGATGAATGCGAAGCCTGACCTTTCACAGACGAGGAATTAGATTTGTCTTCATGATTGCACCATTGATGAAGTACAATACGTGTCCACAGGTGCCACATCAACCTGCCTTCCCTCATCAGACAAGCACAGTCTTGATGTGATTGCTGCTCTCTGGGGAACCCGCTGATCAAACTCACCTGCAGCTACAAAGAGGATTCCTGCACTGAGGAGGACGTTGTTCGTCTTGCTGTAGACTCGGCCCAACCCGACGCAGAGTCCGCCTAGCATCAACAGGATGGTGCTAAGGATGGGAAAAACACTGGAGGCACGAACGATTCCTGCACAGACAAAATAACAAGTACAAAGTGTAGAGACTGTCGGGTGAGCTATTATCCACGATAATTTAACGCATCTGTTGGATACATCGCCAGTAAGCTACAAACTCTGTTCCTTAAGCAGCAGGTTTACTGTGTGACACTTTCCTAGAGATGCAAAGTCATGATCTGCACTAAAGGAAAGATTTGGAAGTTTGTACCTTTGCACCGTGTTTGTTCAATCCCAAAATGCATTATTGTTTGCATGACTTGCATGCAACAAGTTACGGTAGATTTGGTGGAATTGCTCTGTTCTGAGATCTCCTTGTGGTATGCCAAAGCCAAGGCAGGGAGAGCATCAGCAAGGACACATGACTTTAGTGATAGTACCTACGATGTTGGTGAGATTGAACAGTGTAAAAAGGAGGAACTGGGGTGGGGCTTGCAGAGGAAGCATGTCCTGTCGTTTGCCAGTTGGATTGGTCAGGGGTAGTTGGCTCGGCTGTCCTAATCAATTTATTTTTATTTATGCACCCAATATCACGGACCAATTCAACCTCAATAGATGGGATAACATCTCCTTGAACAGGTAAATATCGAGCGCATTAGTTAAACATGTACTTTCAGTTTCTGGAGTGCCATCTGAGGAGAAGCAGTATACTTAAATTTTCTTCTCAGAGTCTGAACTTTTTCCATGCACTGCAAGAAAGAAACTGAACTCAAACTACTATTAATTTTGAAGATGCCGAGGTGAAACAATAAGTAGGTTAAATGCAGTCCTCTAATGGTGGAATATGCAAAGTCATTTAGTAGCACTATAAAAAAATGGAGTCCTTTTTATAATTTGAATTTCCATTACCCTGCTCAGCCCTCATCCATCCAGGCCCTTCTCTTCCACCATCCTTTTTCAAGAACTCCATTATCTTTTACACTTTGGGGCCTTGTTGTGACAAAGCTTCGCTAATCAGCTGTGGGATGTAACAAGAGCTCTCACTGACTATCACCTCCCCAGAAATGAATCACTGTGCCGTTTTATAAACGAGCAAGAATGGATGAGCTTATTCAGCCTCACCCCCCCTGCTTAATGGACTCAGGTTGGACTTCATCCAAAGTCTGATCAGTCGTCTTTGTTCTTCTCTGCATAAAAGAAGGACATTGAATTGGCTGCGTCTTAAATGAAGGTGCTTTGCTGATTAAATATCCCCATCTTTTACAGAACTAATCAAAATCTATGTCAAAGCTTCGTCTCTTTCTTTTTTTTGCACCTTGAGTTTTTTTGGGATGCCATTTTTTTGACCCTCTTGATACCGTAAACAAGCTCCTCTTACATGATTGGCCTAAATGCATTTAACTGAAGCTGCTGACCATGACCCAGCATAATTACAGAACAAAAACAAGATAATATGGCCTCATAAAAACAGTTTTTCGTGCTTAAGAGGGAAAATAATGAGCCCCCTCTGCGTTTGAGCTCAACCAAAGTGTCGAGCTATCTTTTATGGGGTTGAGGTTAATTAATTTGCGAGAAAAGAAACATTTTCTCGAAGTGTGAGAGTCAATTAAAACTCACAGAGACTGTGTGAATATGACTAACAAATGCGGCACCTTGCAGTCGTGTCTGACCGAGTGTATTTAATTTTGCGGTTATATAACAAAAGATTACTGCTTTAAAATAATAAGTGAAAAAGTTAAGAGGCGCTCTTACCTACACAGAAAGTTATTGTATCAGAAATAGTCTCATAGAATAAAACTCATAACCCTGAAAATGTTCTTGAATGCTGTCTCTTCCTGAAAGCGTCTCCTGTTTGTCTGCAAAACGCTGAGAAGCTGAAGGCCAGCAAACTTCCTGAGTACTTGCAGAAATGATAGACCTGGACTTTTTATCGATGCCAGACAAAAAGGAAAGAGAGAGGAGCACTTACGCAGCAGGTATTCAGAGCTGTCAGTGTCGTAGTCATTGTCGTCAGGGAAGTGGTTGATTCTGTAACAGCTGCCCTGATTGATGCCTGCGGGACAAAGAAAACAAGGAGAGGAGGCTGGTTTATGGTTTGGTGTGGGTTCAAGAGATGTTTGAGCGGTAAGCAAATGATGGCATCTTAATGGTCACACCTTTAATCATCAATCTGTTTTATTTGCTGAACAGGAAGAGTTATGTCCTATAAAAGTTTTTGGTTCTGCCAAAGGTTTCAGTGACGCTGCAAAAAGCTTGATTGTGATGGTTTGTTGGTTATTTATGGGACTGGTCAATAGTCCCTTGGTCGGTTGGTTAGTTGGTAAATGGTAGATAATCCTTTGTCTTCTTGTGCTTTCACATTACATGTCACTTTCATACACTAATATGGAGTTTACTAGTTTCTAATTAAACTCATTCACACACCGCTAGGTTCAGAAGGTCGAGTGTCTTGCCCAAGGAGACTTCTGGCATGTGAGAAACAACCGACTCTATCACTGAACCACAGCTGCCTCTGATTGGTTGGACAGTTGATCACATGGTTGATTGATTTGTTGGTTGGTTGGTTGGTTGAGTGGATGATCAGTTTAGTGGAGTAATGTGTTGGTTGTTTGGTTGGTTGGTTAATTGGTTGTTTTGCTCGTAGATTAATAACTTGGTTGGTTGGTTGGTTGGATGATTTGTTGTTGGGTTGGTTGGTTGGTTGGTCTGTTGCCTGGCTGTTGGTTGATTGTTTTATTATTTGGTTGTTTGTTTGGTTGAGTGTTTGGTTGGGTGCTTAACTGGTTGGTTCATTAGAAGGTCAGAGGCTTGGTTGTTTGGTTTGTTGGTTGGTTTGTTGGTTAGTTGGTTGGGTGGTTGATTAATTACTTGGTTCGGTGGTTAAATGGTTGGTTCATTAGCAGGTCAGAGGCTTGGCTGTTTGGTTGTTTTGCTTTTAGATTAATCACTTGGTCGGCCAGAAGGATGATCGGTTGTTGGGCTGGTTGGTTGGTCTGTTGGTTTTCTGATTGATTCATTTGTTCATTGGTTTTCTGTCTGTCTTATATAGTGGCTTACTGTCTGCCTGACTAATCAACTGAGGAACTGATTGATGGATTGATTGATCAGGGTTTTAAATCAAGAAACACATCATCTGTGCCAAATTTTACTGACAACATCTGTTATTCGAGAGATATTTACTCTGGCAGTTCAGTGTTGCCTAATAGAAAAGTTTCTTTTTTCTATGATATTTAAGTCTTTTACACTTATTGCTTCATTCATTTTTTCATTATCCACTCCCTATAGTTCATTTGAGACATAAATCAACTCTTGGCTGACTTTTCCCTTTCTCTGAAAGAAGGTTTGACATTTAACCTGAGATTTCTAACAGTTGGTGTCGGTAAAAGGTTGTTGTTGTTGTTGTTGTTGTATCGCGCCCTACATCAGCCATGAATCCTGGAAACCTACACATCACAGCTCAGTGCACACATATATTAGAAAGGAGAAACCAATATGCGAAAGTGTGGTTTGTGTTTCTGAGGATCAGTGCGTACGCTCCACGGCGGTGGGATTAAGATTGTGGTGCCCAGAGGGATTCGACGGGCTGCGGCGCGTGTCCAAATCCAGCTCAGGTGAATAGTTGAGCGGCGGGGGAAACAAGGAGCCTATTTGAACAACAAAAGAGCGCGGGCAGGAAGCTTTTAACGCCGAGCCGAGTTAGAACGAGAGGATGGATAAGGGTGAGAGAGACGGAGAGGTTAAAGCCATAGAGAAGCCTGTAGCTCTAATTGAGCCGCAGAGTAAACAACACCTTGTCTGCAGAAAAAGAGGTGGGGGTGGGGTTAATGGATGTGTTCAGAGCAGCGGCGGTAATGCTGAGAGCTCTCAGGTTATTCATTCACCATTTGGACTTTGAATACCCTCCACACTTGAGTTTTTCTGCTAACAACACCCACAGAATTAACAGTGGACCGGGTCGTGGTTTTATTTGCATTCTTCCACATAATCTGCAGAAATCCTCTTTTAATGTTTCGTATCTTTGCATCCATCTGTTTCTATAAACAGAGAAAAACAAGTGATCATTCATTAAGCTTTAGCTTTACATGCTGTCCCTACATCTGCACAACATATGGTTCCTTCAAAGCACATAAAGCAATTATAATAATAAGACAACATGAAGCACTTGAATACATCATTAAAGAAACAGCGTCTGCATATTCAGATCAGAGAGTCTCTGATTGGAGAGGAGACCGCACATGTGTGTCCGTGTGTCCAAGTATTGTTTGAGTTTTTTAACCTCTGGTCTTCTTTTTTTTGGCTTTTAATATCTTGAAATAATATCTTTATCTATACTTGATCTCGACTTGTTTAATATGACATTTACTCTCAAAAAAGAAATGGTCAAAATAATCTTGTGTTTTGAGTTTTGCATAGTAGAGGGCCTATACCGGGGCATGACCACCATTACTCTTGAATTGCACAGCTGTTTACTCAAAATGGATTCGTAAGAATTTGATAAAAATAGACCTTTTATGTCACTCAAACATAATCAAATAAAACATCTATACACGGTTTATTGTGCAAGTTGCTCTCAAACTTGTAACTTCAGCAATTAGTTGTCAGTGCTCTCCTTTGCATTACTGAAGAGAGGTTCAGTCACAACATAGCAGCAATCTTCAACATTCATCAACCAAACCAGCGTCAAACCCCCCTCTCCCTAAACCAGCAGGGACCTCCCTCAAACTGCGTCCATGCGGTCACAGCTGAGATCAGTCAGACAGAAAACTAGCTGACTCAAAACTCTCCCAGCTCAGTGACAGAAATGTTGTTTTTATACTTTTGCCAAGTTATGATTGGCTTTCATTCAACTATTAGTGATTCATGAAGAATCGTTTACTGAGTTTTGATAGTTCTGTCAATCCTTCATTCATAAAAACTGATTCTTAAACACATGAACCAGAAATATTCTGTCAACTGGAGAATAAACGAAGAAGTGGAACCAGATCTGGAGACTATTTGGCAGCAAAATAAAGAAAAAAAATCAGTCAGCTGTATGAAACTATGGGATGACTTAAAGAGGATAAAACAATATATATGCACACTGTCTGCACACATGTAAGTCTAACCCGGGACAGGAATTACAATTTAGCCATGCATGGTGCCTCTTTAATACATGGAGCCATAACTCATGCAAATAAACAGAGAAATGAAAACTAGATTGGACTAGAAGACTTTCAGGAGTCCTAGTATGAAGCGCAACAACACCTGGACTTAAATCTGCATGTGTGACTTTGAATCAGGTGTCCTGGAAAACATCATTTGACACAAATGCAATCTGAATATGTAAAAACTAATCTAACCAGTGTCATGTAGTCCATAGTGAAGTATCTGGAAATGTTTGTGTTGAGTTTGAGTCCAGAAGATTAGATAAACAAAAACGAGTTGTTGCAGAAGAGTTGTGACACCGTAAAGGTCGTACTCAAGCTTGCAGCCGGCGCTTTTTGGTGAGTCATGAAGGAAATAAGCAAAACAGCTCTCTTTCTTTTGTAACATCTCTACAAAACTTTGTTAAATAACTTAAAAAAAGAAGATTTCCAGTGTTAGAAATAGACTTTTGGGTTACTGTTAGTGTCAATCATGGTTTAAAGCTCCTGTGAGGGGGTTTTAAAGTTTAAAGAATAGACTGAAATTCATATTGATCCTTTAACATGGCAACTTAAAGCAAAAAAACTCATCAGCAACATGTTTGATTATATTTAAAGTGTAATTTTTTTAATCCTTCAAACTAGTGTCAGGGGGTAGGTGTCAGTGAGCAGTTAAAGAAACAGCCGTGATTTTACAGTTTCTACTTTAAAATATTCTTAGGTCAACCGCATGAGATTATTGTCGAAAATTGTTACTCAAGCATGTAGGGGACAAGATAAAAAAAGACTGCTTTGTCCACAGGGGGGCGCCAGATCTGAGCCAAACATAGAGTTCCCCACAGGACCTTTAAATGCACCCCAGGATTTGAGGCTACAGCCCCTAATTCGACATGTGGCCATGACCTCTTACTGTGTCTCTACTCTCCAAGTTTCCTGTCCTTGCCACTAAAAGCAAAAAAGCCTTTAAAATTATAAGACAAAATAACTCAAATAAGCCTTTTATTTCTGTCCTCAGTAACAGCCTCACAGGCCGCAGTGATTAGAGCCAGCGTCTCATAGTTGTTGTCGTTATTATCTGCAGATGACTGACAGACACCTGTCATCTGGGCTCCCCGGGTGCAGAAAGGTCAATAACCATCGTCGTCTGTGCCGCCGCTTTTAAGGGCATGTTTCCATTAACTAGGTCTGCTGCTTAACAAGGGACATCAAATTAATTAGCGTCGAATCAGCGGGTGGAAATGGAGCACAAGTTTCTGTGTCTAGTCACTGGTGGAGGAAAAGGGCTGAGGACTATTTAAAGCAGCGATGTGAGACTTTGTGCCGTGTGTGTCTGTGTGTGTGTGTGTGTGAAAAAAAACGAAGAAAAACATGTGGCTGGATCAGTAACACAAGAGTGAAGATGGCAAAAAACAGAGACACCTTTGCTGTGCTGTTAATTACCGTGTAAACACTCAATCCTGGTGCAGCTCCAGGGCTTGTAGCTGTTTTATATGTGCACTTTTATTAGTGTGTGTGTGCGTGCATGTGTGTGTGTCTTACCTGCTTAAAATAAAATGTCAAAGTGCTCTTACACAAAAAAAACATCCGCTGTGAACCTTCAACCTTTCTATTCAGTTTTGACTTAAAAACAACATTTCTCATCCGCTGCCCGAGAGAGAGAGAGTGTGTGTGTGTGTCTTTGCATGTTTGTGAGTGTGTGTGTGTTTGTGTGTGTGTCTGTGTGCAAGAGAGATAAAGAAATAGAAGACAATATTGCAACTGATTGGAATCTGATTATGAGCCGAGGCCTCGGGGCGCGTGATTTATGAGTGACAGTTATCAGCTCGATGTCTACGTTTATTTTGTGTGTGTGTGTGCGTGTGTGTGTGTTTGTCAGATGGACCCCTCATGAAATGAAATAAAGTCTGAATACTGACTAGCTAGGAGGGAGGAAGTGGGGGGGGAGCAGAGATTAAACAAGGGAACGAGGTAGGAGGAAATGAAAGAACAAAAGCACAGGGAGCGGAGGAATGATGGAAAACCATCGGAGGCCACATTAAAGAGGGGCTTTAATGTGGGGAGAGGGGCTCAGAGAGAGGAAAGAGGAGCCAGGAGAGGAAACCGTGGGATTAGGCTTTCAAGGTTGTGCAGAAATGAGAGAAAATGTGACCCGAACACATCTTTAAAGTAAAACCTCCCAGCTTCACCTGATATCAAAATGTAAACCGTATCCAGATTAGCTATCAAGATGGCAAACCCTCAAACCTCGCTGTTGCATGTCTATCTGTATTCTTAGTCTGTCATCGTGGTTTCCTCTGTGGGATCTAATCTTTTCTCTCCAGATAATAACCTGCAGTCAGAGGCCAATGCAAAATCATGACGAGAGACAGATATCAGCGACCGGGAGAGAGAGCTTTGCATGTTCAGAAGCTTTAAACACAACGTGAAGCTGACAGTCGAATATAATCAGGAAGAACTGTAAAAGTCTCCATGTTGGATTTTTTGGAACCAGAAGTGACTCTTGGTTAATCTTAATATCCACCCTGCAGCCTGAGATCTGAACCCTGACCGACTTTAATGGTATCAGGTAGGCAGTGCATGAGTCCATGAGGGCCTGAGGGGGTCCTTGCTAGTGGTGTCTTTTGCAAGAAGCCGCACAGTAAACAATATTAGATATTGGCTTAAAAACATCTTTATTTTTCATCCACCAGGACTTTTTATATGAAGCCTAATGAGGATTAAGTTACTGTTGGAGCCAGCCTCTAGTGGCCTTAAGAGGAACTGCAGTTTTGTCTCCTCAGCCCTGGTGTTTTCTTATCCAAAGAATCTCCCCAAAATATTTTAAATAGGTAACACCGGGTTTTAAAGTGGTTGAAATTGATGCGATAAGGAGATCATGTTGTGATTCACAGGAGATAAAACATTATCTCGGGATCCCAGAGCATCTCCTCCTCTTCTCCATGGCAACCCCAGTCAGTCTTTAATAAGCTCATTTACATAAACAACCCCAGAGGAAGTCTCTGATATCTTCATTGAGTTCTCATGCCCACAAATTACAGACAGCTCTTCTTCATTTTCAGGCTTTTATCCATCGACACTTAACAGCGCGGACACATGTTAGTACACACACATACGTACACACACACCTGACACCTACACAGCCTGTATGTGGAGCAGCTGTCACAGCTGTGGTGCCACAGGCAACAAGATGATGCACGTTGTCATTATTGTGAATTAACGCGGCTCAGCCAATAAGGGAGCAGCCTCGGTGGATTAAACCAATCACATCGTCCCGTTGAGCCCAACACTCGCTCATTCTGGTGTCTCCAGGAGTGTTGTATACCATGACAACGAGCTCCATGGGACACATGCCCCCACTTCCTCATTTTCGCACCTCAGTAGCTCTGCAAATAGATTGATGAAGAGAAAACCCAAAGTGGCTCTCTCGCCGCGTTTCCCTGGATCTGCACGACCCCCCGGAGGGTTAATGTTGCACATAACAGATTTACAGTAGCCGCACCGTCGCTCTTTCTGCTTTTGTCCTTGTGCGTGTTGTTCTCAGATCTGTGATGAAGAGTGTGAACACTGACGAGCCCGAGCGCAGGTAGGATGATTAGGTTTTATGAAGGTGTAAACAGAGAGAGCTCTGGTTCTGGGGCTCCATATCAAACGCAGACATGCACACAGAGCTCCTGCACACTCACATACGTTTATTACTCTGGAAGCAGGAAACACCAAGAAGCATCTGTGCAATCAAACAAACCCCTCTAATGTTTTTTTTTTCTTCTCCCAGTCTAAGTGAGGATGAGAGAAAAGCAATTTGGCGACGGCGTCAGTGATCCAGTGATGATATGACTGACAGTTGGTTAATTAAATTGTCACCAGGCAGCGATTTCTTCAAACACGGCCCGTCTCGGGTTAGACCGTGCATCTGATTCCACGACGCTGGATGAAAACTGAGATTTATCACCTCATGCTGTGAAGGCTGTCATCTCCGACTACTTTAAAATGTACATATATAATGGCTTCTTAACGGGAGAGTTCAGACTGTTTTGTTTGAGACACAGAAAAAATGAGTATTTCCTTTGTGGGTTGAGCCTGATGCTGTCTCCAGACTGTGAAGGGAAGACAAACAGTCGCCTAATTATTCCCCATGAAAACTGGAATCTTCGTTAGTCAAGGTGTGAATTCAGATTTGCCAAATCCCCACCTGTCATGTTTGGATGTTGATTGTTATCTTCGCTGAAATCTTGTCCCTAATTTCTCTCTGTTTCTTTTTCAAACTTTTCCGTCGATTTCAGAAACAGAAGAATCCTCATGTGACCTGCCAAACTGACTCTGATAATGACCTAATGAGTCTGCGGAAATGAAAAGTTGAAGCTTTTTTTTTTCTTTTGGATGATGAAAATCTGCATCAGCCGTAATACTATCCTCTCTGACAGGTGAAATTTTGTTTGAATATCTTTTTGCAGCGTCAAAAGATGCTTTTATTTTGTTTTATTTATTTACTTTAAATTCGTTATTAACCTGAACAAACTCAAGCTCTTGAACGTCCATTTTTTAAAAGTGTCTGATCATCTTTCAGTGAGTTTCTACAGCCGGTTCGCGAGCAGCTGCTGCTTCTTCTTCATCCAGGAAAATGGGCAAATTTGAGGATGGGAGCAACTTTGATGAGACCCAAACTGTGGAGGATAAGATGACTGGATAAACCTCCAAAACCACAGATCCTGTGTGGTAATCTTCATCTGCAGGGGTGAGTAACATAGACTGGATAATAACTGAACGTAGTATTAGTAAGGTCTCTAGTTTGTTCTTGGAGCAGAGCTTTGAGACCATATTGAAAAAGCCGACTCAACCTAACTTTTGGTTAACGTACCGTAAATAAACTGGCCTCCATCTTTACATCTTAATATCTTGCTTTTTTGTGTTAGTGTGTTTGTAGTTTCCCCTACTTCTGCAGACAGCCTCAAGTGGTGACTTGGGAAATTGCAGTTATTAGCACTTAAAGTCCCACTCCAATCATTTTTTTACTACTTAAAATGTTCTCAGTGGTCTTTAAATCTAAAATCACGTTACCTGGGTCATTTTCAAGGTTTTTTCTTCTGCAGAGCTCCAGTAGCTCATTAGCAATTCACCTCTGAGTCGTGGGCGGAGACAGCGCTGCTCTGCACGCTCTTCCTCACGCTATATTGTAGTCCAACATTGTCGGTGTAGTAGAAGTAGCAGGTAACATAGGAGCTAATCAGCTTTCGGACACCAATGTCTTTGGGGACATGATGACAGTTACTGTCATAATTAGCTTTCTTATGAGAATTGCAATCCGCTAATGCACACGCTTGTTACACAATCGCCGTCTAGTTTTCTGAGTGTCGCCTGCAGAGCGGGGCTGCGGGGGCGGAGTTTAGATTTGCTACGTAAGAAATCTCACAGAATCTGAACCTGCAGTTTGCGCCTATGAGAGATTTGTCGTGATCGGAATGCAGAAATACTCAGAAATGCAATTTTGCACTTAACGTGTTTTTCGCACCTGATTGTAAGGCGCACCATCAATGAACGCGTCTATTCGTGTCTACTTTCATACTTAAGGCGCACCGGATTATAAAGCGCATTAGCCAAACGAAACAGTCAATAACTCTGGGAGGCTACGGTAGCTGCAGTGCTTCGACAAGCCCAAAGGATTTTAAGTGCGCCTTTAGTGCGAAAAATACAGTATTTTTCTCATGATATGTCTGGTAGCATCAGAAAAATCACATACAAACACGTAGACAACAAGAAAAGCGTGATTTTCATCAGAGTGGGTCTCTAAAAGTTTGCTTTTTTGTGGTAGCCCCAAGTGGCGACTTGTGGAACTGCAGTTATTCGCACTTAAGTATTTGTTTAATTCCTGAAGCCTGGAGTTTGCCAAGAGTGGTCCAAGAGAGGAAAACAGTATAAAAATGGTCAATCTTGTAGTTTATGGTCTTGTATCAAACATCAATTTGAATTTTCGTTTATTTTATAAACGTCAAAAAACTCTCATTGGACCTTTTAACAGGCATAATAATGTTAGCAAAGTTTCCACTAAGTTTCAAACCTTTTCCCTCACAAGAGAAGAAAAGAAGTGAAATCCAATGTCTCCAAATTGAAAACGGGGCGGAGGGTTAGAGGGTCTGAAAAGGGTGACAGAGTGTTAATTAACATTGGCGGAGAAAAGCCCGAGATGAAAAAAGAGACAATGGAGGAGTTAAAATTTTAAGAGGGGATAGAGGCCGTCTGGAAGAGGACAGAAGACGGATTGACTGAGCTGGAAGTTTGGTCCTGCTGCTCAATTAGTGCCCCCGCATGGCTTCTTGGTTGTTGTGTTTTTAATTACAGGCCAGCAGAGCATGATGGGAATAACGGAGTGACCCCCCTGCCCCCTGACCAGACAAACCTTTCCTTATCACACGTACAGTAAGTGAGAACAGCTGCCTCGCCGCTGTTTACTGTAAATATCTTCTCGTTAATTGGATGAGTCACGAGGTTATTCCTCATTGTCAGAGTTGGTTTTATCCAAAGGAGTAACAGCCTCTGATGCATCGCTGATTCTGATGCAAATTAGGGGCACTTAATGCTACCCCGGCCTCACATGTGGGAGCATAAACACAGAGGAGAGGAATCAGCTCCAAACAGCTGCTGGGATCCAAAGGACGCCATAAATGAGGGTCTCAGAGTGGAAAAAAACTCATCAGATGTGTTTCCCTCCTGCTCCTTAAATGTCATCGGAAACACTGAAACACATTCATTATTAGAGGAGAGCCGGGCTGGAGTGTGCCGCCGCCATCGCCACCATCGCCGCCACCGCCATGTGTGTTGTTCAAATGTTTTTGTCGCTTGGAGAAAGACATGTTGTCGCTGCAATCTGTTCAGCCAAACGTGGTGATGCTTTTTTTTTTTTTTTTGTCCAGTAGCTGCGAAACACACAGAGCCGTCCCTGTCAATAACACAGTGTGTTTGTCATTATGACCAGAGGTGTGTGTGTGTGTGTGTGGAGGAGGGGTGTATGTGTTGAATCTTCCTTCCTCATCTTCTCCTCTATACTTATGAGTCTCCATGACAACAGAGCCACCGTCCAGCATCTTGAAGTTTTAAACAGAGGCGCAGGGGTGAAACTATTCGAGAGGATATCATGAGATCCTCTTTGTTTGTCTTTAAAAACTCAATCGCACAGAGACGGTCTTTGTCCCCGACCTCATCAACATCAATTCAGTCCCTGCTGCCGTCATTAATCCACTTTCATTATTTACTTCAAAGAGATAGGAAATCAGCCTTGACAGAATAGTTGGCTGGCTTTTTGTCATTTATTTCCATTTCTGGGGGTCATAGAGGGAATAATGCAGACTGTGTGTCTGTCCACGTCGCAGACAGGTGCTCAGCCAGGCATGGAGCCCAGTAAATTACAGATGTCATAACATGCCAGGATGAGTTTTTTTTTCTTACACGTCTGATCTAAAGCATCTTTAGTCGAGAGCAAACTAAGGAACAGCTTCATCATTTAGGATGTGAATAAGACGAATAAAAACACGCTTTTGTGTCCTGAAATTAGAAATATTGAGCTGCTTTGTGGAAAGAGAAACAGAACTGACTGAGGTTTTTACTCTCAAAGAGGTGTATTGACTGGATATGCATGAAAATATGAATTGAAAGACCTTCAGTGGAAACATAAAGGTTGGAGATTTAATAAAAAAAAGGTAAATGTGTTAAACTTACAGCGCCTGATAAAATGTTTTCAGTCTTTAATGCTGCAGAAATTAGAAAAAGAAGTGTTCTCAGTTTTTGTGAGGGCATTTCAGTGCATGCAGTGATTTCCACTACAGAGTCACATCTGTTTTTCATGTTGTGGAGAAATGAAGAAGCAGTACTGACTGGATATGCATAAAAATGTGAGTTGAAAGACCATCAGTGGAGACATATAGGTTGGAGATTAAAAAAGAGGTAAATGTGTTAAACTTGCAGCACCTGATAGAATGTTTTCAGTCTATAATGCTGCAGAAATGAGAAAAAAATGTGAGGGAATTTCAGTCTGTGCAGTGATTTCCACTACAGAGTCACACCTGTTTTTGATGTTGTAGTGCCAAGGGAGAAATGAAGAAGCAAAACTGACAAAGATTTTCCCCACATATGTGATTGCAATCAACTGAATTTGCCTCATGATATATATCACAAGTTTTTCTAGTTATCCTCCAGCCTCACTGATATAATGATGCACCAGAGACGGAGGAGAAAGAGGTTGTAACGTCTCAGCTCCGATGTTCAAGCTGCAGGAACACAATGTGCTGCACACAGGGTGGACACCTCCTCCAAAGTACAAAACATGAGAAGCACACGAATCTCTGCAAAGCTCTTTTTGCAGTTTGATTAAAGTTTGTTGAAAATGGACCGAGCTTTAATTTTCAGCAGCATGTGCGTTTCAGTGTTTGAGGATTAAGAGATCCGGAGTGTTGCGCTCAAACCTCCTTCAACAAGTGAGCGAAACTGAGAGTTTGGGGACATTTTTCACAAATCTGTCACCGTGAGTCTCTGCGTCATGACAGGCGTCTGTGACACAAAATCTCCCATCCAGCAACACCGACTCATTCACTGAAAGCTTAGAGGAGAAGTCAAGGGGTGGCCGGAAGGAGGACTGGTCCATGAATGAGAGTCTGTCTGCCTCTGAAGTGAGACGTCACCGCCAGCGCGCTGAACATCGACGCGTAAAAACCTGAAAAAAAGGCGCTCCAACATGAGAAAAACACCAAAGAGGAGATGTTCGAGTCGTTTTCTTACATAAAAAGCTGATTTATCTTTTACTCGGACATGACGTGAACTCAGAGTCATCTATTTTTAAATCACCGGGCATGTTTCCATAGCGATTTCAGTGATGTTGCCAAGCAACAGCATCGGATACAATAAAGACATGAATGAAAGTAGACGAACAGCGCGCACACTTCCTGGCAGAGACCGGTCTAAAAGTGAATGGGCTCAGACGCGCCGGCTTGGCTTCGCCTTATTCTGCAGACTATAGCACAGACAGACGTGTTTACTGTGTGGGCTTGTGCCGGAGGAGAGAGATAGAGAGAGAGAGAAACGCGATGTAACAGTTGGCAGACAGCTTGAGATGAGCGCGCAGACAGACATCAGCCGTTTGTTTCTCGGGAATTTGCCACTTGAAAAAAAAACGTTCCTGTGCGTAACGACACTTAATGCATACTCTTAAAGTTATTCCACCTGTTAGATCATCCTCCTGTGTGGTTTCTGCAACTATAGACTGAGACACTGGGTGTGCGTAAAGGGGGTGCGTCCCTGTGCGCACTTGGAAACAAAAAATAAACCACTCCTCGGCAAATCCAGACAATATGACGAGCTAAAAGAACAGTGAACAGTGCAAACTGGGCCAGATGCCCACCCAGAACCCGGGACACGCAGACTTACCTTCAATACAGCAGATCCTCCACAGCCCGGAGTGGGTGAGATCGCCCTTTTTGGATTTGGGCTGCGATTGGGTCTCGTCTGCCGTGGCATTGGTGCCGTTGCAGATGTACGCCCGCGAATAGAGCCAGTAGTCCGTGCCGATGGCGATGGTCATCAGGCTGAAGGCGGCGAAAGCCCCCACGGTGGCCAGGAGCGTTTGAACCCCGCGGTCACACCAACCCATGGCGCTTCATACTAGTCCTCACTCTCAAGCGTCCAGCATGCACTGGAGCGCGTCAGGGCGCGGATCCTCTTTGGTCATACTTGTTCTGGTGCGTAACTTCCCTGTGCTCATCTCTTGAAAGTGAAAACCAATTAAAAAAAGCAAGAGAGGGAGCAGGAATCTAGCCTGAAACGCTCACCTGATGCTCAAAACCAACTGGTTGCTGCTGCTGTGAATATGAGAGGACACCAGTAGTGCCCACTCCAAAGCTCCACGCAGGGTTTGAAGCGCGCAGGACAGCACGACTGTAACATCGTGTGCCAAAACACAACACTCCAAACCTCCTCACCACTTCACTCTCCTGTTTCCCCAAATTTCCCTTTGTCTCAAAGCACTTTTCTCTGCTCCTTCACTGACTGCGCCTCTGTTAAAACCCAGTGCCAAAGAAGGCTACGTCAACGGCTGTTAGTGAGAGACCACACCCTCACCAAATCTAACCAATGGAGATGTGCTCCTGTTGAATAAAGACAGAAGAAAAAAAGTCACAGCCACATTAGAATTTTAAACTGGGTCACAAATAGATTTCACATCTTATTTTTTTTATTTTTGAGTGAATATTTGTCAGACAATTTATCTGTGAGCGCTCCACCGGGCTGTGGATATTTCCAACTCACAGCCGAGTGGACTCAGGGGGGTGAGGAGGGAGAGGATGGGGGAGAAATAATGAGAGAAATTGACACAGCAGTCTCCTCTCTGAGGTGCACTAACGCCACATACAACCAATCTCCAATCCCCTGATGAGCTGAGTGTTTAAAAAGCAATTAGGTGCTGAGAGCTGTGAACAGAGAGCAGATTGTGAATCAGTCAATACAGATAGATAGATAGATAGATAGATAGATAGATAGATAGATAGATAGATAGATAGATAGATAGATAGATAGATAGAACATTAAAGTAAATGGTAGAAGACAAACAAGGCGGCTGTGTTGATTAATAAGATCCTCTTCAGAAAGATTTACATAAACAGACTCTTGTTAATCAGGAGATCTCAGTAAGTGTGAGGACATTTGTAAGATGATGAATCAGAGTTACAGAGAAACAAAAGACAGTAGTAAAGAAAGAAAAATCACTGATAGAGTCTGAGTTTCTCTTTCAAGCAGGGATGCAATTCTAGGATCTACATTTGAGTATTAGGATGGATGACAAAGGAAGAGTATGCATTGGATGCTGCAGCAAGACGAGGGTCCTGGAAATCCAACCTTCAGCTTTGCAGACACATAAACATGTGAGATTGTGTTTTAGGAGAGAAGTTTCTGTCTGTTGGAGCTTTGAGGTCATCCTGTTTAAAGGTGAGCACAGAGAAGATGTCTTCAGGTGTCTTCAGAAAGGACAAACTGAACATGCAAAGGCTTGAGTCATGGGTGTTGCTGGTCTTGGTCTTGGAAGTTTTTCTTCCAGCAGGTGGCCCAGGTTTGACTTCAGCCTGTGTCCCCCTTCTTGCACATTTTACTCTCTATCCACAGCCTCATCCTCTCTAATAAAGTCAATGTCAATGTCAGCTTTGTTTATATAGCATGTTTTAAAAACAGCCAGTGGCCTACCAAAGTGCTTTACAGTAAAATAGCCAGAAACAATAAAAAACAATATAAGCTATAAAAACAAAAGCACAAAACATATAAAAACATAAAACAACAAGAAAGATAAACAAAGCAAATAAATAAAGACCCGAAAAAAGTAACCATACTTCACCAAAAGCTATAGTGACCAAGTGTTTTAAAAGTGGGAAAGCTATTCGTAGTACACACTGTAAGGGGTAAAGCATTTCACAAAGTGGGAGCCATGACAGAAAAGGCTCCCTTGGTTTTTAAAAAGGATCGAGGAACGTCTAAAGGCTCTGACCTCAGGGCTCTGGAAAGTCACAGAAAACCCCCGAAAAATAGAAATGAAAGACAGATCATGTTGTGTCAAGTGTATGCTTGATCAATACTTAAAATCAAGATGCTGAATTATGCAATAAAACTAACTATTCATATTATATCATGCAAGGAAATGACAATAACACTTTATATAAACCTATTTCCAATTTTGCATCTTAAGCGCCTTTTAAAAAGATGTAGAGCAATGATTATGAAGTGTTGTAGGCAGTGATTGTAATGCCTTATAAAAGTATGATTTTAAAATGCATTATACTTTAATACCAAAGAAAAAATAAGTTTTTATAAATGTGATATAGGATCTTATAAATGTAAAAAACTGGGTTATTGTTGTTAAAATGAGTTCTTTCTAATTCATTATTAACCTCACCTTTATAAGATTAAGTTTTGTGATTTTATTTATCTTTAAGTTTTAATTTTGCCTTATAATTTTATCGTTAAACTTGAGTAGAAAGCTTTATGGACCGACTTAAACAGCTTTTTTTATCACATACTGTCATCATAATTCAGGGCTGTTCTTGCTTTTCCTCCGCGGCCCAGTAGGTGGCGACAAACCGCTGCTTCATTGGAGAAAAAGGAGCTCGTGGGAAAAGTCCATCCGCCTATCAGAGCAAACTCACAAGGAGTGGACAGTGACGTCACAGAACGGGTGCCTGTTAGTGTTTGGCGCATGCGTACTGCTCCAATCTACCGTACTGTGGAATTCACCGACTGTAAATTTGCGCATGCGTGGAGGTGTCCAGTGACGACGGCGTCCTCGCTCTGTTTATTTCCTGTTTCTATCCGAACAAAAGGCCTGCCCCCTTTTTCACGAGCACCTCTCCTCCGCCATCGTTACTTTACGTGTAATCACGATTACTAAACCGGATTACGGTACTTTTGCTCGTATTTGTGGACGTCTCCGACTGTAGAAATGGCGTCCGTTATTGATGCGGACCCGCAGGACAACTACGGTGAGAGCAAATCGGCAATGCACACTTGGCGTTATCGCCACCATTTCACGTACAAGGCAGATCAAGGGAAAAATATCATCGTCCAGTGTAATCTTTGTCTGCCGAGGGTAAATCTGCTGTCCACGTCGAAAACATCCACATCAAACCTAAAGAAGCATTTAGACGTAAGTCACAGAGAGAGATTTCCCTGTAATGCTTCAGGTTAATGATTAAAGAGTGAATGAATGAACAGATATCTACTCTGGTAATCAATAACGTTACACTGTCTCTGCATGCTGAGCTCAGACTCACTGCAGCCTCTTTAACTTTAACCAGGCTGAGAGGGAAAATTAAGAACTCTGCAGGGGAGATTTTCTTTCTGTAAATGTGAAGTTTGCAAACTTCTCTAAACTCTGAAAATGTGAGTGACAGAGACAGAAAGAGCTGACAGGAACCTTGTTGCTGCTCTGTGTTTCAGAGGACACATCTGGGCTGTGATGCCAGGCCTGATGCCAAGAGAGGGAGGAGGAGAGACGAGCAGAATGGGGACGAGAGCAGACACCTGCAGCTCAAGAAGCTCAAAGCTGAAATCATGGCCAAGTGCATGACCCAGACAAAGACTGATGATCTCATCTTCAACTTTATGGTGGAGGACTGTCAGTCCTTCTACCTGCTGGAGCAGCCCGGCTTCAGGAAGCTGATCGAGGGTCTAACTGAGGGGCTCAAGTCCATGGACAGGGTGACTCTGTTCACTAAGGTGGATCAGGGTTTCTCCAGGATGCGTGAGGAGCTGATGTCCAAGCTGAGCAGCGTCCAGTACGTGTGCACCACCGCTGACGTCTGGACGGCCAACAACAGGAGCTTCTTCGGGATGACCTGCCACTGGATCGACTCTTCTTCTCTGGAGAGGAAGTCTGCGGCTCTGGGGTTCGCACGGCTGCAGGGCCGGATCTCGTACGACAGCATCGCCGGGCGGATTCATGACATCCATGTTGCGTACAACATAGAGAGTAAAGTTCAGACCACGGTCACTGATAACGGCAGCCCCTTTATGAGCGTGTTCAAAGAGTTCGCAGCAGACAGCCAGGACAGTGATGACGACATCGGTTTCTATGAGAACGTGGGCGCCGTCCTGGAGGGCGAGCCGGAGCAGGACATGCTGCTGTTCCTGCCCACCGTGCAGCGCTGTGCGTCACACACCCTGGAGCTGATAGTGACTGAGGACTTCTGGCAGGCGGTGTCAGAGGGGCCCATGTGTCAGCTGCATTACAGCACCATGGCGAAGGTGTACGCCATATGGAGCAAATGTCACCACCTCCAGGTGGGCATGGACGCCGCAGAGGAGATCGGGAAGATGGCGCTTGTTGTCCCGGCTGTCATACGGTGGAACGTGGAGTACTGCGCCGTGCAGAAGGTCATCTCTCTGACTGAGCGGGAGCTGACGGAGCTGTGCGCTCGTCTGGAGGTGCCTCGCCTGCAGCCGGAGGAGAGGGCGTTCCTGAAGGAGTACGTGACGGTCTTCCACCCGCTCGCTTTTGCACTTGAACTTTTCCAGGCGGAGCAGAAGTGTTACCTCGGTTTGGTCATTCCCACCATCCTCAGCCTGAAGAATAAGCTAAACGAGCAGAAAGACGCTGCAAATTACCTCGCCGATGTCATCAACGCCGTGGTCATGGCCATCGATGTGCGGTTTCAGGAGCTGTTCACCAGCACGGAGGCGAAGATCGCGACAGCCACGACGCCTCAGTTCCGCTTGTGGTGGATGGCGGCCTCGGAGAGGGACGAGATGTGCTCCCTGCTGGCGACGGAAGCCTCCCAGATGGATCCCTGCATCATCACGGTGGCGAACACCAGCAGGAACTCGTCCACCATCGAATCGGAGGACGACTTCTTCAGCTACGGGCCCGTGAAGCCCGCCATCCAGATGCAGCAGCGGGGCGTGATGGAGGAGGTTCAGAAGTACATTGAAGGAAAGGGGAAGAGCTTAGAGTGCCTTCAGGACTTCCCCAGAGTGAAGCAGCTCTTCCTCAAGTACAACACCACCCTCCCCTCCACCGCGCCCGTGCAGCGCCTCTTCAACCTGAAAGGAAACCTGGTCACCTCGCAGAGGAACTTTCTGACCGACGACTACTTTGAACGCATTCAGCTTTTGAGATACAACAGCAGCGTGTGCACTTTGGCCACCGAGTGAATAATCGGCGACTCTCTCTCTCTTTTTTATCTGCCTTTAACGATGAAGAATCAAACCATGTTGTGCTAAAAACACCCCGAGTCATCCATCATTTCAGACGGGTCAGCCCGGATGTGTGTCGTCGTCTTTTTACCTGTTTTGATAGAGTTAATGTCACACTGCTGATTCAAGAAAACTGACAATCATGGACGGAGGTAATCAATGACTGAAGAGGCGTCTGTTGATTCTTGTTATTGTTGTGATAAAAGTAGCTCCAGGGTGAAACTGAAGTGAATCTAGTTCCTTTTTTCTATGGCTGTTCAATGAGAATGCATCTCCTGTCTGTATGTTTTATATCAAGTATAAAGAGACATGGAAAGAGCGTCTCTGCAGTCTGCATCTTTATGAAAGTAATCAGGTTAGCTTCAGGAGGGATCGGCGCTTCATTTGCGTTCATTACCGTTTCAGAGAAGCTTTTGTTCCGGCGTCAGGAAGACTCCGAGCACACAGAAAAAAAACGCAGAATCGAGTCCTGCCGAGTCCCGAGAGTTTTCCCCCCTCTCTGCCATGTGTCCACACGTCAGTCTTGTCAGGCAGCTGCCTGGAGACCAACAGGAGGCTGTCAGAGCGCACAATCGCACACTCTCACACAGACCCGAGCTGTCGACAACATGACACTTCTGAAGATGCGAAAGCGAACCCCAGGAGAGGACGGGGGGGCTCGGGGATTTGCCTTTTCTTCTTTTCAACATCATCATGTGTGATTTTGTATGTATGAATTCTGGTTGTCTGTTTTTTTTACTTTGACTTGTCTGCAGCCGGAGGAGGAGGAGAAGAGGGAGACGACAGTAAGTGTGCCGCTGAAGGAAACACTCATCAGGTTACAAAAGAAGATTAAACGGGTTATCAGAAACTGAATCTTGAGTAAAAGTGAAAGAGGAGACCAAAATACTTCAGGGCTCTTGCAGTAATGGGGATGATTGGATTGGATTGTGAACAATGACTTAAATAAGATGTTAAATTTAAAGTTTTGGGGGTTAGAGTCTGTAATAATGCTGCAGAAGGAGATGACGCTGCAGCTGCAGGTGGTTGAGGTGATCAGGGTGGGGCTGCACAATCTTAAGGCACTGCAATAACTTTGGACACAACTCAACTCAGTGTTTTCTCACTCAACATGCACAGATGAAGTTACGACTTTTACACCACCTTAAATCAGCTTTCCTCTGATTGATGATGAAAAAATGATTTTTGAGGATGCATCCTGCAAAAAAAGGTAATGTGTGAAACATTTGGAGCAGCAAAAGAGAGTGGGAGCAAATATTTTAGCCAACATGCTCTTCCTTTTTTAAAGGTTTTGGAGTATTTAACAATGCCATCACACTTACTTTTATACTGTGAAGGCCTAGTGTCAAGATTGGCTCTTAAAGGGCTGTTTCAAATGTGGTTAAAAAAAAGAAATGTTTTGTTTTAAGAAGAAAAGAGACTTCATTTATACAGTTTAATGTCTTTTTACAAATGTTGCAGCCCCCTGATGGAGCAGAGAGGAGAGCAGATGATTGGCTGATGGAGGCTGTGGTCAAACCTGGAGTAAAGATCTATGATCAGGAGGATAAAGAGTCACAGAAGTATTTGCTTTATAAAGCCAACCCAAGTTTGTTTGAGTGCAGCAGGAGCGATCAGAGCAGCGAGGCAGTAACGTCAAACTGAACTCATTCAGGAGATGAAGTGCAGCACACTGCCAAGTTAATGAACAGTTCTCATTCATTGAGTCTGTTAGGCCACCGTGAGGATTTTTTAATGCAGATTAAAATTTATAGTGAGGCTTTTTTATCACCAATAAAAGAAATCAGTATACTGCCTCAACATTTACAGGATAAAATCGTCTTATTTGCAGCAGCGGTTGCTTTCTTGAAGTCCTGTTTTTGGGCTTGGATTGACAATCTTCTCTGAACTCATGATATTGTTCAGAGCTCACCCCCCCTTCAGTGCCACACAGTACAAAACAGAAACAGAAAGTATCACCTGTTGCTTTTGGTCTTACTTAAAAAAGTAAAGCTGTTCTGGTGAATCATGGTGAAAGAAATCCACCAGATTCTCATGAAATCCACTTTAGGTTTGCATGACCTGAGAGATGTGCCACTCTATCTTCATGCTGTACTTAATACATGTATTCTGTGTTAACGCTGCGCCTTTTAAAATTTCATTAGTCATAGATTAAATTAAAAAGATCTCTGCACGCAAAGTCATGGTGGAAGTGTGCAGGGACCGTCTGCAAAGTGCAGCACTGACAGAAAATGCAGAAAAATCTCAACACATTAATTCTGCTGTTTGTATTCATTTGGAGGCACAGCTTTCCCCTCCACCCTCAGTTTCCTGTCAGGTTCAAACCTCAGGGATGGTCCTTATCAATATTTATGGATCCTCCATGTTCTGGTCACATATGTCAGTTATTATCTGCAGGGATTAATTCGTCTCTTTGCACTTTTATTTTTTTGCATTTCCTTCGCCCTGTGTCTTGCGTTTCCCTCCCTCACACCTCTCTCTCTCTTGTGTTGTGAGTCTGTTTGACTCTAAAGTTCCTGAATGAAACCTTCTGAAAGGAAATCCTGCCACCTGTTGGACACAGCTGTAACTCCGGTTGAAACAAACATCAGTCCTGAGTTCAAAGTTTGACCCAAAGTTTGAGTTTTAATGAGTTCAGAAAAAGAAATGGTACAAAGTATTACCTCAGAGAGCGCCAAGTAATACCCTCGACCACACATTAACCCCGCCCCCCCCTTACACACACTCACACAGACAGACAGAACAGGATCATTTGAGGCACAAAGTGGGTGGAAGGTGTACAGTGTGTGTGTTAGAGAACTCCTGTCAGTACTTTGATTAAATCCATCACTGAGCCCTTGTCCTCACAGTCCTCTTATGCTTCCTCCCTTTCAAAATAAAGGTATTAGATTCTCTTTGTTATACAAAAGCAGCATAGAAGAGACAAACGCTTGAACCAGCTGAGTCTCTGTTAGGATTCGGTAACTCTCTACAGCAAGGAGGGAAGCATCAGAAGCTGTTCCAGACACGGCGGACATGTTTCTTACTCTAATGCCCTTCTCTCACTTTGTCTGGTCCTGCCGGTTCAGCCCGGGTCACTTCAGGAGCAGTTTGGCAGGACCAAAGTGTCCCAGATTCTCACAGGACTTAATCCAGCGCTGGACGTTGGCAGGCGCCGAAGAGGCCGACCCGCTTTGTAGCACGCAGCAGTAGCAGGCGACGTCCGCCAGGGAGAACTCGGACCCGGCGAGCCAGGGGTTGCGGCCCAGAGCGGAGTTGAGGGCCCTCAGGACGGCGGCGCGCTCCTTGGTGCTGCCTTCTGCCAGCTGGAAGAACGCCGTGTCCACCCAGTTGTCCACCATCGTGGCGGCGGCGGGGTCGCTGGGATACAGGGCCAGTAGCTTGAAGAGGAAGCGTGCTACGTTGGCTTCGCCTTCGATGGGACACATGCTCTGGACGCTGAACTTCATCTGCAGTTTGGGGACTGAAAACAGGTCAAGGGTCAAAGTCAGTGAAAGAATCGAGCAGTTTTTCAGCTAGTGAATCACAAATGTGAAGCTTGTTTCTAACAAATCAGTGAATCTTTTTCTCTGTTTTGCAGAAAATCAATCTGCTTTTTTAACATTTTTGCAAAAAATTCAACCGAGCAATTCCAGTCACCAAATGTAAAAAACAACTATTCTGTTAGTCATGCAGAGAAAGGACTCCCTGGCCCTCCTTTCAAAGTGTCATTTTCTTTCTGTTTATCCAGATCCGGGTCGCAGGGGCAGCAGCTTCAGGAGAGAAGCCCAGACAGCCCTCACCCCAGCCACTTCCACCAGCTCCTCTGGGGGGATTCCCAGGCGCTCCCAGGCCAGGCGAGAGATATAATCCCTCCACCTGGTCCTGGGCCGGCCACGAGGTCTCCTCCCAGTGGGACATGTCTGGAACACCTCTAATGGGAGGCATCCTCAGCTGACTCCTCTCGACGTGGAGGAGCAGCGGTTCTACTCTGAGCGCCTCCTGAGTGTCCGAGCTCCTTACCCTATCTCTAAGGCTGAGCCGGCCACCCTGCTGCGAAGGAAACCCATTTCGGCCGCTCGTATCCGCGATCTTGTTCTTTCGGTCATTACCCAAAGTTCATGGCCACAGGTGAGGATCGGCACGTAGATCGACCGGTATCAACCGGTTCCATGACTGATCGGTGCTGACGCCGCTCCGATCCGCCTGTCGATCTCCTGTCCTTCCTTCCCTCACTCGTGAACAAGATCCCGAGATACTTGAACTCCTCCACTTGAGGCAGGACCGCCCCTCCGACCTGGAGAAGGCCATCTACCTTTTTTTTTATGTTTACTGAATTAATTGACTAAATTATAATCCCCTTTGGAGGGTCTGGGTAAATGTTCCTGCTCTCTACTTTAATAGCCTGATATCTGAGTTCAGTGTTTGTTATGATTACCTTGGCAGTGTGAAAGGTGTTGTAATTAGCTCTCTAGTCTTAGAAGAAACAAGTAGCGGGCCACCTCCACTCTTTCACAAGAAATTACATCCAAACTAAACAGCGAGCTTGTTGTTTCATCAGCACCGACATAATAACTGCAGAGGTGGATAACACATCAGCGCTTTGTTTTCTCGCTCCTCGTTCGAGCCTCACCATCTTTCCATATGAGAGTGAAGCCCAGCTGGAACAAGCGGCGGGCGTAGCTGTCCGCATGGCGTGGGCCGAGGCACGACAGGAGCTGCGGCGGCACGCTGCTGACCGAGGAGTGGACGTGGACATTTGAGAGCACCCGGTAGCGTTGGCAGAGCAGGCTGTGGAGCACCAGCAGGGTCAGAGGGGGCTGCGCGGGGTTGGCGTTTATGACGATGTCACGGAGAGCGCCGGGGTCCTGGAGACAAAAAAATGACCCAACATCCAAGATAAATGAAGAGTAACAACAACAAGGTCGAAACAGTCTGCACAAACAGGTTAGGTTCTGTACACACCCACATTTTTATTCGAAGCGAATTCCAACACAAGCATGAGGAGAAGTTTTTATAACTTGTAATGACAGGCAGGCGTGACGGGTTTGATCAGGTTAACTCTGTTTTTGCAGCGACTGGGAGAGAAAGAAGTTTGAAGTGTGTCGGATGCAAAAAGTAAAATGACGACTGTGTGTCGGGATTGCCTAAATTTTCCTGTAAAATTGTCTTTTAATGTTTTGAGTATTAAAAAAAACCTCAAGGTGAGATGGAGCTGCTGCTACAAAAACAAATGTTTGTTTTGATTATTCTGGTGCAAGAAAACAAACTTATTTCAGGCTTTTTTTGTTCATCTTTGTATGCAATTAAATTAATTTTTGCTAAATTGTTGGGTTGAGTTCTCATCAGTGCGCCTCCTACAACAACACTCTGTCCTCAGTATTCAATCTTAAGTCAACACCTTTTGTTTTTGTCCCCAGCTGAACTGTCACAGTTTTGGTGACAGCCATTTTCAGTCACACCCACATTTCTGATGGAAACTGCGACACTCTTCCTCGTTTCTCACCTTGCCTAGCACCGCGTCCAGGTCTGCGATCCCCTTGAAGGTTGTAGTGCTTTGGGAGGAGAGGCTGCTGCTGACTGTCAGGTCCAAGTCTGCGTCCGGTGTGGTGACCGTCTTGGCCAGGCCCTCCACGGCGGCTTTCAGCTCGTACAGTTTCCTCATGATCTCATCTTGTCGTGCCTCCAGAGCCCTGACGGCCGGGTCCACCTCGCCATTCTGCGGAGAGGAAGAGAGAATAGCTTAATGAGGTCGAAAACCACGAATGGGAATTGACAGTTTAAACCTTTCAGGCACATCCCAGCAACACGGAAACAACTAGCCTCTCCTTGTACATTTGCATTTTGAAAGTACTGTCAATACATTTAACAACCTCCCAGTCTTGAGATGGGCCTAAACACACGTATGAAGAAACATGGAAATCTTCAAGGACACGACCGTAGATAGAGAGTTACTGCCATGCACCATCAAATTAGGCTTCAAATATACCTGACAAGTGCTTGCATTAAGATGTACAATTATACTGCATGTTAGAGAGTTGCATTATTATTTTAGACAAATTAATGTACTTTTCTGCAGTAAAGCTCGAATAATAACATGTCAATCCAGCTGTTAGACCAGTACTCTGTCACAGAAAATATAATGTTCCTCTATCAAGTGTAATTACTTGCAAATTTCACTGTCACATTTGTTTCTTCTGTTCAGCCCAATCATCATGATAAGCACCTAAATGGTTAATTTAGAGTTTCAATTTCAGAATCGAATAATTTATTTAGTTCAAAGCTTTTAATAGTTTGTTTTTGATAATTTAAACGTGTTGCAGGGTCATTAAGTCATTATTGCATCAGCCAGAAGTGAAAGTACCCATTTAACTGACACGCCAAGTTAGCCGGTGTTATAGCGAAAAGTGCTTTCTATCGAGGTGTGTCCCTGAGTCGCATTGCGCATGCGTACAGCCACAATCCTGGGTGTAAATCAACATCGGGAAGCTTATTCCAGCACATTAAACTAACATAGGATTTTTTGTATACTAATAATACAATGTTTTTTAATAAATACAAATATACTGCCAACTCTCTGAACATGAAATTTCATTGGTTAGCGGTGCCACCTAGGGTAATCCTGACGTGGCAAAATTATTTAACAGGGTATTGATTTAATTGAGATAAATTATAACTAATATCTTACGAAAAAGCAAAGCTGTCGTATTCTTGTGGTTGACTTTCACTTTTTTCATCAATTAATGCAAACCAACACCGTTTACAATCGACTCACGCTACAGTAGCTTTTTTTGGCAAAGCAGCAAAACTCGTCATAACACCGGCTAGCTTGGCTAAGCTAGCTAATGCTAACACGTCGAGCAACAACACCATGCCAGAATACGTGACCAAAACGTGCTGTGGGAATTAAACATGGGGTGAAAATGATAATGGAATATTAATACAAAAATTTAACAAAAATCTACCGATTCGTAATGAAATTAGTCAAGAGTTACCTGAAGCGCGTGCTCAGAGGTGCAGCTGTCTCCCGGCTGCTCGTGGACATTTGGTAACTTGTACATGCACGTCGGTAAATCAACCTTTATTTCACCCCCACAGACGGGTTTTACCTGGTACATGGGCATGCTGGAGGACAGTGAGATGATTACTGTCAGAACAAAAAGGTGAAAAACTAAAAGCCCGGGTTCGGGTGTCTCTCTGGGCTGTCAGGTGTTGACAGGCAGCAGCAGCGGCGACGGCGACGTACCGACGCTCCCGGTGAGGCAGGGCGGAAGAGGCCGCAGTGACATCATATCCGGCTGCGTTCAGGTGTCGTCCCAAAATCGGAAAAATGAGACTTTATTAGAAAGTTTTCGTATAAGGCAGAACACTTTTTTTGGTAGAGGTTTTAATTTTTTAATCTTAACAAAATATGACGAATCAACATCAAGAGAAACAGCAAGAAATCACCCCAAATTAAAAACAGAATAAAGGCTTTTTTCAGAGTGTTTTCATCGATGGATTTGTAATATTTTTATTTTGTACATGTGATTGTCTTATTGAAAAAAATGTAAAACTACCCATCACTATTGAAAATTAAAATTTACACTGTTATGAAAAGCCTAAATAACTAATGTTGATGTATTTAAGAATACAATAATAATGATATTTTTTCTGACCATTGGGAATGAAAACTAGTCACATCCTGGAAATATTTAACACTTTGAGTAATGCAAAATATTCACGTGTACCTTTTAAATGTTGAAAAATACTAATTCACCACAGAACTTGTGAATTTTGGGTTTTTGTTCCAGAAAATATGAATTTATTGATCCTTCCCGTGGGGAAACTAAAGCTTTAAAGATGGCAGCGCTTGTGAGCATGGTGTTTTCAATGACAGAGAATAACTTTAGTTTCGACGAATTAAATTGAATACTTTTTTGGAAGTAGCCGAGTGAAATAATACATTTGTACCATTTTTCATTTATTTAATTATTAAAATTAAAATTCACACTTTGTGCGGCACTTCCAAAAAAATTAAATGTTGGAGTTTTTTGGCTCCAACCGTGATGTCACTTGGCGGCCGGAAGTGGATGTTGTTACGGTGTTTTGGCGCAATAACTTGTTGTTTGAGTAATTCTGAGCGATTAAGTACACAGTTTTTCGAGCAGTATCCGCGATTTTAAAGATTAGGAGTTACAGTTGGTCAACGGTAAGAATAATTTTGAAATTCCGAGCTGAACATGAACGCAGACTAAAAACAGGAGTAAAGCGATGAAGAGGCGGTGAGTTACCTGGTTAAATTAGACCTTCTTTACCTGCTTTTAAGGAACAGGAGAGTTTTGAACTGTTTTATCACACTGTGGTTCCCAAATCCGTCAGATTGTCACATGCTATTTGAAGTTATCTGAGTATATTATCAACCTAAACACACTAGAGGACGCCACAGTCTAACTTTCTGATACCCTGTCTCTGCAGGTGGAGGAGGTGAGCAGTGAACAGAGGAGGTGATGGGAGGTAAACTTTTCAACAAGATGAATGTCTGAACAGGTAAAAAATGTGTTTTTTTGCACACATGATCACTAGTGGGTCTCAAATGAAGTTTTACATCTGATTTGCTCTCAGTATCATTGGCTGCTTGACTTGTTTGGGATTATCAAGAGCTATGGTGTCTGTTATGGAGGTTGACCGCTTGTTCTTAAAATTAATCCTAAAATGGACAAAAAGTTAGTAAAGAGTATAATGATGAAGAATTGTTTTAGTGTAATTTGCAGCTGATTTAAGACACGGGTAAAACCGACCCTTAACAAAGTGGGTGTGTAGTGACGGCTAACACAGGAGGAAGGTTAAGAAGAGCTGTGGTGTCTGTTATGAATTGTGTTATGAATTAACAGTTATGACTGTTTGTTCTCAAAATTAATCATAAAATGGACAAAAAGTTATTATAGAGTATAATGATAAAATGTTTTATTTCTTGCATCGGGACGGTAAACCTGCTTAGAAATCACTATAACTATTAAATATACTCAATTATTCTTAAAGTCACCCCTCATGCTGAAGTTCAGAGTTTACAGTTGGGCTGCCGACATCTTTTTTTTAACAATAGTTGTCAAATATATTAACGTCTTCTGTCAGATATGGTTTCCTCCACTCCGTTCCGCTGACCACTTGTTGCTCTCATCAAATCAGTGACCTCCACTGAGCTGGCGTTAATCACAGAAGTGATCTTTGACTTAAGTAAACCAGCAACACAATCCTTAACCAGGAAGCACTTGAAGAGGCCACGACTCCGCCTGACACCGGCTCTCCTTTGACATGCGGTCGCCTTCTTCTCTGTCAGAGGAATCAGCTCGGTCCAGTTTCACACTACACCCACATCAGCTGCAGAGAGAGAGAGAGAGAGAAAGAGAGAGAGGTTTAATGAAAATCCTCAGTTTGGTTTGCTGTTCGGACTTCTTGTTGACCCTGAATTATTAACCGTTTGATGAAGTTTGGCAGAAGAAAGAAAAGGAGTTTGGTGTTTGTGTGTATGTGTGTGTGAGCGTGTGTGTGTGTGTGGAGGGAAGCTGGGGCCAACCTGGCAGCCCTCGCTGAGGTAATAGACAGATCTGATGACCAGACGAAGACCTGAGCGAGAAACTGAGACTCTGGAGGGAGCTGAAACCTGACAGTTCACAGTAGTTGTTTAAATCATGTAGGAACAAGGGACATGAAGTCTGTCAGGCCGTAGATTACAGGACAGCAGGATGTGGGCTGACACGGGCCGAGCAGGTGCTGTCTTACACCGACGTTGAGAACTGACCAACAGAAACGAATACAACACAACCTCAGAGGAATGGGTGGACATTTGGGATGTTTGATATTGGGTTTTAAACACTGATACTGATATATAACCAGCTTTTTTATCATTATAAAGAACGTAATCGAACTGATCTTATCTTATTGAGACAGTTTGTTCATTTTAGACATGTGTCCACCTTTCCTTATACTTGTTCTTATTAAAAATGAGCATATCTACAAGGTCGGGTAACAGTCGACACAAAGGTCATAACTGGTGCAGAAGCAGAAAATACACGCTCAGATGTTGCTGGTGTGCAGAGAGTCCACTGGGAGCAGGATCTTTAGTCCCTTTAGTTCCCTTTGCAATGTGGTTTTAAGAGCTCAGCCTTGCACAGAGACCAGAACCAGAGGGGAACAGCTAGCACTGCTCAGAGCTTCTGTGAAGGACCTTCAGTTTGTGTGGATGTTGCTGCAGACAAGTCGCTGCTTGTGTCTTTGCTAATTTAGTTCCATGCATGTGCAAGTTTTTGTTCCTCAACAGAGAATCTCATCTTACCTTACTGTGAAAGTCAAATGTATCACCTGTCCAGAATCTGCAGCGTGGCACATGTAACATGATGTGGTTTCTGCAGCAGGCAGCTAAAAATGTAAAGGAGCAGAAAAGGGCGCATGAGAGTAAACTTGGATCAAAGTTTGAGTATTTTTTATTAGAACATCCTTGTGCTGAGACTTACCAATCTGTCTCACCTTATGTCCCGCCCACAATACAATCTGATTGGCTAGACATCCAGGTACTCTGAGTGTAACTAGTGAACTGTCAACTCATTAATCTAAAGACGTTTAAGCAAAGTTTTGTGTTTGAGTTTTTTAATATTCCTAATTATATCAAATATATCACAATAAAAATGTTATCATGATATTTAAGGAAAACTTGAAAGTAAAACGACACAATCAGTCAAAGTGAAGTGCATACGAAAGAGGATCAGGCAACATGAAGAGAAAATAAAAAATTACAGGAAGGAGATTAAAGTCAAATTTTGAGATTAAAAAATCGAAATTATGTCAATGAAGTCGACATTTCGAGAGTAAAAATTTAAATTTCGAGATTAAGTCGAAATTTTGAAGTTACAAAATGTCAATATATTGTGAATAATGTCGAAATTTCAAGATTAAAAAAATTAAAAATTTGAGATTAAAGTCGAAATTTCGAGATTAAAGTCAACATGAATAAAGTTTAATCTCAAAATGGAGATTAAAAAAATTCTCCCTCCTGTAATCATTTTTTCTCTTTTTGTGGCCCTAATCCTCTTTTGTAGATGCATCATTTCACTTCCTAAACCTTCCTAATAAACACATTTACCATACATGTCATTATGTGTTTCTAATAATACTAAAATCCATGATAATCATCAATCCTCTGTCTAAAATTTTTCTTTAAAAGGACATCACCTCAGTTAAACGGTTGTTCATCATGCTTTTATTTTGGTATCTTTTCTGTCTAGTGTTTTAGGTTTCTTTTTATGTCCTGCATTGTTGAACTGTGCTTTTATTTTGAAGGATTATAATTCTGGTTGCTGTTTGTCACATAGCTGAGTAGAAATAGTGGAAAGAGTCAGAAAGCATAAATTTGAGTTGATTAGATTAATGTATAAAAGAGTCAAAGGTCTCATGAAGCGTCCAGGACTTCATCACATCACGTTTAAGTCCTCTCTGTCTGACTCCACTTCATTTACGGGTGTTGTAAGGTGTTTACTGACTGGACACCACCTTGACGTAAGCGTCCTTTAGTTGTCCCCTCAGACCCCACACTTTGCCGCCTTTCTCCTGCGAGTCAAACTTATGTCCGTGATGACACTCGCCGTCTTATCTGATTGTGCCTCCTCATTTGGAAAAGTCTGTAAAGTACCCGTCTACAGCTCCACGGCGGCCATTACTGCGTCTGAGGGTGAGTCAGCGCATGTGGCAGCTGCTCAGGGGTTTAAGCAGGGTGTGGCCGCAGGTTCAAATTGCAAACTTGCATTAGTTAATCGCTTAAGGTGTCTATATAAGACTCACCAATGCGATAATATGCAAACAAAAGGCTCGTGCCACAATGGAAGGAGATTTCTAGAAATGGCCTTCGAAGAGCGATGGGACGGCCATTGATACGAGCTCAGGCCATCATTCATTCATGAAGGGACGCCGCACACAGACATCATAAGTAGAGGCTCAGGACTAATGCTTGTTGGGGAACAGAGGCAGCTCTGTCATCCTTTGCATTATGGATAGAGTTCCTGCGCAGAGCTCACAAAGCCCATTCAGTCCTCCTAACACGCCAGTTAAATCTTTCACGACGTTCCTCCCCGTTCAGACTATCAGGTGGCATCATCCCCGATCCCCCTGAGCTCCAAATCAGCGGGAATGAGCCAAAATATGACCTCTGTTTACCTCACATGACTCTGGACGCTCGGCCGATGCCAAAACGCTCCAGCTTCCAGTTACCTGGTGTGTTGTTGGAGCGCCCGAGTTTGGGATCAGTTAAAGATGGGGCGCGCATTAAAGTTTCACACGGACTTAATCAGTAAGGTGAGCCTGACACTCCTTTCTTGATATGAGTTTTGGTGACAATGAAGGGAGGACATGAATTATTGACGTGGCGAGCAGACGAGCAGGCCGGCCCTGTGTGTTCATCCTAAAGCGCTCGTCCGGAGCAGATCCACGGTGCAATCACACTAAACGCTTCAATACAGGAGTGAGTGAATTATAAGTTAACACTTAAGTTTGTTACTTGATGCTGCATCCTTACATTACAGATTGACTACAGCCGATGAAACCGTTACATCTCCCACTGCAGCCCTTGACGCTGAAATCAATCCTTCAACGTGTTCAAGGCGTGTTTTGAGTTTTTCTCCAACTTATTATTATTCTTTTAATTTTTGTTTTTTAAGTTCAGGGTTTGTTACTTCACACAATTTGTTCCTTTTTGCTGATTTTTTTAGGCTTCTTGGCTTTTATTTGACAGGATAGGGGAGGGAGATGCATGCTGGATTCGGATCCAAGCCACGTCTTCATAAATGTGGGTATGCATCCTTGACTCTAATGTCTTTGAGGGTCCTCCTCATCCAGGATCAGGTCACACTTCCCTCTCCCAGTTAACACTTTCCAGCTCCTCCTTCAGGATCCTGAGGTGTTCTCAGGCCAGATGGGAAATCTAATCTCTCCAGCGAGCTTTGGGCCCACGAGATCTCCTTCTTGTTGGATTGGATGCTCACGAAAATTCCGTTTGCCAAAGGGAGTAATGCCCGAACCACCTGACATCTCCTTCTGATGCAAAGGAGTAGATGATCTAAACCTTCTCTTAAAGACTCGGCCCAACCACCCTTTGGAGGAAACTTAGTTTGGCTGCTTTTATCTACGAGATCATGACCTTAGTTGAGGGTTGGAACGTATATCGTCGCGCCTTCCTGGTCAGCTCTCTTCACCATGACGGTCCTGCTGAAGCTGCAGTGATCAGCCTGTCAATTCCATGATCATTCAGCCCTCACTCATGATACTTGAACTCCCTTATTTGGAGTAATGACTCGTCCCAAACCCAGAGAACCATGGCCTCAGACTTGGAAGAGCTGACTCTCATCCTCATCTCATGTTACACCACGTTTCCCACGTTACCTTTGTACCTTTTCAGCTGATGTTATTCGACGAAGACAGAGCGTGTCCAACATCAGTAAAAAAACAGGTTTTATTATTTACAAAGACTAGTCCTCAAGACAAGGTTAAGTCTCAGCTAGTGATTCTCAATCCGTCCTAATCCTCTGTTTGCAGAGCACTTTGCTGCTCTAGCCAGTTAAGCCAAAAACATACAGGATCCGTATTGAGCGCGTTCTGTATTTGCTCCGTAGAGCAGCTCTGGGTATCGCCAACAGGATGCGTATTTGGAGCGTGGCAGCAGCATAGTGCAGCGCACACGAATCAGGAATTGACCATCAGAACCAGGAAGTATTTCTCATCTACACAAACTGATGAGCAGTCAGGAGTTCACATATGGTGTTTTATTTTGAAATTTCCCGGATGACATGCGAGGTTTTGGTGCTTAACATCCTGTCCAGAGCGATCTTCTCTGTGTAAATTGATGCGTTTTGGAGGCATAGAGCAGCAAAAATAGACTTGTCGCGTATCTTTAGCAGAGCCACGCTCAGTACAGAACTGCGATGGAGCTGATACGCTTGATACACAACGCTGATGATGCGCGCTTAAGAAAGATCCTGTATGTTTTAGCCTTTATTCATCATAGTGCAATCTCAATTCATCATTATATCATCTTTAAACACAGTATGTACATCTTTGCGCCGTGCATTCTCTCATTTGCGTGAAGTCATTGACCTGTCAGGACCGTATGCACTGTATTCGCACTCTTGTAGCAACAGGAATTCGCTCAGGTCAAGATGTTTTCACGCACCAAACTCTAAACAAATCCAGAAATTTTCAGATTCTGCTGCATGTGTGAATGCAAACAGACAGAGTTTTTACCCTGCTTTTTCCCGAGATGAGTAACAACGTATTTGTGATGCAAACTCGGAAAAGCAATTCCAGAGAAAAGGCTTCAGATAAACTGGAGTCCCAGTCAGTCGAGCAGGTGCCCCCATAAACAGAGGCACCAGCCTTTAAGCACCATTTGCAGGATCGACTCTCTGCCTTGACCTTTACAGAAATGTCTTCTCCACTTTCTTCTCCTTAACACGTCGCTCCTCGGCTATTCTGTCAATACAGGAAAAAAACGGGTCCGAAAACAGTTACAGCTTTAAAAAAACAAGATTAACTTTTGTTAGTTTGGTGAGGATTCTACAGCTGAGCACAGAAAACACGGTTAATGAAGACCAGTGTTTGATTACACACACAGTAATATATTACACACGTTTTGTTTTTTGCAGATAGTATTTTAATAGCAGTTTTAAATAATGTCTCCAGACGTTGCAGATGTTCCTCAAACTCCGCAGACTGAGTAAAGTTACATAAAATGCAGAAGCAGCTGCTGTTGTCTGTTATTTCTCTCACATTTTCTCAAATGTCACACAGACTTTATTGGTCTGTCAGGGTTGGTGCTGCCCTATAGAAACAGAGTCGTCTCCCTCCCTCGCTCTGGTTCCCTCCCTCTCTGCCCTTCAGTTCAGGTAATCTGCCTGTCATATTATCTTGTTCTGCAGCACATCCAGCAGTCAGCGTCGACCTGTTGGCTCACGTTTCCTTCCTGTTTACGGCTCCCGTCCTCTGACCTGCAGGGGTCACGGCTCCATTGTGTGCGTTGACCTTTGGCTTGTGTTACCGACTGGCTTCCCCAACCTTCAGCCCCCCCACCCACCCTCCTTCTACAACTTCACCCCATGTCTCCGTGTCTGCAGGATCAGACTCTGATAAGAGCAGATATGGATATGTGCTGCTCTAATTAGTGCCGTGTCTGCTCGTGTCTGCATGTCCACTTGATTGACAACATTAGGGGGATAGAATTATCTATCACTCAGGTTAGATGCAGAGGGAAGAGATCAATATGAAAAATTCTGTAAGAGTGTATAAAACATGGTTGTCCCTCCCTGAAGCCCAATAAAAACGGTAGTCGCCATGTTGGAAGTGCTTGTTGACCTTAACCTTTCGATCAGTCTGACCACAGGTGAGGAGGCGGAGCTAGGGAGGATCTTAAACCTTCTTGTAAGCAGCTACAAACGCTGACACAGCTGCACCGATATAATGCAACTTTATGTAAGTTTAAAGGTATATTCCGGTGTAAAATTAATTTAGGGTCAAACACACTGTAACACCGAGTTAGACACCCCAAACGCCACTCTATAGCCACAAATAACGCTCAGAACAGCACCTAACTTCATCAACAGGACATATAGGGTCACAGCCATAGTACTAGACACCAAACATCTTTTTAACTTTGACTAATTTCTTTAGCAAAGAGACTAAACGCAACTTGCCTACTCTCTTCCAGCAGCCACTTGTTTGTAGTGAGACCTCAGGCCACTCCATTACTGACTACAGCGGGGTGACGCAGCTCAAGGAAGAACATTTATGATCATTTCTTCATGGAAATACAATCAGACCGAGACGCTAAGGCAGAAGAACTACCGCGTCGTGATTATAACCTCAAGGAAATGATAAAGAAATTATCATAAATGTTCTTCCTTGAGCTGCTTGCCTTGTTTAAAGAATTTTAAGTTTGAGTCAACTTTGGCGCCCCCTGTGGACATAGCAGTCTTTTGCTTATCTTGTCCTCTGTTTACTTGAGAAGCAACTTTTGATGAAATAATTTCCTCCTGCCGACTTTTGAAGATCAAATTTATCACTAATTTCAATGTTTTGATTTGGAAATTGGCTCCTCGGCTGACACCTGACCCCTCACTTCAGTTTTAAGAATCAAAAATTAAGATACGAAAAACAGTCAGTCTTGTTTGTTCTTAGATATCATGGAAAAAATATGGGACAGTTTCATACAGCGTACTTTACACAACTTTAATTCTGGACAGTAATCTGTTAAAACTGTGAAGTTCGTCAATCACAGAGCCAATAGAAGTGTTGGGAGTTTGAACACTGTTTTCTTCTTGACGTCATCCTGAGCTAAAGGCTAAATAAAGATTTGTTTTCAGCGTCTTTTTTAAGGTACTGATCGATCCAGAGCCGTAAACACTCTTAAATCCTCTATCATTATCGGAGCACATCATCCCAATCAAACGCCGATACCTCTGACTTCACACGCTGCACTTGTGACCACGACGTCACGCTAATAGCAGGGTTCGTCTGTTAGCCGTGAGTCGCAGGTGTCTGCTGTAATAATCGGGTCCTCCCTGTAATAAACAGGTAACTGGTGGAGCCACAGGAGGGACGTCAGGTACTCTGTATTTTTGTGCCTCTGCTGTTGGAGTAAACAGTGAGGTGGCTGTTATTTTTAATCCACTAAATCCTCTAAATGCAGAGAACAGGAAAACTGTGTGCTATTTAAAGTCGGCTGGAGGACCGGGGCGCGAAGCCGGGGGACGGTCAGCGCTTTTTCTGGGAATCTGATCAGGCTTAATCGAGGAATCTTTGCAAACTTACCTGAGAGAGTCGAAAACAAACTGAAAATCCAACTCACTGCAGAGAAACCTCGGCTGTGTGTTAAAAACATGAACATTTTCATTAAGGCGAAGTTGTTTTGAGTTGTTTTTGCACCATTTTGTGGAAATCAACTTATCTTCTGTGTTATTCTCTGCTGGTTCTTCTGACAGGAGGAAATTCTGGACGACAGAAGCGTTAATAACCAAAATATTCAAAAAGATAGTTTGTGTTATCTACAGTAGATGAAGGTTTGTGCTCTCCAGCTCGATACCATTGAACCTTTAGCCGACTTTCATGTCGAAAACAAACTGAAAATCCAACTCACTGCAGAGAAACCTCGGCTGTGTGTTAAAAACATGAACATTTTCTCTATCTTTTTGTACAAATCAAATGTTGGTTTTGAACCTTTTTAAAGTTTATTTTACTGGGAATATCCAAATGAGGCAAAAAAAAAAAATTCTGAGAGATTCCTGTCCAATTTAGCATTATAAATTTAGCATTTAAGCATTTAGCATTATAAATAAATGTATAATGCGTTATAATCATGTTATAGCACTATATAACTATAGTTATAAACACTCATAAATGATCATAATGCTTTATAACAATAATCAAAACACATTTTAAAGCATTTTATCATGACTTACAAGGTCAGGTATTAAAATGTGTTATAACTGTTTACAACTCACTGACAATGCCCACATAGATAATGCATTAAACATGTATTTATGATGTGTTATAATTTAAAAATGTTTATAAACTTGTATAGCTATCATTATAAACACTCATTAATGACCGTAAGGCTTTATAACAATAAGCTTAACACATTTTAATACCTGACCTTGTAAGTCATGATAAAATGCTTTAAAATGTGTTTTGATTATTGCTATAAGGCATTATGATCATTTATAAGTGTTTATAACTATAGTTATACAGTGCTATAACATGGTTATAACACATTATACATATATTTATAATGTGTCACAGAGATAGACGTCAAGTAAAGTCCAATTTAGCAGAACAAAATGTTTCGTTAACACTTTACTTGACGTCTATCTCTATAAAGCATTATAAATATATGTACATGTATATTAAAACTTAAATTGATCGTTTCTTGGGGATCTTGCAGCTCAGACCAGAATGAAGAAGCTTAAACACTGAAGAGTAAAACGTTTGTTTTCTGGTTACTTACAGGTTAAAGCATAGACAGAGTGTTAAGGCCAGTTTGCAATCAAGCTGCAGAAACACAAGAGAGCTGATCTCTGACCTAAATATCGAGGTTTCTTAATCTTAATTTGAGGAATTCAACCCAGTATGATAGTAACGGTCCAGTTGTTGGAGGACGTTTCTCCTGGAACAGTTCAGTTGTTCATGATAAAGGTAGAGTTTGTAGATAAGGGACTATTTAGCGGCATCTAGAAGTCAGATCCTTGACTGACCCTCCACTGTGGACTCTGAGGACAGGGAGGCGCTTGTGTTGCATGAACTCATCACGTTTTTAACATCAAAATTTTTAATGTACAGATTCTTTCGTGCACTTTAACCGCTCTGTTGTTTTTGTCTACTGACACATTTATCTCAGTTCATGATTGATTGTTCTGATAATTCACTTTGATACTTTAATTCATCCTAAACAATCAGACTTGTTACCTGTAAACTTAATGAGGATTAAAGAGGAAATGTTTCATATCAAGCAGCTGAAACAATCAGACTGGCATTCTCAGCAGTGCCATTCTGCTGAGTTTGCATCTTCATTACACACACACACATATACTCACACTCACACACACTCATGCATTCATTAATACCCGCTCTGATGTGCGTGCGCTTCACATGTGTGGGATTGTGCGTGTTTGCATGGATGGCCGTCTGAGTCTGAACTTCGATTTGATTTTTGCAAATGCTTCGGGTTTTATGTTCCTGTTCTTCTGTGCGCGTGTGTGTGTGTGTGTGTGTGTGTGTGTGTGTGTGTGTGTGTGTGTGTGTGTGTGTGTGTGTGTGTGTGTGTGTGTGTGTGTGTGTGTGTGGGGGGGGGGTAGGTTCGGCTGGGTTTATTTACAAAGCTTAGGTCAGGTGTCACTCGATCCAGCCACAGTGACACTCAGGTGGTCATCAAGGTCATCCACTCGGCTTTTTCCCTGCGCTGGCTCTGTGACTCACACACACACACACACACACACACACTCACACACACACACACACCTGTGCTGTAGATATACTGTACACCTTGAGCAGAACTCCTGTGTTTGCAGGACACATCTTCCCTCTTGTTTAGTCTTTGGAGGTTTTACACCTGTTTCTATCAGCGTCATCGTTAGTTTTTGTGTTTTTATTATCATCAGTGTGTGCAGACGTGGATTTCCTCTTCATTAGAGTTAATTAGACCATCTCGTGTAAAAGAATCATCTCAACACTCATTAGTTTCCTTGTCATTGTAGCTCAAACTCAGGCGGAGCGAGAAGTTCAGCTGAAAAAACACCACGAACCAAAGAAAGTGGATTTTATTCTTTTATTTTCTCAGTACTTTGGTAAATTTATTGTACATTTATTTGGGAAATACAGCAGTACGATCGGTCTAAAACATATGAAAAGAAAAAAAAATAGATGAGAGTGTGTACGTGTGTGGATGAGAGTGAGTCTCGTAACGTAAAAAGTTGGAAAACGGTCGAATAAATCTAGTAGAGCCCTTGAAGCAGTGGAGGAGAGGAGAGGAGGAGGGGTTCAGAGAGATGATGGAGGAGAAGTTTAGGACATGACCATGGCCTGGAACTCTGTGAAGAGAAGACGGCATGAGTTAATTACAACTATAAACTTCTGAAGAGCTTTGATTTACAGAAAAAAACACATTTTCACCTCATACAGTTAAAAAACTCCACAAATATCTCAAATTTGGTCACTTTCGTCTCTAAATTTAGGAAACAGTGCCCTAAAGTCTGCAGGATGCCTCACCATCCGCTCCGATCCGACCATCGCTGTCGTCGTCAGCAGCACACAGGAAGCCTTTAGTCTCCTTGTCTGTCAGGACCCGAGCACCTGGAGAGAACCTCTGGAGGAAAAACCTGTCGTGCACAGAGACAGAAGGTTGGAGCTGGTCCTCAGAGGTCAGGTGATGCAGATATGTCTGTTTAGTTTCAGCCAGAATATCCTGCAGTGTTCATGTACTAACAGGCCTGATTGTAAGACCCCTCACCCACAATTAACTCAATCAAAATGTGATCATTTCCCCCAAAAGACGCCTGATCTTTCCTCTGTTTGGAGAACCCAGTCAATCCCAGTTTCAAGGACAGGCTCAGCTCACTCACTTCAGCTCTTCCTCTTCAATAAATCCGCTGCCGTCGTTGTCCAGGATCCCGAAAACCTTCTTTACATCCTGGGGGCTCTTCTTGGTGAGGCCGCACATTTGGAAAAACTTTTTGGGGCAGAAGGAGTCAGGCGCTGGAGGAGAGAAAGTCACATCGATCATTGAGTCACTGAACTAGAATTAAGGTGAAGTCTGTGTAATCATCAGCTTGTCCTTAAACTATTTATGTGGAGACAAGATGACATACACGCCTGACATGGTGTTATCAAGTGGGATGAAGTAGAGGCTCAGTTTTGCTCCAAACATCATCCCTGAATGCGCCAGAACAACTTTTTGGGCTTTTCACAAACATGTTTCCATCCCTCAGACCCAACAATCAGACTAACTGAACCAAACTGGAACTTGTGCTCAATAAAACCATCTTTAAAAGTCAATATTTTTGCAGGCTATTTGCACACAGACAAAGAAGAAGAGGAAGAACTGTATAGAAGTAATGATATCTGTGGAAGACGATACCTTGGCAGTCCTTGATAGCACTGTCGATGGCATCAGCGGAAAGGATAGATGAGAGCGACATTTTATTCCTGCATGTAGGGAGACAAGCGAGGTAAATTATTAACACATGTATCCTGCAAACTCTCGCACTTGTCACTGATGGAGAGCTGAAGGTGTCCGGGGTAGAGAAATGAAAGTCAGAATAAGAACAAACTCAAACTCGCCAAAATGCGCGTAAGAATCTCCTTTTACGCACGCATTTTTCCCACCAAGGAGGCGTCTAAAGCGCTCAGACTAACCAAAAGCAGACAGATAATCCTCGAAAGAGTTTAAAAAAAGACAAAAGCAGCAACTTTCCATCAAGAGTAAAACCTCCAAGAAGAGTCCTCTCGGAAAACTTACCGTGTTCAGGGGTTCTCGCCCGGTCCGGTGATCCAGCAGAAAGGTAAGGCTATGTGGTGACTGCTGTCCGTCAAGGCGGATTTATATAGGTCTGATTGCAGCGACAATGGGGATTGCTTGAGTTACCTGTCTATGGATCAAGTTCTAACTGCCCGCCCCTGATCCAATTTCTCTGCTAACTAATTAACCTTTACTATTTATAACGCCCGGGGACAGAAAGAGAGAGAGGGAGAGGGAGAGCGGACCGTGGACATCTGTAACGCCCTTGTAAATAGCAAATTAAGTCCAAAAAGCGCATTCTTCCCCTCCTCCCCTCTTCCACCACTCCCTCTCCTCACCCCTCCTCCCCCTCCACCTCATCTCACCTCTAGAATTATACAGTACAGTAAATGCAGGGAGGCTCTAATGTAACTGCAATCTCTCTCCTTTTTCTCCCTCTTGCTGTTTCTGCCCCCTCTTCCTCCTCCTCCTCCTCCCCCTCACCCTTTCATGCAGATATCCTTTTACAGGCAGCAGTCCCAAATCGAGCACATCTGAGATACATCCTCCTGCAAATATACCCTCATCATTGGAGGTGAGTTATGGGAAATATAAGGTCGTTTCTCATGTGCGTAAATGCCCAAATCTGGATCTAAATCACCCCCCCTCCCGTCCTGGCTGCTTTTATTCTGATTCATAACAGATGGGGTTGAGATTATTCCCAACCAAATCATCTGTAATATAATCCGCACACCCTCATCAGTCAATGTCAGGGACGCCGGTGCTTCTCCTGAACCTCCTCACCCTCTGACATGGGAACAGTCGCGCCAAATTGCTTTGTCAACTCTGCTGATGAAGGGACATCAGGTCACCCTCCGCTGTTGGCGTCCCCGCCCCGCCATGATGGTGATGATGATGATGGTGCATAATGTGCAGTGTGTCCCAGGTACTTACGCGCACCGTTTAGAGAGGCAGAGAGGTCAGACAGGTGACATTTGTAAGCTTCGTTCCTGTCTGGAGTTTAATAACTCGGTTACTTAGTTTGCTCACTTGGTTCAGCAGCATCATGACGAGTTGAGTTCGTGTTTTTTTTTCTCGAGGGCATCTGTGGCCCCGGGCGGGTCTGACACACAAACAGCTTCAGGGGTCATTAAGCGCAGTCCGGGGAGAGTTCACTGCAGCAGCACCGAAAAAGAAGGTCATTCCTCTCTATGATGGGAGGTTAAATGAAGGTGTTTGCACGCAGAGTAGAGCAGAGAAGAAGGTGGGGGACATGCACTGATTAAAGTGGCATTTGGAGCTGTAATGTGGATCAATACAGGAGATATTCATCCGGTTATTAGGCGCACGAGTTGCAGAAACAGATCATCTTTGCTGACCCTCGCATCTCTTACATCACAAATGCAACCTCCACTGATTAGTGTCACCTCCCATCGTGTCTCCGAAATATCTGCAACCCGACACCCGGGGATACCCTTGAATGCAACCAAAGGCAGAGGGCTCACCAACCCCCACCCTCACCCTCACTCCCACCCCACTCCATCCCAGCCTCCTCACATCAGGAGTCAGCTGGCGAGCGAGGAGTGCAGGTGATACTGGCCTGGAGCAAAAAGACCCTATCAAACATTATTTAAGAGTCAGAGAAGTTCCTCTTGAATGAACAGAAATATACTTTATTTAGGTGTTTTGTTTGTTCGATCAGTTTAAAGCTGATGTTTGGATGTTCAAGTCAACTTTGAAAGCAACTGGTGTCACCTGATCTTACCTGAGAGGTTTACGGTGCAGCAGAAGATTGTCGATTTTACTAATTCAAGCGCTGGTGCAAAGTTTATACCCATGTGGATTATTTTTAGTTTGTCTAATTTGAAATAATTAAACCGAATATTCCAAAATAAGACGCACGAAAAAAGAAATATTCTCCAATTGACTTTTCATAGCCTGGTCATGTTTTAAATTTGACCCTTTTAGCTCAAAAATGACTCATTTGAAGTCTTTATTTTAAGTTTTTATCAAATCTATCTCTAAAATTCCTTCATTAGGATAATTACTCGGACTGGCCAGCTTTTACGCGCGGCAGCCTTCTGTTGAATCCCCTGCAGCAGTCTTTCATTATTGAATAAAAGCGTGTATCTCCCGTGGTTCGTCACTGTCAACCTTTCCTGATTTGCCAGCTTGTTAACGGACCCCCTCAACAAGTGAGTCCTGTGAGCTCTCAGCGCAGAGAAACTCTATCATCTCATCCAAACTGTGCGTAAAAAGGAGTCCGAGGTGGACACCGGATCGAGAGCAGTGGTGCGATTTTTTTTCACCACCAACTACTCGGTGCATGATGTCATGCGCCATGTTGATACCTCACTGACTATACAGTTACTGCGCGATCATTTATTCATTGCTAATGTACTTTAGGGGCCTCAGACCTGCCGGACACTCAGACTGACCGAGAGGACCAACAGACTCCACCTCAAGAACTATTGGTAGATTTGGACCAAACAATTTTAAGTTTCACACAACCCTGTATCTTTTATAGTGGTTGGATATATCGATTATTGACAGAATTTAACCCTAGAATACTATCGCTAAAGTTAGTAACACCATCACTATCGCAGGGGTGGTTTTTACTCGAAATAAAATACCCAAGAAAAAGTCCTTATCATCAAAATATATCAAAAAAGGACAATACATGACAAATAAAAGTAGTTTTATTTTATCTTTCACTGTGCAGTGTCCAGAGGGAGGGGAAAAAGTGCAACAAAATAACTGAAATTAGGCGTTTATGAACAAAAAATTTATAAAAATATATAAAGAAAGAAAGAAAATGTAAACTTAGTTTCTTTTCCACCCATTCCTGGGTATCCTGGGATATTTTTTGCTGCTGTAACAAGAGAATTTCCCAGTTTGGGATCAATAAAGTGTATCTATCTATCTATCTATCTATCTATCTATCTATCTATCTATCTATCTATCTATCTATCTATCTATCTAGAGTCTTCCCTGGTGAAGAATCAGGGTCCTTGTCACAATAACAGCTGCAGGAGAAAGAACCAAAATATGTCAGATTTGGAGTAAAAATGATTAAAGCTGACTCAAATATTTCTTATCACCATCTGAATTCTCTTAAGATCACTTGTTAAATCCAAAGTTCTTACCTCACCATCGCCATACCTGACTCCCCTGTCACTCAAGGCCAAGCCACACCCCCAACATTATTAAAGCCCGCCCTCAGACCTTCTCTTCCTCTTGCACCCTGACCATGGATCAGCAGAGAGCAAAGGGAGTCTAAATGTTAGTTAAACATGGACCAAACCCGAACTAAATTTTGTTTGAGTCTAATATTATTTCATTAGATTGCTGTCCAACTAACCCCAAATTTAGTGATGATTTAAAGCCCTGATGTGGACGCGCTGATGATGTGAGCTAAGTTTACTAATTTACACATTCATTTAACTCAATAAAAAAGTCCCTTTTTATTTAAATATTTCATGTTGATACATCTTGTTAATCCTCCACAGAAGACGAAAGAAAATAAAACTTCTAAACTGAATCTTGGATCCTGGATAAAAGATGTTCAATGAGCCAGCATCAGCTTCATCATAAAGACAGCATACAAATTCCAGGACCACTCTTACTGACCTTTATCGCCTACATGCAGCTATCAAATCCACCTAAACCTACTTTACCCTCCATCACTAAAATCACCCTGTGAACACGTGACTGTAGGAAAAAGCAGGGTTTGATCAGGGGAACAAATATGACTTCAAAGATGTCACAGTTAAAGCTGAAGATACCCCGGGACCCATGATACTCAGACAAACGCAGGAGAATGAAAATCACGTAAAACCTGTTTGGTCGGGTGGAAATCAGCGGCGATAGTGTTCTAGGTTTAAGAGAGTGAAGTCATTTGAACTTTATTGTTTCATGAAAAATCTACAGGCGTTTTAAATTTGATCCCAGCAGCATGTTTCAAAAAAGGACGGACAGGGACATGTTCGTCTCTGTGCTTCATGACCTCCTCTCTCACAACAACACTTAAGATATGTCAAGACTACATACTTAAAAAATGTAGTCTGACCTCTTGCTGAAATAAGAATAAGAAGAACTTAATTGATTCACTTTACTTCTGAAAACTTTCATCTTCTTTATAATGCCTCTCTTCTACTCAGTCATGTCTCTAACCTGTTGGAGATGTTTCTCTAAGTCACTTAAATCAACCACTATGTCTTAAAATAAAACAGTAGTGGGTTTTATTGCCACTGTTGTTGACTGTGTCTCAGCCTCTACTGTTAATGAAAGTAACTCCATCTAGTGGCAGAAGAGTGGAACTGCAAACAGTGGACATGCATACAGACCATTGCTTGTATATACTACACTTATATACGTACCTATATATATATATATATATACAGTCTAGTACATCACGGGTATATAACATTATGAATATGTTATAACTATAAGTATGTACAGGCTATGAACAGATTATACATATGGTTATAAATATGAAGTCTATAAACAGACTATAAATATAATTATATGACAAATAAATGATGCAGTAGTGCAATATTGGATGTATTTACAGTCGTGCAAATAAGTTCGTTAAAGATATAAAGTGCAGGTAATTTTCGATAATTGTTAGTGGTGGTAATTAAATAAAATCTAAAATCAAACAATAAAAGAAAGTAAATTGAAAAAAGAGGTAATTAAACACAAAATCATTACTCAAGGATTAAACTAGTGTGAAATCACATAATGCAGATTAAAAGATTAAAACAAAACTCAACTAAAAGCCAGAATAAAGAGGTTGGTCTTTAGTTTACTTTTAAAAAATATGAACAGTAGGTGTCGCTCTCAGGTCTGCAGGTAGGCTGTTCCACTGATGGGGACCATAAATGATTCACTGTAATGTTTTAGTTTTTACTTTGGGAACAATTAAAAGACCTGAAGACCTGAGGGCTCTGCTAGGCTCATAGCAAATCAGACAAATAAGAAGGACAAAGACCATTAAGAGCTTTAAAAACTAATGAAAATAAATTTAAAATGATCTTTTTTCAGTCTGAACACAATTCTAATCAAACTAAATTCACTTTGTGGGGGGAAATTTATTGTTTTTTTAAATAAATGTCTAACCCCTTCTCCCATGTGCTTCTAACCTTCACAGACTCCATGAATTGATGCCCATCTCCTAAATATTTGGTCACATGATCAATTTCTTTGACCATTTCCAACCAAACTGCAATTTGGTTTTATAGTTTTTCATTAAACTTTTCTGACGGTAACGTAGTTAAATAATGACTTAATTCAAGAGTTTATATCCTGTTTGTTTGATAAGGTTCATTGGTTTGTGTTTGGATGACACCAGAAGAAAGGAAAATCCTCTGAGACCGTACCAAAAGAATATTTATTCTTTTTTACCGTTCGTTCCTGGAAAGTGCATCATAGATTTTACAGTAAGCAAAATTCATATTTAAGACATGAACACAACCGAGCGACATTCACAATCATCATTTTTGGACAGTGTGTTGCATAGGAGGAAACGTCTCTTAAGCAAATGTATAAAAATTATTATCATAGCCTATATTCGGATGAAAAGGGGGAGGTCGACGTGGGCTTTGTTGTTCCATCAGAGCAGGTGTGGTTGGTCAGGTGACTTATTGTGCCTTAACCACGGCTGCGAACTCTGCAGGGACACACACAAGAAAGAAAGACACACAAACAAAAACACATGGTTAGAAATGTACAGTCAGCTTTGTCTGCATAAGGAGCACGTGATCAGAGTCCACGATGACCCACCATCGACTCCAATCTTGCCATCACCGTCGGTGTCACCGGCCTTCATGAAAGTCTTGGTCTCAGCGTCGGTGAGAGCGCGTGCACCTGCCTTGAAGTTCTGCAGGAACAGCCTGAGGACGGACAGAGGTGGTGGTTAGTTCACGGACCCCAAAACACAATCGGACAACACGCATCACAGTAAAGAAAACACTATTAGTGTGGAGGGACACCTGTGAAATTAACTCAAATGAACTGGCGACAGACGTAGAGTTTGTTTTGAGGAAAAAACAACAAACTCTGGGCGTGTAAATTCACACATGTGCCTGATACTGAGTCGTTTTACTGTTAAACTAAAGACCTGTAGAGGATATCTGCTAAAATCAACATATTAGGTTTTAACTTTGGAACAAGATCCTTACATAATTAGATTTTTTTTTAATTAAAAATATTTTAAAAATTAATTCAACTATCACTTAAACTTAAAAACCATCACTTAACAAAAAAAAGAAAGACAAAAAAAAACATTTAACCTCCATAAATAAATAAATTGGGTTTTGATCTGAATGCAGTAAAGAATTTGGTTGTTTTAAATGTAGCTGTAAGATACACTGGGGTGAAAAAGCCTCAATAAGGTAAGAAAAAGTTCAGATGCTAACAATAAACTTAGTAAAATAAAATAAAAAGTAAAATCAAAGTTCGAAAATCTGAATGAACAAGTTAAATCCTATATCTATGAAAAAGTGGTAAATTTGGAGAAATAATTTGTATTTCTAGATAAATATTACACTAAATTTCTTGTCAACTTAATTGCACATATTCCTGATCTTGTATTTGTTTACCTTCTTTTTTATGAAACCTATGGAGCGTCATAATTTCACATGATGCTCCATGTTTCATATGTTATTTTGCTAAGTCTGTCCTTTCAAAACAGCATAAAAGCTAACAATAGATTAAAATCATCACCTTAAACTCATAAATATACACCTTTACTCGTAAAAGAGGTCTATTTCCTTCTTATTCTAGTAAATCTAAAACTGTGTTGTGTAAGGCGAGGCCAGTATGGAAGTGTGCTGCAAGAGCATTATCCAGAGCTGCTGAGTGTTCTTACTTCAGCTCATCCTCCTCAATGAACCCGCTCTTGTCCTGGTCAATGATGGCGAAGGCCTTCTTGACATCATCGGAAGACTTGCCAGCCAGACCGCATGCCTTGAAGAACTTCTTGTGGTCGAAGGAGTCGGCAGCTGAAATGGACACAGACTGATCGTGAAACAATATACATTTAAATTACAGACAGGACAGAGCAGCAACACTGAGGGGTTCAAACTTTAGGGGTCACCTTTGCACCCTTCCAGGGCTGCAGCCACCTCAGCATCAGCCAGTACACCTGCGAAGGCCATTGTTATCTCCTGGAAAGAGAAGAACCACCTGTTATTTTCTGTAGTTAAAGTTAGAGTTGTTAATCACACCATGTTTGCCATAGCTTGTAACGATCACAGATAAATTCAGCTTTATTCAATCATCTAGAAAAGGTTATAAATCTCTTTAAATAAACATTAAATTGATGATTTGAAGAGAAGAGCCCAGTCCATCCTCTGCTTAAAGACCTTTATGAATCCACATGAAACAAGTTTATTCTGATTAAACTGCAATTTTTTTTTTTGTTTCAAAAAGAAAATTTGGATTTTCATCCCACTTGTTCCAGGTTGCATTTCCAAATCCCATAAAACAAGCTTGAGTTGACGCTTGTTCTCTTAATGCAGCTTTACAGATGCTGCAGATCTGAGCAGTAATCCAAGTCTTCATGATGTGAAGTGAACAAGACTCATCAAGCACCTCAAAATCCACCTCAAAACTGCTTTAAAAATCACGTTTTTCTCAAAGATGCCAAATAATCGAGATGCTGCGTCTTTACGCGCGGATCCCGGGCTCTCTGTCCACCTTCTGTTCTCACTCACCTCTTGTTTTCTTTGCTTTGTGGCTTACAGATGATACAGACAAGACTCCGAGTCGACTGCAGTGATCTTCCCGGTGCTCCCGGTGACCTTTTATAGTTTCACTCTATGGAAATCCGAGGCATAAGACAACTGACACCGCCGGGAAGGGGGTGGCGAAAATCCGTCCTGTGGCCAGAGAGCGGTCTATTTTAAGTTTCACAAACGAAGACGCTTAAAAGGTGCGTTTGAAGAAGTCTTCAATATGCCCCAATGCTAAGAATAGGCGGTGCATTGCTGAGGTGGACGAATTGGAAGTGTTGCTGGCACCACACTGCCGTATTCAGGAGGGTGGATACGGAGCATGTGTGCGTTAGAGCAGGCGTAAGTGGCGTGGTAATTGGTCCTTTTCCCTCTTTTCATTTTGATTTAGAGAGCAGATTAGACTGTATTCGTGGATTTACAGTAGGTCAGCTTTAACTTGGACTGTTAGAGAGCCACCTTGTCAGACACAGAGACTTTTATTAGATCGTTTTACAAACCGCAGGAAGCTTGAAGTGATTTCATTTGTTTGTGTTTGTTTTGTGAGATTTAACCTCCATGTTTGATCCTAACTCTAGAGATTTGTAGTCCAAGCTGATCAATGATGAGCTGATTTTTGTGAATTATTGAGCATAATCCCCTTTTTCTTTACCATGGCATATTTAGTGTCTGTTTATCATAAGAGATTAAATTGGAAATTGTTTAAAGACATTTTTTAAAACCCAAAATAAAAGATTCATCTTGACTTTAAACTCCCGGGGACCATCTCTGACCTGCAGGGGGCAGCACTGTCTTGCAGGGTCAGGCCCATGTGTTTGGTCTGCTGGTTGATGGTAACAAGCTGAGAGTGTCACCCGATAGCCTTGGGGGGGTTTTACATATTGCTGACTTGCAGTTCTCTGAGCATTCCTAGGATCCCGTTCTCCACTTGTAACTTAACTTTAGATTGACTGGCAGCTCATCTAAATTTGTCCCCGAGCCAGAAATGTCGCAGCATTCCCGAACCCCACAATAAAACTTTGAGAGTAAAGTGAAGTAAATAGTTTGAAATCTCTCCCGATTGTTAAAGATCTGCATCCCTGCACCAGATTCAAGGTCCTGCTGATGCAACAGTGGCTGTTAATAGCTCTCCTGTTGCCACAGCACATCATCTAATTGACGACACAGCATGTTGAGACCTTGGAGCGGAGCAGCTCTTTCCCTTATGTGTGACAGCTATCCATTGCAGACCTTCCCTGAGTCCGGAGAGTGTGCTAGCAAAGCCGTGAGCCATTCCCTCTGGCCTCGGTCCACTTGAAACCCTCCCCTCAGTGATCACAACAACTCTTTCAGAGGAGGCCAAGACCTCAACCAGACAAAAAGACACCACAATGCAAGAATGACTAATCTGAAGGAGATCTCTTTACACCACAAGAGTATTTATTCCTGGTTTTTCACTCTTCCTCAAAAGTGCATATGGTATTATACAGTTTGCACAAGTCATTTTCAGAACATTTAACACATCTGTATCTAATGCACAGTGAAATATGTGTTCCATGTTGAGAAAAAATCCGCAGGCAACTCATAAATAAGGTATAAAAAATATTCTTTCAGCTGATGATTACTGAATCTTGAAAGGAGCTCGCAGTTCCATGAAAAGAAGTAGATCTTGGTCAATGGAAATTTATGCCTTAACAAGGGCAGCAAACTCTGTGAAAGCAGAACGAGACCGCCGTTAGTGAGGAGAAACTCAAACCCGGGGACTAATTAGACCCAAGAACATGTGTATGCGCGTGTTTAAAGGCGTGTGATTCTCACCATCGACTCCGATCTTGCCGTCACCGTCACTGTCACCAGCGGCGAGGAAAGCCTTGGTCTCCTTGTCAGTCAGTGCTCTGGCACTGGCAGAGAAGTTCTGCAGGAACAGCCTGGCAGGTGGACAGAAGAGCAGGAGAAGTTTAATGTACGAACATCTCACACTTAATCAGATGGCATGTTGTAAATCTCCGTGCAGAAAGAGAAGCATTTCGAGAATTTGAGTGGTAATTAGTTTGTCTTTTGGGGGGTTTCAACATCCAGAACCTTTATAATATCGTTCTTTAGTTGTTTCTGGCCTCAAACTATGAACTTTGACCCCCAGATTCAATCAGACTTTCAAAACAAAGAGGAAAATACTCTCTTATGTTTGTATCATCTGAAACCTAGTGCAGTAATATTAGATCAGATGTATATTTTCGGGGTGTTGCTTTCTATCTAAGTGCGATTTCCTCGAGTGCTCTTACTTCAGCTCATCCTCCTCAATGAAGCCGCTGTTGTCCTGGTCAATGATGGCGAAGGCCTTCTTGACATCATCGGAGGACTTGCCAGCCAGACCACATCCCTTGAAGAACTTCTTGTAGTCGAAGGAGTCAGCAGCTGGAACGCAGATTTTTAAAACACCGTGAGAAAAACAACGACAACAACACAGGAGGATGAGATGTGATGGCACACTCAGAGTGAGAGTTTGGAGGTGTTTGTAGCTAAATTCAATTGTCTGTCGTCTCATTTGTCGTGTCTCTAAAAATCATCTACTATGGGTGTTGGTACAAAAGATCTTCTGAATCTTTCTGTCCTGCAGCGAAGAGAGAGGAGCCGTCCACCACCATAAAGTGGGTGATCCATGTTCTCTAGAAACTAGGTGATTGTTTTAAAAAAGTGTGTGGTGCATTTGTGTTTTTAATGTTTGTAATGGCTGCAAATGGAGGTAATGAGCTCACCTGCGCAGCCATCCAGAGCTGCTTTGATCTCAGCTTCCTTGAGGACACCAGCGAAGGCCATTTTTTATCTCTGAGGGAGGAAGAGGAGGACAGTTAGGCGCAGGGTTAGAACATCACCAATCCAGAATATATCATTTAACCGCTAAAATTACAAATGCAAATCCTTTTTAAACACAAAAACAGTGCAGCTATAATGCAGTGTGTCCAGTTTAAGCGTAAAATCATGCACCCAAACACTGACTTCAGTTGAGACACTAAAATCATCTTAAAACACAGAAACTTCAGCCTCTCTTTTAACCCTTTGTGTTTTCTCATCAGGACTAAACTGATAATTCTTAGTTTCTTTTTCTGTCATCTATCTCTCTGCCTGATCACACACAGGCCTGACTCTGTATCCACTACACTGAGGATGCTCCCAAATCAGCCACCAGAAGAGCTGCAGTGATGTCAAACGCCTCGATAGATCGCTTTTGGCTGTGATTTTCATTCAATCATCCGGAAATAGACGCATTCATCATCCGCAAATCCTTAGAAATCAAGAGGCCACATTTTGGCACTCATTGCATCCTGTCCTGTTGGATCGTCCACGCTGGCTCCCATTTCTCTCTCCCTCTCTTTCTACAGTTATAGTCCACGAGAACCTCCTTGTGTGTGTGAATCCCAGAAGTCAGTGTTGGCCCCCTTTGCGGAGAGAAGACTCCCCTTCCTCACTCACCTCTGCGCTGCGTTGAGGCGAGTGAAAACCAAGGCGGATTCGAGCGAATGCCCCAAACCACTTTCCCTCTCCCTTATATATCCGCCGGCAACACCATTTACAGAGCTTTGAGTCTCGGTATCAGGTAGCCCTCCAAGATGCATGGGTTTCGAAAAAATGTGTCTACTAGTCTCGACCTATTTTTAGGTGAACAAATGAGGATGCTACCATGTGTGCAGAAGGCCTATAGCTAGACGTGTGGAAACCCGAGGAGGTCCGCTGCTCTCTGACTTCACAGGGCATGTTGCACCCCCGGGAGATTTACGGCCAACATTTAAGATGCTGATTCCAATGTTGTGAGTTTCATCTGCGAATACGGAGGAAATGGATCGAAATGTGTGAGAGTGGGAATAGAGCGGGGCCCTGGTTCGTGAGAAACACTTATGAGACATTAATGAGCAGCAGGGGCTAAATTTAACACCTCTTCACTTTCACTTAATCTTTAATTTACGGCTTTTAACGTAACCGATCACTCTGAAAGGTAATAGCCTATCAAAGCTCTTAATAGTTGTAAATGGATCATTAAGAGCTGCTCAATTACTGCCCCCCAGAGACACTTGTGCTTCAATCCTGGTGTTATATCATTAAAAAGTAAACAGACACGTTCCTCCGTGATAGACTGACCCACTTCACTCCACACTTCACACTCATCCACATCTCTCATGTCCAGTCTGGTATTTTTATTTACACACAGGAGTATCTGCTTCTGCTTTATTGACTTGTTCTTTCTCGTGTTTATTAGATAAATTATTGGGGTTCATTTTTTTGGGTGGAGCTGCACCATCACCCCCTCAAATGGTAGACATTTACTCGAGGCCCTAACCCATAGGTTCCCGTCCATGAGGTTGATCTGAATTCCGCGCACAGGCTCGAGTTTCAGCCGAACTCAGCGGCCTCAAGAGATCAGATTTTGCGGCTTAAATCACCTGTTAGATCCCACTCCTCTGTCAATTGCACCGATCAGCACCAATATGTCTATTTGCGCCAAGGAGTAAACTATATATTGTCTGCACTCTGCGTAAAAACGCTGCGCAATCCTCCCACTGAACAAGAATCGATTGGGAACCTTTAAACATCGACTTGATGTCTTTATTAGAACTTTATTTCATCCATAACCTCAGTGTGAAATGTTCTCAGTGAACTTTAACACCGTTTGGGACGTTTAAAGATATGAAATGACCACTTAAAACCTGCTCCGGTTTATGGCTCCTCCTGGTCTGGCAGGAATTTGGAAACCGTCCAGTAGAAGGCAGTACTAGTCCTGCAAAGAGAATGTCGGGAATTTTGGGAAGAACCCAAGAGTGCTTAGACCTGAGAGTGGAGTTCCAACAGTAAAGAGAGAAAACATCTGTTTTAATTTGAAGGAGAAAACAATTTTCTTCATGATGGGTGAAAATAATCTGAAGAATTTGTCACTTATGATCATATTTACCATAAGTTAAAATACTTGGAGTTACTCATAGCAGTAAACCAGAATTTCTTAGTCTTTATTATAAGTCTTTTCTTTTCAGAGTATATGACTGATGCATGATTATTTATGTTTGCAGGACTTTGATGAGTCCCACATTTTCATCCTAAACTATATTCTGTATTCTCTTATATTTCTTGCCAAAGGATCCACGGATTAATTTCTAAACCCTTTAGACTTTTGTTTACAGTTCTCTAGATCATACCTAAAGTATATTTATAAGCCTTATACTGGGACAAATCAAGTGCAAAATCTCCACCGTATCATATAATGTGTCCAGATGTGTCAAAACATGAACAAAATATCCACATATGCCCCCATGATGAATCTAAATGCAGCTTCAAACTGTTAAAATACCTCAACATCATATTCTGATTACTCAACTCAACTCAACTTTATTTGTAAAGCACTTGTAAAGCAAAGTGTGGTACATAAACAAACATAGACAAAACAAAGCAGACATAAAAACAATCAAAAAACAATTAAAACAATGGATAAAATAAAAGCAGATATTAAAAAGTAAAACATAGTTTCAATGTTTTAAAAACTAATTTAAAAACATAGAAACAAATAACTAAAAACAAACCATAAAACACTTTTATTATGATTATATGAAAGTGGAGGATTTTGTGAATTTCCCAGTTTGGGATCAATAAAGTCTATCTATCTATCTATCTATCTATCTATCTATCTATCTATCTATCTATCTATCTATCTATCTATCTATCTATCTATCTATCTATCTATCTATCTATCTATCTATCTATCTATCTATCTATCTATCTATCTATCTATCTATCTATCTATCTATCTATCTATCTATCTATCTATCTATCTATCTATCTATCTATCTATCTATCTATCTATCTATCTATCTATCTATCTCTAGGATCCTGGAGATCATTAATGCTCCACGTATGATATTTTACAATGCAGTGGATTTCATCATTTGTGGATCACACTTTAACAAACATCTCAAGAGTCTGAGGATTCATATGCAGCACTGAAGGTCTTTCATGTCACTTCAGTAGTTTTAGATTTGATGTGTGAAAGAAAACAGAAGAAAAGAGTCAGACACAAAGAGGTTTCACATCTTCAATCAGTTTATTTTAATCCGTTCTAGGTACCTGATTGATTCAACACACACACGCATACACACAACAATAATCCATCTTTAGCCGTCCGTCCACCAAACATCTTACACTTTTATTAAATCACATCAACAGGGAGAGCAGCAGGCAGGTACAGAATATCTGAGGTTTCTGGTCTTTGCATCAAACAATCTGGAAAGTCTGGATTCCCATAAGAGACCCAAAACGGGGAGAGACGGCCGAGGTCATAAATATTTAATCTCTTTATTTTAGGATGTCGCAGAACTCTGTGGAAGAGAGAGAGAGAGAGAGAAACAGCGGTTTTAGTCAGAGAGCACAAAAGATTACTGAAAAGCTGCAGCATATTTCATTATCTATTTGAGTGCATGTGATTTTTTTATTCGAGTGCAATTTCAGCACTGAGTCATGGACAGCTCCCCCTGTTCCAACCGCTCTCGTTCTCATTCTCATCTGCATGCGGCTCTTCCAGATGTTTTACACGCACCTTCCATCCCGATCTTGCCGTCCCCGTCTTTATCTCCCGCAGCCATCAGAGCCTTTGTCTCAGCCACGGTCAGCTCCCTCGCCCCGGGGGAGAAGTTCTGCAGGAAGAGCCTGATGGGCGCAGAAAAAATATCAGCGATAAGTTCAGGCGAGTGTCAGCGTGGACTTTATCTCCTCTGATGGCATTTTTCACCTTCCTTTAGGGCCTTTCTCTGTCACTCACTCACTCACTCACCAGACCCCCCTTCTATGTCTGAGTGAATTCATTCACAGTGGAAATGCTGCTCCATTCATACAGTGACCTCAGCCTGAGGGCACAGATGCACACACACATTCACTCACACACCCTTTTCTTACTTTAACTCCTCCTCTTCAATGTATCCACTCCTGTCTTGGTCCAGAACTGTAAACACTTTTTTCCCATCAGCCTCAGACGTGCCGGTCAGACCCACTTGTGCCAAGAATGACTTGTAGTCGAATGTGCCTGGAGCTACGGAGGAGAAGAGAGGGAGAGAAAGCGAGATGTAGAGGGTGAGGAGACAGAGAGGACAGATGCAGGAGTGAGAGGTCCATCACAGAATGACAAGAGAGCCGGAGTGGTGAGGGGCTGAAAAGAGCTGTCGCGTTGACTCATTCGCTCAGATGACTTTCATTCTTCTACCGGTGACATTTACCAATACACACCCTGTAGCACATCACTGTCTTTGACCATTATAGGGGACGTCATTATGCCATTGAAACACTCAGAGCACACTGAGTATTGCCTATGGCTCTAAAGCAAACTAAATGTTAAAAGCCTTTTATTTTTCCAAGCCATGCAAAGTGGAAAAAAATCTGGTTAGGGAGGATTTCTCCGCCCGCAGTTTAAAAAAGACATCCTGAATAACTCTTTGAAGTACAACATGATAAATCGTGAGATTAACTTTCTAAGTTAAACATAAATAAAACTGTGGAAGAGAAGAGAGAGAGAGAGAATCCTTAAAAAGATGCGTCTCACACCCTCAGGGGATTTGTCTGCTCTCTTTACTTCATCACTGCTTTGAACAAATCACAAATGTGCTGCCGTCTTTATCGAAGACGTGCAAAAAGAAAAAAAAGTAACACAAATGTCAAAGTTAGCATGTTATATTCTCTAAAAGTTCCTGAATAAAGGGCATATAAGCACTGACATTTGGTTTCCGTTGGAGCCGCGTTTGCCTCTTCATGCAGACGTAATTGGCTGAGATAAATGATTAAGAGCTCTGGGATGTGAGAGCTGGTGTGTGATTTGGGCTTCTCTGTGTGAATGCTCAGCATAAACACTGTGGTATCTGGGCGGTAACAGCTCTCCTGCCACAGCGCTGCCTGGTTACCTGCAAGCTTCTCGTCCCCACTGTAAACAACACATCACACAGGGTATCCCCTGTGGGAGTGGGAGTAGGAGTGGGGGTGGGTTCGACAATGACTCCTTCTCTCTCGCTTCCTTTCTGTGATATGTGAATGAATGCAAAACTGCTTACTCGAAAGAATGTGTTAATGATAAGGTGCTTGTTAAGTGTGTGTGCATGTCCCCCCCGCTGCATGCATGTGTGTGTGACTCACTTTGACAAGCCTGGACCGCAGCCCTGATGTCCTCGTCGCTCAGCATCCCTGCAAATGCCATGGTCCTCTGTAGCTGCCTGAGGGATGCAAGCGTTCACGCACGGGGGGAAAAAAACACAAAGTGACAGTAAATGACACAAGTGCAGGTGCGTTCTGCTGTCAGGTAATAGTCCCTGCCAAAGCTCGATCATTTCCAAGTGTTAAGTCTGCTCTTTAAAAACAAATAAACACTTTTTTTTTTTTTTTTAGGGGCATGTGCCAATTTTACAGTAAGTTGCACATAAAACGACAAACTATAGCATTTGTTTTTTTTAGGCAAAGAAAAACACATATAGATTTTATTCATATTAGGGTATTGCTTGATAATGTGATAAAAAAAATAGAAATAAAAAGATATTTTCGTACAGTAAATTCAAAGAAAAACCACAAAGAAGGTTGGACATCTGTGTTTCTTTCATGCATCTGCGAGAGTTAAATAAAACACACTTTGGATCCACACAACTGCCAACCATCATCACACAAACCCTGGAGTGAATATGAATTTGCAAAAAAAATAGAAATAAAAGAGAAGAAAAGGATCCTGGTTCTTACCGTTCTCCGGTTGAGGTTTTCACTCTCTGAGCCGATGATGTGCAGATCTCTGCCTCACTTTCTTTGCTCAGTGCCTAAAAGCCAGCGACGCTCTCTCTTGCAGCTTCGTGTTCCAGAGTGCAAGAAGCAACCTGACGTATCTGTCCTCAAACCCAGGAGAGTTCCCCCACGCCACAGAGTGCATCCTCCTCCCCCTTCATCAGTTAATCAGAGCAGATAATCTCCTCTCTCAAACTGCTTTGCAACCAAAGAAACTTCAAAACCGCAATAACGGTAAAAATTCAAAGAGAACTCATAACAATTAAACATTAATCGTAATAAATATAGATGTTTTTATTATATTTTACCAGCTATTTCTGCTTTTACTACCTCTCCCACAACTACAAATATACTTTTGCTTTTGATATTGAAGAATTATTGTATAAATCTCCCACAGAGGTTTGTTCAAATAAACTTAATCAAATCAGACTTAAATTTCATTTTTATGTTGTATGGTTCTTGTGTTGTCTGGGTTCCTTATGACATGAAAAGGTCCTTCAATTCCATTTTAACTGAGCTTTTTGTTTTTATCTGTCTTTTTTCATGTGCTTTATGATTATATGTCAAAGCACTTTGTAAACTTCTGCTTTTAAAAGTGCTGTACAAATAAAGTTATTATTTTTTTATTATTATTATTAAATTTAGGTTATATTTCTTTGATTTGTTCACATTTCATGAACTACCTGTTCAAAGTGAAGACAAAAAGTCATTAAGACGTCATGGTCATCTTGTCGGTTTAAAAAGAAGCACACCTGTCTTTAGTTAAGATAATTAACAGGACAGCCTTCTTTATTTTATCGGCATAGAAACAGGGTCATATTTTTTTTCATTCCTGTAATGATCTATTAGTGAAAAATAGAGTTTTCCAGAAAATTTAACCTCAGTAATATTTATAAAAATTCACAGAAAAAAGAAAACCAAGATCTATAAAGCTTCAGCCACCATCATAGAATCACTATTAGAGATACAAAGGCTAATAATGTATCCAAGAGGAGAAATAATCCAATCCAATCCACTTTATTTATATCACTGATTTTATAAAACATTCAAGTTTACCAAAGTGCTGCACAATAAAATTAAAATAACAGACACTGCAGAAACAAGGACGAAATAAATAAAAGCAAGTAAAAAACATTTAAAATGAAATAAAAACACAAAAGCATAAAAGAGATAAAAGGACAGAGATCACACAACTCTTATGCTAAGCGAAAAGCCAAGGAATAAAAATGAGTTTTAAGACGTGATAATACATAAATACATATACATGACATATACTTTGGATTTTCCGATTTTTTTTTTTTTTTCTGGATGTAAGCACCTATTTATCATATTTTATATGTTAAAATTAAGAAGTATCAGCTGTATGTTTTGATATTACTTATAAATAATGTCAAATTTTTTACAAATCATATTAGATATATATAAGGGAATAGGGAATAATGAATTCTAAAATGGACAACTTGTTTGGTACATGTTGCTCTCATTTTGCTCTACTGAATCCACCTTTTAGAGTTAACAGCAGGGTTAGAGTTTGACCATAAATCCAGAGAAACATCTACAGATGCTCGTGTTTCCTTGACAGTTCCTCACATGGTTGGCAGAGGACACAACATTTTTCATCTCTGAGACACAAAACTGGATTAACTTGACTGATACCAAAGCTCGAACCTGATTGGCTACATTTGTGGTATTCTTTCCTGTAATTGGCTGGAGTACATGTCAATCACTTCCTTTCCAACGCCCCATTCCGTGATGTGACGTTGTCCAGGAACATGGCGCTTTGGAGGAGAGGTGTTTCATGATAGTCAGGTGTATCGATTAGGATCATTCAGTTATGTTCATTCAAACAGCTAACAGGTGAACACAGGCAGGATGATCGGTCGTGAGAGGTGATCGCTCGTTTCGTCTCTTCGGACAATGAGACGTTTTATTCCGTCGCGGTGTTTGCTGTCGTCAGCTGAAACTGTTAGCACTGATATGCTAGCCTGATATGCTAGCTGGCTAACGTACAACAGAGCGAAGATATGCTTTTTAATGTAGTCTACGCGGACTATTAACTTATTATCAATGTTTAAAACACTAGATTTTATATCAAAACGACAAGTTATAGCGTAGGACGACGATTCCAAACAGCTAACGTCTGTTTAGCTTAGCTAGGAGGATGAGGAGCCGCCATGGATGTGTTTGGTTGCTGGCCGGTGGGATTTGGATGTCGGTGTTATTCTGTCTGTGCGAAGGTGCCCCTCTTCTGCATTCCTACAAATCAGGTGAGACACTTCAGGACAATAGACAACTACTCAGCCTTTATTTGTTTGTTTGTTTGTTTACTACAGCCTCATGTCTGTCCAGGTGCTCGGCTAACAGATGTTGCTGTCAGCTGATATTTGCAGCTAAAGCTAACAACACAACAACAGCCTGACTCCATACCTGCTATCAGACTCATATCGGTGTCCAAGACTTATTCTGAATGAGTTTAAAACTATATGTTGTTTATTTGAAGTACGGTCTGACCGATATGGATTTTTGGGGGCCGATGCCGATACCGATTCCCGATTAATCGGCCGGTTTGTTATTTTTTTAATTAGGATTTAAAATTTTGTTAATATAAGTAATATTTGGGTTTCCCCTACATGCACCACCATGACAAAAAAAAAGGTTTTATCTCACATAGTTCTACCTCGGACTCGTACGTAACAGCAGTGTTTCCCCTACATTCATTCAAATTACGTGCGCCGCTACTGAAATTTCATATGATCATTAATATCAATGCACCACTAATGATTCTACTCACACTGTGTAAGCACAACAACACACAATGTTATTTCTGACTTGTTGTGAGTCATCAGGGATTGCATCAAATCCTGTCGGACCCTCTTCCATCATCGTGAAAGGTAACATTCAAGCTTATACACGGTCTATACAGCGAGTAGCATTAATAGCGTAAGTAGCATTATTATCAATGCGCCACTAATGATTCCCCTGCATTGTGTGAGCATTACAACAACAAGGTTATTTCCGACTTGTTGTGATTCATCAAGGAGCGCATCAAATCCTACCGGACCCTCTTCCACTAATGTGAAGGGTAAAGTTTAATCTTATACACGGTCTGTATAGCGAGTAGCATGGGTAACGTAACGTGAATGTAACAGTGGCAAGAGAGTGTGTTAAAACCGTGGCTTCAAAACGAGGTACAAGAGGGTCCAGCTCGCTGAGAGGGGTCTCCTGGGCCCCACTGGAGCCAAAGATGATTAATTCTGTTTTCTTTTCATTAAAATGTAAAAAGCTCAAGGCCATGCACTCTTTTATGTCTTTAAAACAATCCAGCAGCCGTACTGTCAATCTTTCACCTACTGTATGAAAGCGAGCATAATTTAATTCTTACCCATCACCTAGAAAACTCAGCTCAAAGCATCACATTTTCCATCCACTGCAGCTCATAAAAACTCATCTACAGAGTAAAGTTTAATTGTCTGTAAAATTTAACACAAATCAATCAGTCTCTAGGAAGCAGTGGTATGACTTAGTTAATGTATAACAGCCTCTTTAGAGGGCAGGTAGTCAGGTGTTCACCTTTCAGAGGGTTGGTCAGGTCATGGACTTTTAACTGTGGAACATTCTAGTGGATGAAGGCCTACCAGCATGGAAACGCTGTGTCTTATTGTTGTCTAGTCCCTCTTATGTAATGTACAGCTGCGTCACAGGTGTGATCAGATATATACTTCATTCAAACCTAATCTCCTTATGATAATAGAACAGAAACCTCAGCACACTATTAGACTCTGGCAGTTTTGCTTCAGGTTTTAATTTAAAATGTTGGTGTAACTACGAACCTGTAAAAACTGACCAAATAACTTTAAACATAGTTACATAATCGGGAGCAATAATGAGGTTTAAATTAGTTGTTGACAGGTCGATGAACACCAGCATTTACGCGTTACTTCATGTCACCACATTGTAAATAAAATACGTATTCCAAGAGATCATTCAATACCACATTCCCTGATGGGTACTGGTCTTGACTGTGAGGCATAAAGCCAAAAGACCACCTCCATAGGTGCTGACATATTGCACTGGCACTGCCAAGGCATGCCCAAAGCTGGTTGAGTTGCAGGAGTGACGTCAGCCCCTCTCCTTGAATTGAGACATGCTTTATATTTACATTGAACACTGAAGATCCAGATTCCACTCCTGTGGAAATGGAAAGCTCAGTGACTCTCGTGTTAATGTTTGTGAAGTTTTCTCTTGTCTTTTCCCCTCTGAATGCTGCAGGAACCATATGAGTCTATAAGCCCATCTCTATAACAAAAATAACATCTTTACAGCCTGGTACAAAACTCAGTTTTGGTCAGAGTAGCTCACTCCTTCATCTGCACACTCTGTACTGGCGCTGTACTAAATTTTGTATGACTCATTAATCCTGAAGATATTAAGGTTAAGAGTTTTGCTCGACGAGGGGCATGGGGAACTTGACTGACAGGCAGGTACAGTGCAGCAGCTAACAATGAGGCCCAAACACCCACTTCAGCTTTACCTCTGTGTGGGGCTGGGCGATAAAACGATAATCATATCGAACATAAATTTTCCTCAATATCAGTATAAAACAGGGGTGGGCAATTAATTTTTACATGGGTCCACATGAGAAACCTGAACTGTGTTGGAGGGCCGAACCAACAATAACATCAACATCAAATCGGGAGGGTTCACACAGACAGAAAAGCAAACCCAAATAAGCTTAAAGTATTTCATAATAAGCGGACTGGGCAACTATAAGGTGTCTACGTATATTTTGCCGATGTTTAAACTTGTCTCTGTTCAAGAATGCAGATCTAGGATGTACACACGTGCGTCCAAACGGAAATAAAATAACGGCTAGTTTTTCAAAATCAAAGCAATACACTTTTATTTGATTGACGGCCGGGCAGGGACATCCAAAGGGCTCGATTTGGCCCCTGGGCCATAAAATGCCCAGGTCTAGTATAAAACATGGTCAGTATCCTTTTTGATAGTTGGCATTCTGCCATGTTTTGGTAGACTATACCAATAGCTAATGAAAAGGGGAGTTGCTCCGGGTCTGCGCCGCACTGAACCAATCATGTGCTGAATTAGAACCAAGTAGCAAACAACTGCGTAGGAGCAGGCTGCAGCTACACGCAACCATAGCAATTTAACCACGACACCGTCAACAACACTGGCACGAAAACCTCTAGTGTGGGAGTATTTTGTTTTTTTGAGGTCGGACATGAAGTACAGTGATGTGCACTACAAATTATGTCAAGTACATGTCCTCCCAAAGTCGGGGAATACCTCAAATCTTTTTCACCACCAGAAGCAACACCATGCGGCAGAACACGCGTAATGCTAAAGGTTACAAACCCCGAGTGGAGCAAGGAGCTCATGATGCCTGTGCAGCCGAAACAGCCGACCATTCAGTCCGCTTTCTCTAGCACAGTGCCTTACGACAAAACGTCAAAGAGACACAGAGACCTCACAGATGCAGGAGATTGTATTGAAAAAGACATGCTACCAATAAGAACTGTTAAATTTCATTTTTTATATTGTGATATATCTCGATATCGACTGATATGAAAAAAATATATCGTGATAAACTTTTTCCTCTGTGCCTCTTGCTTGGTCGAAAAACTAAGATACCTGACCCTGTGAGTGAATGCCACATATCCACTCAAAGACAAGGAAGTGAATTCAGTGTTTTTGCAGTGTTGGGTCTGTGTGACCTCCTGATCCAAAACCTGTTTCCTTCTACAATACAGGTAGATGTGACTGTGCTGTAGTAACAGAGGTAATGTGTAACTGTAACACATTCCAGGCTTATCAGCTCAGGTCAATGATTGGCGATCATATCATTTTCTTAATCATTAACTCACATCCAGGAAACTCATATCGCAGTATTGACTTACTTTTTATGCTTTTATGACACAGCAGCCTGTTCTTTGCCACAGATGTAGAGCAGTGAGTTTAACTCTTTTTAAAGGGTTTAGTTTCGCCTTTGCATGAGGGTTCGATCACACCTAATGAAGGTATTACCTGGAAAGTCAGTCGCAGGACCGGTCCTAGAGTGGCATGTGGTCTGTGTACGCATATCAAACCTAAAGAGACGTGTTCAGTTGAGTAAGAGCTCAGGTGATAGTGGCACGTCTAGCCTGTAAATCAAGGTGGACGTTGACCTTGACCTTTCACTGCATCGCTCAGTGATTGAGTGACAAACACCCGAGGCTGTGGGGAATTCTGCTCCAGCACGACACTCATGTCTTATGTTATCCTCACGGGGTTTGAGTCCAGCCAGTAAAGTTCCTTCACATATTTTGCTCATCTTTACACCAGACTGCAGTGAAATATGTTGAAAAATGAGGGAATGATTTTCTGCAGATAATGTGTCTGTACCAAGGACAGCTGTGAGCACAAATCTCGGAGGTCTTGATTTGATCGATGAGGCTTCAATCTTAGCAGACAGACAAATCTTAGCTGAACACAAACATGTCATCCAGACAATGCCATCCTTCATCCTGTTTGCAGCTGAAAGTACAGACGCTCACTGTTCTGCACTCTGGTGGGTAAAGTCTGCAGAAATGGGTCAGCTTCCCCCTCTGCGTGAATGCCTGCTAAAATATGCAGTGGAACTGAAATAAGACCTGGCAGCTCCCTGCCGTATTGGTCCCAAAAACCAGTTGAGTCATTTGGTGGGGCCTGCCAAGTCATAATATGAACCCATGACTCAGTTAAAGCCTAACTGAGGAGAACTGATCCCATGCAGAGCTGCCGTGACCCAGCTCCTGTTTTTGAATATCTGACGTGTGCTGCAGCAGATCTCTGTGGGAGTCCAGCTTCGCCTGAACATACGGATCATGTTTGAATCAAAATCTCTGCTCCTGATTACTGCTGATTTTTTTTATATTTAAAGGACTGTGGAGAAGGTTTAACATTTTATGAAAACCAAATAGAGTCCTCTCTAAATATTGGGTCTGTTATAATCTGATGAAGTTGGCATTAATTGTCAGGGCTCGACGGTGCGACCGTCTCACTTTTGCATTTACGACTAAAAATAGATGTGTGTGAATTGTAAAATGTATTTAGGGGGATATGTGTGCATAAAAAAATCAGCCGAGGCAACAAATGTTTTTCATGTAAATACTGCGTTTACCAAAATTTGTTTTAGGTTGGATATTTGACAGATATTCACTGCAGAGCTGGTTTCTCACTCAGCGCAGTTAAATCTACTCTGCACCCTTGCTGTCAATGTCGGGTGTTGAATAAGGGACCATCAATAAATTACCAGTAGATGTTCTCAAAAATGGCTGTTTTCTTCAACAGCTTTCATGTCATGTGACCAAAAGACCTAAAATTGATTTCAAATAATAGTATTTATGTCGACCAGTAAAGGTCCTTACACAGCGGGACTGACGCAAATATACGACGCGAAATTACGAAATATTTGATCACATTATTTGATCAATTTTCATTGTGCCCCTAAAGTTCTTTGTGTGCTCCTGAGTTAAAAAAGTGAGTGTCAGGCCCTGATTGTAAATATTTCATGGGAAAAAAAGCCCAGATAACGGACTTTAGATCTTTTTAGTGCAAATCTCTTATTTTTGGATTTTGGATGAGCTCTTGTTGTTCAGTCACAGAGTTCCTGTAGTTGAAGAGCTCTTGAGTCACCTATATTTGTGGTATTTCTGTTTGTTCAGTTACCTCTTGTGGTTTTGATAAATGCGCTTACTCCAGATTTAGTGCGGGGATCCCGGCCGTCATGACTTTCCTCTTGTAGACATCGGTTTCTCTCACACTAGTTTCCCCTGTGAAGCTGTGAAGTCATCTCAGTCCAGCGGAGTGTCCCATTTGAGGTCTGTGTCAAGTGTTAACTGTATTGTCAGACAAACAATAAGCTTAAATGATTAAAGGTGTCTTAGTCTGCGGCCTTGATTCAAACATGTTAATCTGATTCAGTCCAGTCGGCCGGCCTGCCGCATTCCTCCTTTTCCCACGTACATTTGTACCACAAAGGAATTGTGGGTAACCTCTATTAGCTCACTTTAGACCAAGCGGTGCTTACCACCTCTCTCCTGTTGTCGTTGATGAATCGCGAGGTAAGAAACTCTTTAATTGAACATTTGTAAGTACACATCTGCATTTAGAGCGAAGTCTTCTGGGCCCGTGTGTGTCCTCACTATAGACCTGTTCAATCTTTAATTCCTCCTCTCATCAATATTTCACCAAAGACTCTGTTTCTGTTTCTCTGTTGCAATCTTTAGCACAGAGGAGAGGTCTGTGGAAGCAATCCTGCGGACTGACTGAGTATATCTCTTCTTATTTTAGCTAAAGGTTTGGTGATTTCCTAAAAACACGAGGCTCTTAGATTCGAGTTAAAGTCCGGACATGTAAAGGAAAAGTTTTTAAAGGTTTAGTGAGCATGTTTATTTTTGTAGAAGACGTCCTGGCGCAGTGAAAAAAATCTTGTTCATTGTCACCGTCACCTTTAGAGCGATGAAGTGATGCTGATCGTCTTCTCCTCACTTTGACAGATTCATTTCTGCTCCATCGGGACAAATCGGACTTGTAGTAAGTCCACTGTTCAGCATGATGTTGGACAAGTTCTTACATCAGGTTTATTTCAGGGTAATATTTTATTAATGGACTCACTGCAGAGTGGAGGAATTTATGCCAGCTTCATTTGCTCCTCAGTTTCTGCTCGACAACAGCAGTATTGATGTTTGGCTGGAGTTTCTGCTCAGCTGGACAGAAACAGAGTTTGGAGATTAATTTGGGCTTCTGTTTGAAAACAAGAAAATTTACTTAAACCTTTTTCAGGATATTTATCCATCCACAAGAAAATTAAAGAAAACAGAAATGATTTTTTTTTTTAATTAGAAAACTACAGTGGCTGAGAACCGTCACAACGGAAGTTATCGATGCAAAAAAGAAACCAGATAAAAAGAGAACTGGTGCAGATTTTAAAAAAAGCCACAACAGAAGTTAACAACGCAAAAAATTGGTGATGGAAAAAAAAATTACTTACTGCGAAAATAAAAGGATGCATCCTTCAGTTCAACTTCATATCGACTCAGGCGCTACATGGCCGAACCAAATGACACATTGAAAAGCATATGAAGTGAAATTAAACAATCACCTTTTGTTAGAGACGTGACTCCGCCCCATCCAGTCTGTAACAAAGAGGGAAAGACAGGTGAGGAGATGGAGGACGGTTCAAGAGTTGGAGCAGCTGAAGTAGACGAAGTTAATGTGGGAGGGGGTGAGCAGCTTGTGGAGTAGTTATTGTCTGTTTATCGTTATCGAGGTGAACTGATCAATATACCATGATATTGATTTGAGGCCATATCGCCCAGCCCTACTTGTTTCCGTTCTTGTCTCTGCCATGATGTGGAAATATTTCTGGATTAATCTCATTCAGAGAAGTCGAGTTTATAGCAGCTTAGTCTAGACAAAAACTGGCCCTGCTCTGGTTTCTCTTTTGTTCCGCGGGGCTCAGACTGTTTGTGCCGCAGACAGTCAAACTCAATTCTGTCCTAATTTTCTCTCATGTGGCGGCGTGAAAACTGCGAGTCAGTTTGTCGTCCGGATGTGTTCAGTAGCTGCTTTCATCTGTTGGGACTTTGTAGCTCAGCAGAAGGAGACTCTGTAGGTGTTGAGTCTCTCTCCAGCTGACAGGATGTACCTGACAGGCTCGGACCAGTGGGAGACAGAATAAACACAAAGGGGGGAGGATGAGGATGAAGAGGAGGAGGAGGAGGAGGAGGAAGAGGAGGCGGGGCTCTCACAAAAATCCTCTCTGCTCTTTCAGTGCACAATCATACTGATGCAGAGTGATGAGATACAACATGGTGATAAATAACAAACAGACACACAACACCAGCTTAGGTGGAAACAGTCTGAAACGTCTCGACTGTTCACCTGAATCATCCAGCTGGAAATGAGCGCTGACATTTCAGACGTTAGAAGACAAGGTGGGGTTGTCGCTAGGTGACATGCTCACAATAGCTTCTAACAAAAGGTTGGTATTACTGTTAACACAACCAGCGCCTTCTACACACTGACGCCTCACACATGCCGGCCTCTGAGAACATATTTTTAGGGATGGGCATTCGAAGCAAAAACACCACGCCGTGGTTTTTAATGACTGTTTAGATCGTCCCGTGACGACTTTGTAGATATAAGCAGAGAGAGAGAGAGAGAGAGAGAGAGAGAGAGAGAGAGAGAGAGAGAGAGGTCTGATGACTGTGCGTAGTTATGCCAGTTATATTTGATACATCTGTGGATGTGATCCAGACGTACTACTATTACTTGGCAAAGTTTGTACTTAACCCTTTTTTCCTGGAAGTCGTTGACAGCTGCAGAAATCAGCAGTTTTAAGGTGCAGCCCTTTAACTGTGTGTGTTTCTTTTTTGTTTGTTATTTAGAGGCAGAAAGTGAAGTTTTTAGAGGATCCACAACCATCATATCAACATTAACCAAAAAACTTCAGGACATAAACTTTTAATTTTACACCATCAAATGTGGTTTAAATATTTGAAGTTTAAAAATCAGTCTTTCTTATTAAAATTACCGTATTTTTCGCACTATAAGGCGCACTTAAAATCCTTCTGGAGCACTGCAGCTACCGTAGCCTCGCCGAGTTATTGACTGATTTGTTTGGCTTAATACGCTTTATAATCCGGGTGCACCTTATGTATGAAAATAAACGCTATCTGACGACTTTTCAGATTTTGCTGCCTACTTAGTGTTTTTTTTTCTGAAGTAAAACAAACAGCCTCTGTGTTTCTGTGTTTCTGTGAGTGAAGCAGTTGTTTGCACTAAACTGGAAATGACTCGGGCTGAAACGTAAAGCTGCTGCTGTGTGATTGTTGGTCAGCATCGGTGCGAGTGAGTAAGGGAGTGAGAGAGAGAGTGAGTGAGCAGCAGCTGAGCAGAGCAGTGGGTGGGTTGTAAGGCTGCTGTCAGCCCTCACACTCAAACTGCTGGGCCAGCACCATCCTCACTGGCACGGACTCACACCTGCTGTCACCGCTGCTGCACCATCAGCTGCTTAGCAGTCAGGAACCCCCCCCCCCCCACAGACACACACACACACACACACACACACACACACACACACACACACACACACACACACAGTGCTGTCACGTCATGTAAACCTTTCAAATCAGGTCCCAGATTTCTTCATGGTTCTGAAACTGGTCCTCCTCTCTCTGCTGGTTTTTAGCTCGTTGTTGTGTTGTTGGCTCTGTTCAGTTTATTTTTATATGTGAAGTTTTACTTTTGTTGTGGGTGGATGTAGAAGCAGAGCCAGTCCACCCCTGTGTAATGTTCTCTATTTCCACTTAAACACACTTGTGTTTATAGTTGCAACAAGCGCAGCCCTCTGTTCCTGTTCCTGTCAGGTTTATTTTGACCCAAAGCTACAAATTTAAATGATTCAGCATTATTTAAATGTTTTTTTCCTCTCTTTGTATTCCAGCTGGAAGCTCAGGGGACACGCTGTCGACGTCACTCTACCTGTCCCTCGTAGTGTCACTGACGGCGCTCGTGGCCTTGGTGGTGTTGCTGGTGAACTGTGTGACCTGCTGCAAAGAAAGAGAGATCAACTTCAAGGTGAGAGTCCTAACCGGCAGGTAGCCGACATGACCCAGAGTGAGGATGAGGATGGGTGTGAAGATAAGTGTCTGTATTTTTGGTTTCAGGAGTTCGAGGACCACTTTGAGGATGAGATTGACTTCACTCCACCAGCAGAGGACACACCCTCTATGCAGTCCCCCGCTGAGGTCTACACCCTCGCTGTGTCTCCTGTGGCGCTTCCCGGACCCCCACACCTCCAACCTCCCGCCCGTATCACAGGTCAGGCACAAGCAGACTGTAAACAGACTTTTATTGTGTGTCACAAAATGCCAGACCGAGTCTTCGCTGCCAACACACACACTTACTTATCACACATGAGGCATATAAACGTAAACGATTAATCAGCTTTGATTTCTTTTTTAGGTCAATTCTGCTCCACGTTAACCAGGTCGAAGAAATACAAATCTGCTTTTCCTTTAAGTGAATCCAAAAACACGAAGTAAAATAAAAACATTTTTATTTAGCAGAGAGCAAATTTAACCCAGCAATCAGCGCGATCATTACTCAGAGTCACTATCTCACTACTTCACAGTCTATTAATGGCGGCTTCTTCTTTGCCAAGATCCATGACCCACAGAGGAGGGAGGGTGGGGGGCTGCTGCTGGGGCTCTTTGCTTAGCTGTGCAGGACCACAGCAGGGTCTCTGTTTGTAAGCAGCAGACAGACTCCGTACTCTGGCCTCGCTCTCCTGTGATCCAGGAAAGTTGGTCCTGAAAGTCGGGTGTCAAGATGATGCCTCTAAATGTCAATTTTTTGACATTAAATAAAGATTTTGCAGTAAACCAGGGGTGGGCGATCATGTGCTGTAGAGGGCCGAGGGGCTGCAGGTTTTCCTTCCAGGAAAGAAAACCTGCGGCCCCTCGGCCCTCCCCTGCAGCAAACGGTTGTTTCTCATTTTTGTCTTGTGGTCCCTTTTTATTCCAATAGATGTTTTTAAAACCACCACACTTAGAGGTAACACATTTTCTTTGTGAAACTCATCAATGAGTTCATAATTAACATAATAATCTGTTTTGGTTTCACAGAAGGACCCGCAGGCTTCCAGGTCGCACGCCACAGTCTGAGTTACATCCAAGAGATCGGCAACGGCTGGTTCGGTCAGGTGAGATCAGTTTTCCGGTTTATGAAATAAAGATTGGAAATCTTCTGAGTGTCTTTCCCCCCCGATCTAAGTTTGTTTTTGAAGTCTAAAGCATTTCCACGCACAAACAGGTCCTCCTGAGTGAAATCTACACAGATCCAGGCGGAGCCCGGGTGGTGGTGAAGGAGTTAAAAGCTAATGCGAGCGCCAAGGAGCAGAATGACTTCCTGCAGCAGGGAGATCCATACAGGTAAATGCAATCCTGCCAGGATGGTTCGATATTTGACCGATTAATAGCAGTATTTGGAGTTGCTAAAAGGACTCTCTCTTACAGTACAGGTGGTTAAAAATAGCCGTATGACATCAGTGTTATTTCAGCAGCACCCTCTATCTTTCTCTTGGCACACTGCATCAGGACTTTCTCTCCTCTTCGGATCCTTCAGATAATAATTTAGATTAAACTCTTACGGCTTGTTTACACGTCGCTTCTTGACAGACTGGATGTTTTGTTTACACACAGAGTTCTGCAGCACCCGAACATCCTCCAGTGCCTGGGACAATGTGTAGAGGCCATTCCCTTCTTACTCGTCTTTGAGTACTGTGAAATGGTGAGTGACTAAGTCTTTCAGAGCACAAAAACTGTGAACACAAGTGACACGAAGAGGCTGAAATGGAAAATAAAGCTGGTGTAGAAATGCTTTATTAACTGTCATTCTTCATTCATTGAGAAATCTGAGAATTAGCTCATGTCAGCCTGTTAAGCCCACACATTCAAAGGCCAAGACCCCTTAAATACTGTCCAGCCAGCATGAATGGTTGACCTCCCTTGTTGACCATCTGGACTGGGAGCTTACTGTCTCAGTCCCAAATTAGCCCCCCCTCTTCATCCTCGCATATTAAAGTGAGTCAGACTTCATCACGGCAGCTGATTTATTCACTGTTTTTCTCTCTATATCCTGGGGGGGGGGGCCGGACCCTCTCTTCTGCCGGGAGCTCCCTCACCTCTCTTTCTCTCCCACCCCCCCCTTCCTCCCTCTTGCTGAAGTCGCATAGCTCGTCTAAGCCCGGGACTTCTCACATTCCCACCTCACCCAGTAAAGCAACAGGCTCCTTTTACGCTCCTCTGGTGTCAGCTCCACCAGTTGCTGTGTTTGTGCATTTTTATGGGTGGCACCTTGTGTGTGTGTGGAGATACGGAGCAAACCGAGCCGTTCCTCAAGAACCTGCTGAGCTGCCCAGTGATGAATGCAGAGATGTCGACCCGATATAAAAACACTGACTCGATTCCTTTAAAGTTTGATCGATCCTGATTGGAAACATGAATACGAACTCTGAGTTTGAGAGGCTGTGGTTTGTTGTTGGCTGGATAGATTCAGGGTCACCTCAAAGAAACATGAAGTTTGATTGTAGAAAACTGGGACCACAGAGTATCAGCATTTTAATTTTACAAACGGCCAAAAAAATTGATTAATCAGAGAGTGTGCGATGTTAGCTCTGCTGACGGTGTGTCTTTCCCCCTGGGGTCTGATCTCTTGCATCACTTTGCCCCGCCCACGACACTATCTGATTAGCTCTTCGTCATACGATCGTACGGTGTCGCTGAACTGTAAGTTTAACTGTCAACTCCTGTAAGTGACGCTAAAGGTTTTAGGTTTTAGGTGATCTTCCAAATGTTAAAGTTTCTCATTTTTACTGTCGATGCATAAAGGTTTCTTTCCGGGTCAAACAAATAGAAAAGTTTCTGGTTGAAATTTGCATTTTCCAACACTCTGCAAACCCTAAACCCTTTTTAGTTCATGTAGATCGAAATACAGGTTTGGCAAATCGATCGAGAAATTGGAAAACAAACTAATCAAATGCATCACAGCTAAACTGCAGAGTCAGAGGGAATCACGAGATGACCTAAAATACTTGTATGACATTAGGGTTAACCGTCGCCAACTTTATCATCCCGCCTCCAACCGAGCGCGCCGTCGATCAGGTGTCCTTCTTTGGCAGCGAGAAACGGTCTTGTGAGTGTCAGTGTGTAAAAGTGCAGAAGACGCAGGTGTGTCAGAGTGCAGCAGAAGGGTCTGCGAGAGGTCCGCCCACTTCCTGCCCGATGCGAGGATGGCGCTCTGCTGGCACAACCCGAGCCATAAAATTTTACTGCTGTTTCAGAGTAAGAAATCATCTGGTGGATTTTAATCTGCAAAACATATTTCAAAACAATCTTCGCGTAACACCCCCCCACACACACACACACACACCTTTCCTCCCGTTTATCCAACCCAGTGAGGTTTCCAGCAGGGTCCCGGTTTGGCTCACCGTCCCCAGATTGCGTAAGTTTGTTTGGCTTGGGCATTGTCAGCTGCTCGGGTCTGGCATCTCTCCTGGCATTGTGGTCTTTCCCAGCCGGCTCCGGTAACATCTCTGACAGGGGATGGAAATGAGTCAAGGTGAAAGACTTATCACACGTGTGCAGCGGCCATTAAGGAAGATAGTGTGATGATGAGCAGGTCCTGTGTGTTAAAGGTGATAATGTGTGAGGGAAGCATAACTCAGACATGTCTGTGGCGCTCATTATCTCCTGGCTGGGTGGAGACTTTTTAAAAGACTTTATCCAAATGGGACTTTGTCAGAGTCCAAGACTTTCTAATACATTTAAAAATAACACCACTCATCCGACAGCGCCTCTTTATTTCTTCGTCAATCAGCTCCTGGATGTCCAAACATGGAACATGACACTGCAGCTGCACGGCCAACAAGACGAATCCCAAAAAGCCAATATACGGTGACGTTCCCCGCGACAGCTCGGTGATTGATGCTGGTTTTTCCGTCCCGTATCACCCGTGCCGGGTAACCCTGACTCAAAGCATTTTAGACATCAAAATACATCAAGCAACTGGTGCAGGGGCTACAGAATGTCACATACCAGAGTTTGAGTGACAGCCTCTAATGCGTGGATCTCCTGCCTGGTGCCCTGCCAGGACGTGAGACAGACCCCTCTCTTGTTCAGGGTCTCGGATGTAAGCCAGCTGACGTTTTAGCTTTTGAAAGTTGTTGATCTCCTGCATTTATTGTGGTTATTGAAGCGACAGTCCTCACACAGATGTATCCGAGCCCTATCAGTGAATAATTTGGCGTTTATTAAGTTACACTGACCACATTTTTTGATGCACTTTGATGAGTGTTTATATTTCGTTTTAAGCTTTTTTGGATTTAAAAACCTGTTTCTCCAAAAGCCGCCCCCTTTCTTCAGTTCCCTGCCCTAGATTCGGCCTACTTGCACCGTCGGGCTCGCATGTAAATACGCTAAAAATAACCATGATATCACCTGCTATCAGTAGCATGGGCAACAAGCCCGTCAAATATCTTGAAAAGGCTCTTTTTACATATCCTGATCATGAGGTGGCCGAGCCAGACATAAGTTGGCACTCGCTCTCTCTCGACACATTCTTGTTTATTCAGGTTTCAGATACAGGACCTTATTGTTTTGGCTCTTTGCAGTTAACGTTGTTTCATTAACAGCTCCGGCGTCCCCCTCCTCCCTCCTCGGAGACCCAGACCTAATCACCTGCTGCAGAGCCTTCACAAATAAAGACAGGCAGAGTGGTGTCACTTACCATACATTGCATTTAGCTCTTCTCTGAAGGCCGCTTCTCAGAGCCGTGTCTGTTTTTGTGCGGCGCTTTCTCAATGCGTTTGTATTCCTGTGTTTGTGTGTGTGCAGGGGTGAACATGGCTGCAGCAAACCCGGTTGCTTATGTAAGATGATAGATGTAAGCAGCGCTGTAGTGAGATCGCTCGGGGAAAAAGAAACCCTTTGTAAACACACAGACGGACAGACACAGTGATTTGCATGCTCAGTAACTGCATGTGAGTTGACATTTTTCACAAAAGGGCCTGATATTATGGGAGTGTGTGTGTATATTAGAGTGTGTATATGTGTGTGTACAGTGTGTTCTTAATAGCTCATTCCTCAGGGGGACCCTCCGTTCTGCTGGCTAATCAGGAATCCCCTTCCCCTCCGACACTGTTGTGGACTCTGAACGTAAAATGCTTCAAAAGCAATTTGTTTTCACTTTTCGCCTGTCAGCGAAATCTCGATATAGAAAAAGAGTTTGTACAAAGAGTCGTAGGATAACAGGAAAGCTCTGAGTACAGTATGAGTTCCTGCTCTTTTGTCCGTTTTGTTGTTGACCCTTCAGAGTCCCTCAGGACCCATCCACAGACACCCCTGATCTGATCGAAGGATAGTCCATCGATCAGGTTCCCCGTCTCATACAGTAATCGCTCGGTCACATTGGCGACATGTGATAAGTTTGACTTAATCATAAAACCTGCGTGTTAAACCTTTTATAAGAGCACTATATGGGGCAATCCCCTCCCCTGCTTCCTCACGGGATACCGTCCTCCCTCCATCCCTCGACTCTTGATGAGCTCAGAAACTCGGTGGGATGCAGACACGGTTGATTTCACTGACCTGAGCTGGACTCTTTTATTTATAAATCTCTGTGACACAGCATAGAGGTCCACCAAACAGCGTTACCCTTATTTGGTCCTCTCGCACATCAGCAGGGAGAAGTGCTGAGGAGACAGGAACAGGAGAATCTGCCGCCCCCGTGTGGCCATTCCTGCACAGTGCACCCCCACTACTCAATGATTTTTCTCTTGATTTATTGAATGTTTATTCTTGATGTGGTGTCGATGTGCTTCAACATGTGTATGTCCGTGCGTGTGTGTGTTTGCAGGGGGATCTGCGGGGCTACCTGTCCCAGCAGGACTGGGTGTTCAGAAACGCTGAGTTGTTGCAGCTGCAGAGGATGGCCTGCGAGATCGCCGCCGGTGTCACTCACCTTCACAAACACAACTTCCTGCACAGGTAGCACTTCAGAAACGCAACACTGATGCAAGCACAACTTTACAGTAGACTCACAACCTCGAGACACAGGTGCATCAAACACCAAATCAAAAAGGCTTCCTTTAACAGTGTCAGTTTCTTTTATTTTACCTACATTAAATAATCAGACTGCTCAACAAAACTGCTGTTATTCATGAGCTGTAATTAATTTGAATTTGTGCAAATTTCTGCAGAAATTTCACACATTGAACTCCCTAATTTTCGCACCTTAATACCAGATCTTTCCTTTTATATCTTTTCTACAAACTAAATGCACATGAAAACTTCTTCCCAAAGTTTTGAGATGAGGATCTGCCTGTTTTATGATGACGTTTCATGATTAATGCATCCCAATTCATCCGGACGTGTAATGTGACTTGTCAAATATGGGGTCACAAGCCTCGTAAACCATGATTGTAAAGACTTAGGTCAACAGTTAGTTTTACTTTAGTGCTTACTGTCCACCCGGTCTCAGGAGTGCCAGTGTTCTCCAAAAAAGGTTTGTACAGCAGAGAGGCTGCATTTCATTTTCATTTTTACCCCGCTGAGCGCTCGATGTCTGGCTGCAGGGCACAGGGGTTGTCGGGAACGCGTGGCTCGGGGGTAACATACGATGCTCCGCTCATCAGCTCTATTTTGCATGCTCAGAATAAGCTCAGAGGGTTCCAATTACACAGCTCGCATGCATTGCTACAGTGTCAGCTGTCCACTGCCAGAGGGATATGATGATTCTGCTCTTTGGGTGTAAAAGGATAGCCCAATATTGGGAGTTGTGTTTTAATCCTTGTTACAACTTAATGGGACTTCTACAAGCTTTTCTCCATGTGAACTAATTCAACTTCCTGTTTTAAAAATATTTATGCTGCGCTGAAGCTCAGAGCTACAAAAAGTAAAAAAAAGAAAAAGAAAATCTGACGCGAATTCAGCGATTCTGGACGCAGTCAGACACAGACACAATTGGACAAGAACTTTAATTGGCTGCGATGCGCCGACACAGACACAAACCCCCCCAGAGCGAGTGCTGTGTGGGCCGATACCAACAGCTGAGATCACAGTGGAAGTGAGCGGTGGGAAAACCGCAGAAGGAGGTTTCCGTCAGACTGCAGATCAGGACGTCAGTCTGAGTAATTTCTTTTTTTAGTTCCTCTTTTAGGATAAAAAGCTTTTCAACTGTTTCATCCTCTTCAGTCATTAATTCACGTGTATTTTAATTATATTTAAAAGTCACTTTAGGAGACGTTTTCACCAGTTTGATTTTGACTCGAATTTAATCAAAGTTCAAAAGGTTGATTATATAAGGGGCCTCCAGTTGAACTAAACTGTTGAATTGCACGCCCATCTACAGAGTTGCAGGCCGCCCCGCTTCAAATCCAACCTGTGACCCCCCATCTGTTTGCCTCTTCCCCACTCCCTCATCTCAGTTTTCTTCTCTATCCAGCGTCCGATCTGAAAATCTGCTACAGGACAGTATCGAACAGAGATTTCTATTATCTCCAGGTTATGCTGTCTACAATCTGAAACTGCAGCTGCGCTCCCAGATGAAATTCAGAAGGTGTCTGCAGATATCACAGCTAACTCCACTGCTGTCCCATATTTAAGGGCTGATCATTGCCCTGCCTTGTATTAGCCTTGTAGGGTTAAGATACTGGACCCATTTCACACTGCTGTGTTACTGTATATTGGGCCCTCAGCCAGACGCCGCAGACAGGGAGTCTAAAATAAATCTCCATTTATCTTACAGAGGTTTCAGTGGCTCTGACAGTAGCCGGGCCGTGTACACACAAAACACCGGTGTCAGCAGTGTTTGTCGTTAGGCGGGTAAAGGGGACATGGGTCTTAAGCTCAGGGAAAGCCGCAGGGCCGACAAGAAACCAAAGCCCGCCACTTCAGTCACTGAAAATGATCCACCATCTGTCTGTCTCCATGTGGAGCGAGGACTTGTGCTCTTACGCCCTCTACTGGCAGCCTCGCCGAAGCTGCGTCTCCTGAAACGTTATCCTGCTGCTGTGCGCCGCAGTCAGGAATAGCCCCTGAATGAGTCTTGTTGTGAGGAGCAGAGGCAAATAACTAAAGAACTTCCTATAGTTGATGAAGTCACTCAGGATCCCTGCCTGACCTCCTTGGCGTTGATTCTTAAGGGGCCGTTTTGTCGTCGGAGAGCAGACGGTAGATCTCTCCTTGGCATCGATTTTGTGGTCACTTCACCTTGGTCTTTACATTTATCTAAAAGGATGAAGACGACCACAAACTGGGGCGAAAAGATGAATATTTTCAGTCCTGTGTGCACCAAAGTTTGCCTCATACTGTCCTCATAATCAGTGAATGTTTCCATCATTATAAACCTGTAATAAACAAATCTCTTCATTCTCTCTCTTTGCTCTCGTAGTGATCTCGCTCTGAGGAACTGCTACCTGACTGCAGACCTTACAGTCAAAGTGGGGGATTATGGGATTGGACCCTACAGATACAAAGTAAGCATCATAACCCTCACATAACAGACACAGTTCAGACTTTGATTACTCAGAGAATTGCCGCTTTCTTAGTACCTTTAAAAAGTCGCTTGAAGCAGAGACTAGGTCCTGTATATTTGTGTGACACGCTGCTGCTGTTCCAAAGGAGGACACAGTTCATCAAAGTTTTCAGAGCTTTAATATCGGAAAAAAAAAAACGCTTCCACAATCGCCAATGATTACACGTGTACATCTGATGTAGTATGTGCACACTCTGCAATGTGTATCATAGCAAACAAAGAAAATATAGTGTGGTCAACAAAAATTACAGCTACCTAGGCTCACCTCTCCACCACAGTGCAGGTAGGACCGCCCCTTATATAACTCACCGGCTTTCAAACTCAGTGCCCATGTGACCCAAACCCAGCGAAACCAATAGCAATAAGACAAAAGTAATTGAACACAGGATAACCGATAAGCAAAGCAACATTATGGCTCCAAGATACTGCAAATAAAGCCTGAGTGACAATATTTAAGGTTACTTCTCATAAACCATCAATTTTTCCTGCTCCTGGACCACTAATCCACTATTTCGATCCACAGAAAGGGGGATCAAGGACCCAGAGAAAATCCAGACTCATGTCCTGATATGGTGGTCCTTATTAACCCTTATAGACAGAAACAAAAGCAGGTCAAAGCAGCACTCTGGATACCTTGTCCCTCTAAAGTTAACATCATCTGGGGTCTTTGTAGAGGTAGAGAAGTTTGTACCTTTAAGACGTCTCTCTGTTTGTCACATTTTAATAAAGATCTCGCAGCTCAAAGCTGTTCAATCGTCCAAACTCGACAAACAATTCCCCCCTAAGATGGCTGAGAACCTCTCCATATTTTTGCAACAGCTGAACTGAAGCCACTGTCGACGTCTATCTTTGACGTCCGGCCCTTGGTGACCTGGCAGGATTTAGACCTTTTTTATTTGCCGTGGGTCGTGCAGGTGTTTGCATTTGATTGATTCCATATTTCACTGAACAATTCAAACCGTCCTCTGTCTGTAACCTGACGCTCTGCATATGTCCCGCGGCGGTTCTGTCTCCTGCATTCCCTAAATACTGCTGATCTGTCAGTTTGGCTGTCTGAATTTAATACTCGTAAGATAAGGTCACCCAGGGAGTCTATTTCTGTGAAGAAAGGGAGAGGCTGCGAGGGTGCGCTGCCTCGGTGAGCGCTAACACACAGTTGTAATACTCCTACTTATTAAAGAGTGAATTTTGATGAGGCGGTGTTCACACAAATCCCCTCTGAGTTTCCTAGAAAGCCGCAGATTCTGAGAGTTGTGAATACCCCCCCACTCAAGCTGTGACTGTTTTGTTTTTTCGCCCTGTTATTATAGGAGGATTACATCATCACAGAGGAAGATGTGTTCGCACCGCTTCGCTGGTTGGCTCCTGAGCTGGTGGGCGAGCGACACGGGGGTGTGATTACGATGGAGCCAACCAAGCCCAGCAATGTGTGGTAGGTCCTCTTTTACAGCTCTTCACTACACTAGAGGACACCAGAGGACAGTTTTGAAAAGGCACATAAATCACGATGCCAGCGAGTGGACCGTGACCTCATCCAAATGTGTTTTTAATGACTCTGCTGAATGGAGGGTATGTGTGAAAAAACTTCACACACTCATGAAGAGGTGAGGGATCTACAGAGAGGTAAAATGAAGGGACGGTCAGGTCTGTTTATTCTCTGAAATCAGAGTTTCAGAGTCGTGAAGCCATGTGTCCTTTAAGTTAATATCACAGGACTGTGTAGTCTTTGTTTATCTTGTCCCCTGAATGAAGGTTGAAGCCAGCAGTTGGGATGGACAATAACGGTGAAAGTCTAATAAAGTCCCGATAAAACATATTATAATTCCAGTCTACATTTTTAACTCATTATGTCTTGAGAACACCCGTTGGAGTAGTCAAATAAGAAACTTGACCACATGTTTGAGTGGTTGGTTATGGAGAAAACTCCTGACATCAAACAAGTCTCAATAACATTTTCAACATTTGTTGAAAACTCTAATCGCACAGAGCAAACAGCAGCAGATCAACTGTCTGATGTCAGGCATACCTGACTGCGCTAATCTAAACCTCGATCTTAAAGGAAATCCCTCATGTGGATCCTCGTTCAGCGATAAGCTGCTCAGAAACGTCTTCTTCATTACCTTTATGGAGGATTTATCTGACTGATTTGATATATCCTGAACAGTAATTTATCGCCCATCCCTAGCCAGCAGGATGACTCTTAACAGAAAATGACAGAAGTGGAAATCACAAAAACAGGCCAAAATTAAAAATGTCTTCTCACTGACAGTCTTGGATATCATTAAAAGGCATCGATATGAATTTTAGTTTATTTAACATATGCTTAAAAAACTCCACACAGGAGCTTTAATGTTTGAAATAGTACAGTAGTTTCCTCCAGACTTTAGTTTGTGGAGTTTCTCAGCTTCTTAATCATGTCCATGTAAATGTGTGTTAACCTGATTTCTGTCCACATGTTGATTTTCACGGATCACAGGGTGTTTGGTTAACTGTACGGATCAGTTGTTACTAATTCAGGCAGAGATTTATCTTTCTGTCTGGAGGTAGGATGTTTGTTTGAAGTTTTGCCACTTTGCCAACTGAGGGGGCGTATCCCGCTTAATTACCCTCGATTAACAAAGGAGAAATACTGATGTGAATATTTCCTCTGTAATTTGATAACTTGATGCCTTATTTTGATTAAAACAGTCCACTTTGACTTACATGTCAACATAAAACCAAACGGGGAATGTGTTTATGTTACAGTACACCTGTTGCTCTTTGCAGAGAAGTGAGGCTTCTTCTGCTTATTTCAGAATCACCAATAAACTGATGCTGCAACCACTTAATTATGGAGGTGACACAAATGACATGAGCCGACATGCCCTAAAGATTGTAAATAGAAATGCCAGAAATGTTTCCCACAAGTGCAAAGTCTTCTCATTAGGATCTTACCTCTTTATGGATCCTGAGGTTCGTCTCCGGTCGTTGTGGGTCGCTGTAAATTCTTAACGTCCCACCTGAGGAAGGTTTATGATAAAGAGTCAGGTGGTTGAGGCCCTTTTCTAAACTGGTCATGTACTCGACGTCTTTTGTCCCGCAGCAGTAAATTCCAACCGCTCTTTTACTCTCAAATGTCCGCAGGGCCTTGGGAGTCACATTGTGGGAGCTCTTTGAGAACGCCGCCCAGCCGTACCCACATCTGTCCGACCGGGAGGTCCTCAATCATGTGATCAAGGACCAACAAGTCAAACTCTTTAAGCCACAGCTGGAGCTCCCCTATTCAGACAGATGGTGAGTCTTTCTAAAATGTTTAATATCACAAATTATAGTTTTTCTAAGTGTTCAAATCATTCATTATGCGTCTATCAACTATCTGCAGGTACGAGGTTCTGCAGTTCTGCTGGCTGTCTCCAGACAAGCGGGCCACAGCAGAGGAAGTCCACCGTCTGCTCACCTACCTGCGCATGCAAGGCCAGAAGGACATAGAGGAAGATTTCGAGCAGCGCTGGGACGCCCTCAAGCCCAATCCCTCCACGCGCCAGACCACCGTCAGCCACTCCTCCTTCCCTATCTTGGAACAGTTTGCCGATGACGCCCTGAGGCAGGAGATTGACGAAGTCCTCACAGTGACTGAAACAAGCAAAGGTCTCAGCTTTGAGTATGTTTGGGAGGCGGCCAAACATGACCACTATGAAGGAAACCACGCACGCTCAGGCATGGACACAACGCTCAACTATCACAGCATGTTCTTCCCTGTTTCCAGAGAGGACATCCAGGCACATTTCCCCGACCCTGTGGCCCGAGCAGAGAGCACAGAGGGTGGGAACACTCCTTCAGGAATCCCTGGGGTTGTACAAGTGTTTGATGCACAGCAGCCTTCAAATGGGAATGAATATTACATACAACTAGAAGAACAAGGGGAGAGTACAGTTGGGGGTGAGGGCAACAGAGGGCAAGACCTGGACTTCAGTTCAGGCCGGCAAGACTTTGTCGTTCTTCAAGATGTACGTTTGGACGAGTCCAGCACTGATGCAGATTTTTTCCACCAAAGTATTGACTCCAAGGACTCTTACTTACCGGACAGCCACATCTGGTCGTCTCTTGAAAACGACAGCCCATACCACACCAACATTTTCACCGACGGGGGGTCCAAGCAGGAGGACTCTCCTTCCTGGGGACAGAGTTTTATGGAGCTCCCCCAGCGTAACGGGAATCCTTTCCATGAAGCTGCATCTTCAGAAGGCCGGCTGGTGGATACAGATCAGAACTACGGGGACTCTTTTTTAGGGGGTAGTTCAGAAGCCGCTCACCCTGTGGAGGGGGAGAAAAACGCAGATGTGATGAGGCTTCTGGACGCCGATAAACTCAGTGAAAACTTTATGTTTCTCAAAGAACGGAACCTGATGAAAGGCGGGTCCAGTTTCTCAAGTCCACGTGAGAACTTTCTTTTACCTGGCATCTCTCATGAACCGGAAGAATCATTCAAAATGCGTTCATGGGACAACCTTGAGTGTTTAGGCAGCTTAACGATACCGGACACTTATTTAAAACCTGCAACAAGTAGCACATCCTCACAACAGGAACTTTTAGACTCCCCGAGTCCTAGCTTAGGGGAGTCTGCTCAGTCTCCGGTAGGAAATCAAACACTGGTGCCTTCCATTACCTTGGTCACTGAAGATAACACAAGCATCCAGCTGCCGGTTACAAACAGTTCTTCCACTGAAGACCTTGGCCTCCTGCAATCCTCGGAAAGAGGTCTAGACTCTGGGTTTGACTCTACCTCAGAGAGGTTTGAGGTAACTATCAGTCAGAGTGATTTTCACACTCCCGCGTTCTCTGAAAGTGCCACTACAGACTCATTGTGCACAGATGCCAAAATCCCCAGCCTTGAAGACGACCTCGGAACCTCGGAGGATCATCCTCAGCCCTCAGAGAGTGAAATCTGTGAAACCCTGGAGGTCCCAGCACTGCCTGCAGACGGCGGACACAACGAAGACCTGACGAGTAACGACCTGACGAGTAACGACCTGTTGAGCGAACTCATCGAGGATGCAGATATAGAGCTGGAGACCACTCTTTCTGACCATGAAGAATCCTTTATGGACACTAACGGGCGTCCTCTTGTCAGGTCCTCCCTGCTGGTATCTGGACCATCTTTGGACCAGATCAGCCAGGATAGCTTATTAGAAGACAGCATGTCCACCACCCTACCCACTATAGAAAACTCAGCTGAGACACCGGACTCTTTAGACTCCCTAGACATCCACCGGTTAGCCGAACAAGGAGATGAATTAATTGCTCCAATAGCTCAACACAAACTACAGCCTCCGTACAAAATATCCGACAGCGGGTACGAGACGGAGAACCTGGAGTCTCCTGAGTGGAACTCTCAGCCAAACGTCAAAGAACAGTCCCCCGTGAAAAATGGCCTGAGTGTCGCCAAAGAGGAGGAGGAGGAGACGGAGGAGGAGGCGGCGTCTGCAACAATCCTGGTCCCACCAGCGATCGTCATCTCTGAGGTAGAAGGCGTGTTGGATGCTGATGATAATGATGATCGCAGTGAGGACCAACAACCAGAGCACGCCGCTCCTGCTGAGGAACCGCTCATGGGGAGTAATTACAGGGACTCCGCCTACTTCTCTGACAACGAATCCGAGCCTGAGAAAAAGTCAGAGGAAGCGATCGCAGAAGGTTCCGGTGAAGCTACATGGCTGAGGAACTCAACGGACCCAGTCAGCGAGGCTGCAGCTGTGGATGCACATGTGGAGAAAGATATCGACGCTTTGTTTTCACAGGGAGAGTCTTCGACTTCTGCTGAGGCGCTGGTCAACGGACAACAACCAGAAAATCACACTGAGGGTGTTTTACCAGAGGAGGATTCAGATCTCACCGAGAAACGTGAGACCAAGGCAACAGAGTCCATCAAGAATCAAACTGAAAATGGAAACAAGCCTGAAGTTTTAACGGACGTCACAGCACCACCAGAACCAGAACCATCAGAAGATTTAGAAACCTTGTCTCCACCCCCCTCTGCGGCCCCATCAAACGCCGTCCACGCCAAACTAACTAGGACCTACGCGAGCGAAGGTCACAAGATAAAAGAGCCAGACATGGAGGGCCGGTATCTGGGGAGGCGGGACGGCTCCGCTCTAGACGGCCAGGAGGATGGCGTGGATGCGGACGAGGAGGACGAGAACAGCGATGACTCCGATGATGACATGCGTGCGTACCGGCTCCACAGCTCCAGCTCGGACAGCGAGGACGACACCGTTCACCCCGTTCCTGTCATCATCTCAGACGACAGCAGCGCAAAGAACCTGAAGAGCTTACTGAAGCCCACCACGCTGAACATCGAGGCGTCCTCTTCTCCGTTTCCTGCGAGGTTCAACGCAGATAACTCCAGGAGGGCAGTGTCCTTCTTCGATGATGTCACTGTCTACCTGTTCGACCAGGTAAAGAATTACGAATATGAATACGTCATCGTTTTATCATGAGAGTCGCTGTATTTAAAGTTGGTATGTTTTATTTAAACTCCACCACCTTGTTGCCCTTTAGGAGACCCCCACCAAGGAACTGGGCGACCACTCCTCCGGCTCCAACAGTCAGGCTCCAGAGCTCAGCAGCCCCGTGTCCACATCCAGCTACCTGAACCGCTTCACCAACTCTGAAAGCTCCACCGATGAAGAAGGTCAAACCAGAACTTCTAAACATCTAAACTTGAACCTTTGTTGAACGTCATTATTGGGATAAGTGTCTGACTCACTCACATTAAACTCCCCACAGGTGGAGGTTTCGAGTGGGACGATGACTTCTCCTCCCCTGCGCCCGCCTTCCTGCCCAAGTCGGACAAAGACCCCGTCTCAAAAACCATGTCCTCATCTGCAGCTTCACGCTTCGCCTCTCCGCCCAGCACGGTGCTGGAGCCCAGCTGGACCAGCTCCTCAAACTATTCCCGCTTCTCCATCTCACCGGCCAGCATCGCCAGCTTCTCACTCACACATCTGACCGACTCTGACATCGAACAAGGAGGTGAGGAAGCACGAAATAGTTCTGCATTTAATTAGATGTTTTGCATAGAAAATAAGAGACAGTATGTTTATGTTCAACTATGATAAAAAAAAAGGGTTTCTAAGTCCATATTAAGAATGTAGAGGGAGGAGGAACCTCTGGTCTTGTGAAATTAAGTTCTAAAAGCTGCAGTTCCTCAAATATCCACTTGAGGCTGATTGCAAAAGCCCCAAGCTACCTGAACCGCTTCACCAACTCTGAAAGCTCCACCGATGAAGAAGGTCAAACCAGAACTTCTAAACATCTAAACTTGAACCTTTTTTATTTTGAGAAATTCTTGATTCAAACTGCTTTAAAAGAGAAATTTTGCTGTTTACTTAATGTGTAATTAAAGATATTACTATAATAGATATTTGCTCCATTGGCCTCATGATAGGATAAAACAATCGCCCAGCACGGTGCTGGAGCCCAGCTGGAACAGCTCCTCAAACTATTCCCGCTTCTCCATCTCACCGGCCAGCATCGCCAGCTTCTCACTCACACATCTGACCGACTCTGACATCGAACAAGGAGGTGAGAAAGCATGAAAAAGTTCTGCATTTAATTAAACTTTTTAGCACAGAATATGAGAGACAGTATGTTCAACTACAATAAAAAAGAAGAATGTAGAATGTAGAGGGATACATGTCAGCCTGAGGATGTTCTTCAGACCATTATGTTCCCAGAAAACTGGTCTGCAGTCAGTTGCCACCAAATAGGAACCTCTGGTCTTGTGAAATTAATTGCTTAAAGCTGCAGTTCCTCAAATGTCCACTTGAGGCTGACTGCAAAAGCCCCAAAAGCCACATACACACTCACTCTGAAATCAGTCTTTACCGCAGAAATAAACATGTTTGCAGCTCCTTCCTTTAGACCGACTGAAACTGGGACTAAATCTATGTTTTGCACATGTGGACGACAGCAATGTGAATTTATTTTTCACTTACAAGGAAACATCTAAAACGGTTACCCATTTTTTTAACATCAGACAAATCTTCCAAAAATTGTTTTCTCCAAAATCTTGTTTTCATTTTGAGAAATTTGTGATTCAAACTGCTTAAAAAAAAGAAACTTTGCTGTTTATTTAATGTCTAATTTAAGATGTTACTATAGTAGATATTTGCTCTATTGGCCTCATGATAGGATGAAACAGTCATGACTGTTCGGTACTCAAAGATAACTCGACAGCGTGTTTTGATTCTCGTTCTTTACTGTCCCTCTCAGGAAGCAGCGAGGACGGAGAGAAGGACTAAAGCAACAGAAGGAAGGACTCATTTCCATCACGCCATCGAAAATACGATCTTAACTCGCACTTTGTGGGAAACGGCTAAAAACGAACAGATGAGGCGGTTAGTAGGGCGAACCACGGATGCTCCTCTCAGGCAGATCAGTACCTTTACCTACACGGAGATGACCACGAGAAAAAAAATGGCTGTAAACTGACAAAATCATGAACAGTCGTCTGCCTTTTTCTTTTATTTTTTTTACTTTGTGTGTCAAACTTCATGAACCTGTTCAAGCGGCATTTTCCTCCCGGTCTGGTTGCTGTCTTTTCATTCTTGTATAGTTTCATTTTCAGGCTGAACATCGTCTCGGCGGCTGTACAGGATGTGCTGGGGATGTGTATGTTTCTGTTTCCTAAGCTTCAGACTCGTGTACAGCTATAAAAACAGGATTATTCCAGCTGTAGTTGATACAGTTACTGTGTGATTCTCTCTCCTCTTAAAGCTGATGAACAAACTCGACTCCATCCCCTCAGCCCCACACAGAAGAAGGCACTGTACAGTATCTTGGACAATGTTAACCTCTGTTTGAAACCAGCAGCCTGTGCTTCAGTTAAACTTGAACGATTATTTAAGGAGATCTTGTTTTATTTGACTACAGTATACATTTGCTTAATCTTGCACATTTGAGAAATGTAACTTAATGTTGAACTGTACTGATGTATGTAAATGTTAATTTTTTTTTTTCTGTCTGTAAATTGGGAAATGATGTAACTAGGTATGAGGTTTCATTTTGTAACTTAAGGTTGAGTTGATCAGAGGAACATATCACCGTCATCGGCTGAAAACAGTTAAATTAAGACACAAAAGGAGATGTGAATTCATTCTGTCCTTAAAAAAACTTGTAGATTTTAAAAATATTTTTACGTCATATTTATCATGCTTAGTGTAATTGAATGAAATGTTTATAATTACACTGTTTAATATGAAAATAAATGCAAATGAACTTCTAAGGTCTGTGTTCATTTCTAAGCCTTTGTTAATTTTCCGAAAGCAAATATTCACAGTATGGGATAAATTTCTCTCTAAAAACCAACAGGAGAAAGTTTTTTGGGATTGGGCGTATGACTGAGTATTAGGGCCACATTAAGAAAAAAAAAATAAGACTGCATAATTAAAAGAATGAAGTCGTAATAAAGTAATTACTTAAAGGAATAGAGTCATAGTACAATCATTACTTACGAGAATAAAGCCGTAATTAATTACGAGAATAAAGTAATAAAATCATTTCTTACAAGAATGAAGTCATGATTAAATATCAATATCGCTGTGTTCTCTTGTCTGTGTAGTCAACTTTATTATGACTTTATTCTCATAAGTAATTACGAAGTCTTAATTTTTTTCTCAAAATGTAGCCCTGATACTCCGTCGTAGGCAGGAATCTGTTGAAGAAGCATCTTTTTTGAGGTGTGTATACACAAAAAAGCTTTTAATGTCAGTCAATAGGCGTTAGTTATTGATTACACTTGGAAATATTACGATATCGCTGTGTTCTGTTATGTCTGTGTACTTGACATTTTAAAAATTTAACGTTCCCCTCATTTTGAATTTAAACTAAGCCGTTATCCACCTCCCCGACCTGATTGGATGTGAGGCGGACGCTGCTCCTTGATTGGTTGTGAGGCAGACGCTGCTCCCTCGTGCTATGAGGCACGCTCAACGTCGCCGAATAACGTTCACGAGCCCAAACGAAACGAAGTCAGCATGCTACAATATCGTACAGTAGAAACCAACCAGAAACAGGGCTCTCAAGTTTTGAACTAAGCTTAGAGTGAGATTTCCTTGGGGGGGGGGGGGGGGAGTATAATTATCTCTTAAATACAACGGAGTATAAGGGGCACAATTAGAAAAAAAGCGCTTTTTAATCTCAAAGAATAAAGTTATTATTTGGGAGAATAAAGTCATTAATATCTCAGTATTAAGTCGTAAAGTTACCTGTTGTGAAGGAGAGTTGTTAAGATCAGCACTGTGGAACATTTAGATGAATTGTACTTTAGTATAGGTGTCACAAACATGGAGATACTTAATCCTTTGGTACATGAGCATTACACTGTCGTGAGTATCAGAACTTATATTTGAGATATATGAGAAATGCTGCTTTTGCGGAGGGGAAAATTGCTGGAAATGGCTGTACAGAGACTAAATCCGTCAATACAGCTGTTAATAGCAATAGCATAGGGCTTTAGTTTATCATATGAGTTTATATGCCATGAGGTGTTGAGGTCTCTGCATGTGTAGGTTACTGACTTACTGTAATCATCGGGTCTATCTCGTCCTTATAAATAACCTGCTCTATTACGGCGAGTGTCTGTCTTCTTCTGTAGTCAAGCCGCAAGATATCAAAATCTACCCGGATACAGCAATGCTGCTTTTTGATTGGCTGTTCAGTAGATATACTTTATTTGATTGGCTTGCGCGTGGCACGCAGCTTCTGAACTCTCGGAGAAACTCCGTTGATTTCACCCTGTTCCATAGTTACAGAGGTGCAACTTGGTGGACATCACCGTGTTCATTTAAATGCGTGAGAAATACAATGTGTGGCGTGTGAGCGTGTGAACGGGTGGGAATGCGTGTGTCTCACGCTGATTGCGTGAGACTTGAGAGCCCTGCTAAATCCGTCAATACAGCTGTTAATAGCAATAGCATAGGGCTTTAGTTTATCATATGAGTTTATATGCCATGAGGTGTTGAGGTCTCTGCATGTGTAGGTTACTGACTTACTGTAATCATCGGGTCTATCTCGTCCTTATAAATAACCTGCTCTATTACGGCGAGTGTCTGTCTTCTTCTGTAGTCAAACCGCAAGATATCAAAATCTACCCGGATACAGCAATGCTGCTTTTTGATTGGCTGTTCAGTAGATATACTTTATTTGATTGGCTTGCGCGTGGCACGCAGCTTCTGAACTCTCGGAGAAACTCAGTTGATTCCTACCTGTTCCATAGTTAAAGAGGTGCAACTTGGTGGACATCACCGTGTTCATTTAAATGCGTGAGAAATACAATGTGTTGCGTGTGAGCGTGTGAACGGGTGGGAATGCGTGTGTCTCACGCTGATTGCGTGAGACTTGAGAGCCCTGAGAAAGTTCGAAAAATTGTCTGAATCCTCCTTTTTTAGCCACAACTGCCGACACAAGCAAAAAAAAACAAGTAACTACCGGAGACTCTGGCGGAATAACGGGCGATTAAAGCGGAGGTAGACTGGACAAGAGCTAATGAAGCTAGCATAAACGATGGGGAGCGCTTCGGGATCTTACGGACCCTGTAACCTTTCTGCTGGACAGGTAAACCGCTTTAACAAAGTAAGCCAAGTGTCTGTAACAGAAGTGTTTCTTGTCAAACGGACCTGCTGTAGCGTGTAACTGTTGACCTCGGATCCTGGTCTATGTCACTTTATCCTAGTTGTAGAAGTCCTGCAAACATTGTGTTCGCTGGTAGTCTGTTGGCATCTACAGTAGCACCAATGCTTTTTACTTTCACCTTGACTGGGCCCCATTTGTAATTATCTTAAGTATTAATCTGCATTATATTTGAATTTTGACTACTACTACTATAATTTCTTTATCATTTCCCTGAAGTTATAATCATCATATTAATCATTTTGCACTGCAGACGCAGTAGTTCTTCTGTCTTAGCGTCTCGGTCTGATGGCCTTTCCATAAAGAAATGATCATAAATGTTCTTCCTTGAGCTGCGTCACCCCGCTGTAATCGATGGACTCGCCCAGAGGTCTCCATACAAACAAGCGGGAGCTGGAAGAGAGTGGGTGAGTTGTGTGAAACAAGAAATCAGGTTAAGCTTAAAAGATGTTTGGTGCCTAGTGCTGTGGCCCCATATGTACTGTTGATGAAGTTAGGTGCTGCTCTGAGGATTATTTGTGGCGATAAAGTGGTGTTTTGGTTGAGGTTTGTTTATGGCTCCTCATACCACTGTTTTGCTATCCTGCGGTCATTACTAAAGTTGGTATAACTAGAGAAGCAAGCGGTCGGCAACATTCATCTCTAAGTTAGTTTATTCGTGTCCAACTCTGTGTTATGGTGTGTTTGACCCTAAATTAATTTTACACTGGAATATCCCTTAAAAGCTTCAGTGAGAATTTTTTTTTCACAGGTTATGAAAAACACTGAAATTAAAGTTCAAATAAGGAACTCTCTGTCTGCTCCCCATGGGACGAAACAAGAGGCAAGATGGTGGCCTTCATGAAGAGGACCCTCTCCAGAATGAAAGACTTACTATCATCTGTGATCCCTGAAACTGCTGATGTACGGTAGGTGGGAGGAAACCAATATTTTCTTCATATCGAGAAGAATATCCACAGTCGGCTTTGTTGGTTTCAAACTTTTATTTCACATTTCAATGCCCTTGGAGGATGAATGCTGAGCTCTGCTGAGACTCAGACCTGCTTCAACAGTCACAGTCGTTTCATAGTGGAGGATAAAACACTAACAGGAAGGGCTTTTCTATTGGAGGCGGACAGAGAGGTGTCATCTGGACTCAACTTTCCGTGTTCGTCTCTCCTGTCACCGGTGGTGGTAGTGTTGGTGGTTAAAGCGCGCTTTATTTTCCTGAAGAACGGCGATCTCAAATTGTGTCAGTTTCTTGAAAAATCCTTCAGTAATAAGAAGGCTGGTTTGTAGAAATACGGGCCAAAAAAACACTCCGTTGCAAACGTATAATAGCCCAGAACGTGGAGAAATCAAATACACAATCCATGAGTTATAAATAAAATAAATAAAGTCACATGCAGATGTCTGACAGGCAAAGACGAGACTCTAGAAACGCTGACAGTGGAGGCTACAGTGGAATTGTGAGTTCAAAGTTAGGTTGGTACCCGAGCCTTAGCCCTTTGTCAAAGTCCCACCCGCTCAGGTTTTCACAGGGTTTTCTGTTATATAATAAAAGCTATTGCTAGGTCCCAAACACCCGGTAACCAAAGCCTGGAAAGAGCAAACACATGCAAGATCAGGACGCTTCTTGTGCTCCCATTTCTCTGTAACCATCACTGCATACTGACCTGACCTCGGCCTGGAAAACAAGCCAGGTTTCAACATTCATCCATCAAACCCAACCTTCACACACTCAGGAGAAACTCTGCGGTTTGTGCATTCCCTCTGCAAGAAGGGATAAGGGCCTGTGGGAGCGGTCTGAGGACACCAATGTTTGATCCAGGCACAAACAGGGCTGCAGGAAGAGGAGAGGAGGAGGAGGAAGAAGAGGAGGGGATGAGGGTTGCTACACACCCACGGCGTTCCCATTCACTTGTGCAGGGGGCCGCGAGGGGAGCGGGCTGCGTGGGGTTCCTGCAGGCTGAGGGTGGGGGGCGCGGGGAGCTTCTGCAGAGTTTCCTCTCACGCTGATGTGCTCCCAGCCTCCCTGCAGGTCAAACACACAGAAAATGAAAGGGAACATCCACACAGATCTATGAAGAAGAAACACAGAAGATGAACTCACCCCGATCCCGTAGTCCCAGCCCTGGCCTTTGGGCTGCATGGGTCCCACCCCGACTCTGTGGCAGACAGCTCCAGGTGTCTCAGAGGGGAAACCGGGAACTCCATCTGCTATGATCCAAACCTGGAGAAGATTCAGCACAGACACATCCGTTAGATAAAGACTCCATGGTGAGTTCTGGCCTAGATGCAGAGTCACTGACCTGGTCCAGTGGTCCCACAGAAACCTTGGTGACATTGTTGGAGATGAGCTCCCAGGCAGAGCCCTGAGGGTAGCTGGGGGTGAGGCCCTGCCTGTACCACAAGTTACCTTCACAGTGAAACAAAGGGGGTTAGATCTAAGTCCATAAATCTACTTTTTAAGAGTCTTTGGTCCAAATAAAGTTGAAGTGTGCTCACTGTTTTCATCCACAGCAAAGACAGAGGTCCTTCCCACAGACAGCCGTCTGAGGGTCTGCCTGGGTGGAGACGGGATGTGGTACCAGCACTCTCCTGTAGAGACACAAACGGTTCTACTAAACCTTCTTTGGGGCAGATAGAAGACGTTTTACAGAAAATCCACTCAAAGATTTTCAGAGTTTAACAGCTCTCTCTCAAACCTGCGGGATTTTGTGGGGAAACAGATCCTCGGTAGAACACGGCTCCGTCTTTGGCGATGGCCCACACCTGGTTGGCTCCACCGATGGAGATGGACTTAAAAGGCTGGTCGGTGCCTACGTGCAGCCAGGAGCTTCCCTGTGAGACAAACAAAGTGGAGTTAAAGAGATGTGATCTGCTTTCCATGGTGGTAAATGTAATATTTATATGTATGCAGACGATACAGTAATTTTCCCTCTTGATAGCTTTTAAGGATCGACTGCAGTCAAGCTGTCTAATGTCTCTAGTCACATCCTGCCTGCATGACGGGTGTGCTTTAAAACTTTTCTGTAGGGTTATAGTAGGAAGAGATCCGTTCTCACTGCGGGGTTTTGGGGGCTGACTCCCAGTCGACACAGAACGTCCCCCTTGTCACTGAGGGCCCAGACGGGGACCTGCTCCATCCTGCACTGCGCCAGGCACGGCATCACCGAGATGTCACTCAGAGGGATGGGCGGGACCTGCAGCCACGGACCTCTGACTGTGATCTTACACTTCCTGTAAGCAGCAGAGTGTGTGAGTATTCAGGTGATGAATTTAGAGGAAGTAACAAAGAGGAGCGACGGCGAGCGTCTGATCACCTGGTCCATCTTCTGCGCCTGACAAAGTCTTTCATGGTTTTGTGGCCGTGAAACGTCCTGTAACAGAGATAATCAGACGATTTACCCACATTTATTTTCTTTCTTTCTGGAAAACATCCTGCAAGACAGACACAACGTACACTGGGAAGTCTGCCGCATACTGCCAGCCCTCGTTGTCTGCTCCTCCAGGGACGCTGAAGTCCACCGCCCACTCTGACACCTGGACACATGGTTTGGTGGGAGAGACATAAGACTGGTTTATACGACTGACTGCAACAGAGATTTAAAGGTGAGTATGCAGGAACAAGTCTGAATCAATCCCCCCCTACCCAGGACCACTGAGGGGAGGGCGGGTGTGTGTTCCCTTTGGTGCACTCCCTCAGGCCGCTCTCATCGCTCCACATGGGGCGGTCTGTGGGAAGTCCTCTGCAGCGAAAGAAAACAAAGCAGATCCAGTTTCAGAGCGTCCGAAAACACAATCCTGTCAAAGTAGAACCGTTGAGTGAAAAAATGTCCATACTTGTCTGTGTATCCTGTCATGGGGTTCCATCTTTGATTCTCGTACACATGGACACTCCTGGCATCGGTCTGCTGGTGCATCTCAACGGCATCTTCTGCAAATGTGGATAAAATATCATAAATACACTTGCAGAATGAGTACAGATGGTGGAGTCTTGGGGTGAATGCATATGGATAAAAGTTTTAAGCAAGAAGATTTTTTCTCTTTTAGTTGGAAAGGCAAACAGAAACTATTTCAGCAGAGATTATTCTGCATGCACTGAGCAATTAGTGTAGAAATGTAAACGAGACAAATTCTAAGGGTAATTTTGTTTTGAATCCACTTCCTTTAGATCAGCTTCAAAGTAAAGTGTCTAAAAAAGGGGGGAACAAATGCCTGGGGGTCTACAGGGCCGTCCGTGTTTACCCTGGGGGGGCTGATGCCCAAAGCGCCTGCTGTACACCCAGGCAGTGCCGTCCCACCCGATGCCCCACACCAGCCCCAGGCTGTTAGACTCTACGCAGCGCAGGTGACCTGGGACCTGCCGCCAGAACCTGCAGCACCACACAGCGGGAGCACCCAACATAGAGTTAGCAGACATGAGCAGAACCGAGAGCAAGCGTGTTAGTATCAGCTGATTAAGGACCATCAGAGAAGAAGAAGAAGAAGAAACACGCTTTGGTCTCACATGAGGTCACAGGCGGGTGTCTGTGAGGAGGCCTCTAAGGAGAAGGATGGCTCATGCACCATGATGTCCCCCTTTGAGGTTGTGGACCACAAGACGTGTCTGGAGGGAGGACCGGTGATCCCTCGACACTCACAGCAGCAGTCGGATAAAAGGTTGAGCTACAGACAGAGTAGAGGTCAAAGGTCAGTGGACAGAGGTGAGCTCTCACAGGTGAAGGTTAGTCCGCACTCACCCATTCATTCATGTCTCTCTCGGTGCTCGCCGCCAGCACCAGAGGCCACCTCAGTTTGGTCCTTTGGGCCGTGTACACAGCAAAGGCATAGTGACAGTCCCTGAGCACCGGAACCAGCGCCGTCACTTCATTTATGAACACATGAAGGTACTGAGAGGAGGAAAAAGCACCTGTGAGTGAAGAGTCTGTGCCCATGACATCATGATTTAATGAAACTCCACAGCAGGACCGACCTTTTTCTCATCGTACTGTGTGTAGTAGACGAAGAAGATGCTGTCCTTTTTGCCGTCAGGTTTGGTGGATTGCTCGAGCGCCACGCCCACATCCACCCAACGCTGAGGCTTCCAGTCTCTCCACCAGCGCAGCGAGCCTTTGCGCACCCACACCGACTGAGGAGACGACATGTGGAGGAAGATGTTAAAGCCTCAAACAGAAACGCGGCACGAACGTGAGATTCTCCACGGTAACAACGAAAGCAGCTCTTACGTTACTCCTCTCCAGCGGTCTCTTGCTGATCTCCTCTTTGTGCTCCTGCTGTTGCTGCTGCTGTTCGCTCCAGGCGGCAGACTGAACCGGAGTCAGTGAGAGAGAGCTGGTGAGGGGACCTGACAGAGAGACGGACATGTTTAGACAGACAGACGGACGAGATGACACACACGGTTTATCTTTATGGATGTAAACACACACAGAGTCGACATGCAGACAACACAGACAGATAGATACAATAAATCAACTGACATCCGACTCAACGTGACCAAACCTGTGATTATTACTTCTTACAGAGTTTGTAAATCTCCAGTAACGAACTTTTTGTGCTGAAGTAGTTTTTTGTATTTCGTAAACACAGGGTGAGCTTCCAGGTTGTTTTTGTACCTGTAGGACTCAGCCAGCTGATCTGTGACTCCGCAGTGACGTCACACCCCCCTCCAGAGATCCAGGTCCACACCGGCCCGTCCTCTTCACCCACACCTTGAGACGTCTCCAGAGTCCCCAGTGCGTAGGTGGCGGCAGCTCCACCGTCCCCAGATGACAGCGCTGCTGAGTGCGCAATGCGAGCTGCTTCCGCTCCTTCCAGGTCCACGTTCATCCAGGGGACGTCCTGTCCCGCGGTCTCAGGGGTCAGGAGCACGGGGGCCGTGGACAGCTCCTCCGCATCCTCCTGCGGAGCCTCTGTGATGGACGGCGGCTGTGAGGAGGTTTTGTCTCGGTCTGACACCAGGCTGTTGATGAAGCTGTCGCTGGCGGGGATGAACGGTTTGGGGGCGTCCTGGTGGGGGGCTGAGGGTGTGTCCTCGGTCTTTAGAGGAGGTGAAGGTGTATCGGCTGCCCCTAAAGGAACCACAGAGGATGCTGCTGCCTCCAGGACCGGTGTGTCTGTGGTGCTATTTTGTGGATCAGGTGGACCCAACTCTGAGTCTGAGTCGGTGCAGCTCAGAACTGAACCCTGCGAGGCCTCTGTGAGCTGAGCGCTGAAATTCCGCTCATTTCTAATGAAAGAGAGAGAAGAAACGGTAAGTTAGGTGTTAGAAAATCTGTCTCCCCGCCATGCATTATGGGATACGACTTAGCGCGGGTGGTCAATAAAAAGTAATACAACCCAAGGATTTACGGTCTAAGGTGTGTGTGACAGGACAGGACAGATTTGAAGTTTTAGAGCTTTCAGATTCTCCTCTCTCCTGTTAGTGAAGTTCTAGCAGCGATGTAGGCCCTCAAGGACAAAAAGCTGTGATGCTGAGTAAGAGCAATTCTTCATCTGCAAGTTTTTCACAATCAGAAAACGTCTATTAACACAAATTCTTGTTCCTCTGTTTTCTTACTGGTTTATTCAGCCACAATTAAAAAAAGGCAAATGTGACTAGTTTGTCCGCTCTGTGCTCCCGTAGAAACATGAAGGTGCAAGATGGCAACCTTAGACTCAGCCTTTAGATCTTCAGACTTTGCTCATTTTGGTGTTTTTGTTTTTACCAAGCCCTGTGCTGTATGACTAAAGTTTGCTCACTTACTTAAGCTCTTCTTCTGAAAATTAGATACCACATCTGTTCTTCTAAATGCTGATAAATACTATAAAACGTACCTTTAAAACTACATGTACCTCAAAATATACAAACCTTATTCATGCTTGCATTCTTTCGACGTAGTAGGTTGTCTATAATTTAAACTCAGACATTTTATTTTATTTTTTTACAGATACAAACAAAAACCCTCGCTGCGGTAAAGACACTCAGTTTTGTTTCGGAAACAGACCTTGGCGGGATAACCTCTTGACTGTTCCCCCACTGAGCGGAAACTGGGATCCAGCCGCTCCCGCTGGGTTCAGATGGGGTCACACCCATTCTGAAATACAGACCGCGGTCCTCACCTACGGCCCAGACCTGACACAGAAACGGAGAAAGACACAATGAAGACCAGAGGTGAGTATGACAAACAAACAACAGACACGTGACACGTCTGAGATCTTTATGAAGGTGTTAAAGGTAATTCAGGGAAAATCAAACGGCAGAATTATCAGATATTAAGAATCAAACTCGTATTGTAGAGCACTTTTTGGACTAAGGCAACTGCTACTTTATAAGGCCATATACTGTAACACTGGCGCCTGCCACCTCACACAAGCCATACCCATAATTACAGCCCTGTAATAAGAAATATGGGATATGATGACGACGCCTTGGCCAGCTTCTAATTAGGGAGTCTCCCATATGACAGGCCAGCGGGGATATAGTCCGGGGATATATAAGGCTGGGCCTGCTGCTGGGACATTGGCTGGATCGTCTGACTGTACTCGAGTTACGGGACGGGACTAGAGGCTGGAGGAAAAGAGAGTGTAGAGAGGGGAGGGTGAGAGGGGGCAGGGGTGAGAGACAGAAGGGGCGGAGGTGTGAGATGTGAGTTTGCAGTGCTAGCAAAGTCCTCAGCAGTGAGATACAGAGCAGAGAGGCCCAGATCTGGCTTATCCTGAAACCAGATCCAACGTCAGGGCTGAAGAGCCTCGTTCAGGAGGGAGAGCGGCGGGTCATGGAGAGGGTAGAGAGAGGTTTGAGGAACCAGAGGAGCAGAAATACTGCAATAAATATGATTTTACGAGGTTAAAACAGTGTAAACAGGTTTTCTATACCTGATCTTTTTGTTTAAATGTTAATGCTGCCATAAAATATTCATTTAGTCCATTCCATCTTTAGTCCTACAGCTGTTGTTGAGTTTTTTCCATCTCATACTTACAGACACAGCTTCATTACTGAGACAATATCAAACACAGAACATGTTTTTTTATTGTTTTCTCAAAATTACTAAAGGTAGGAATTAGGGACTATGTTTTATCCTCACACTTAAAAGAAGATATTATCAAGTTAAGTAGATTTTGTGACATTTTGACTTGTGCAGCAAGAAACCATGGAAAGATAAAGCAAATTTTAGGTGAATTTATGCCACAAAAAGATTGGTTTGTATAATGAGATTGAGAATTTTGTTTGTTGAATCTGCACCAAAACTCCATTTTTGATTAATTCCTATAAGAACCTGGATCCCATTTAGAGCAAATATGGAGATTTAAAGATGGTGAATTTGCATCTGACTCCTTTGTGTGACTGAGTTTAGTACTGGGGCCCTTAGAATTCATTCAGTCCACTGTACAGTAAAGGTTGAATAACAACAGAAAATCATCTTTAAACCTGGTCATTGAGTCCTACATCCACCATCATCATCTCCCCTCCAATGCTGATCCACCCAGAGCCGCAGGGGTTATGGGAGTTCACACCGCGCCTGAACCACACCTTCAAACACACACAGTTACAGTATGTTACCACCACACAGAAATCAAAACAACATGAAAAAATCATCTCTGTGCCTTTTAAGTACACGTGAAGATTTACCTTGTAGTCTTTAGTGACCAGCCAGACCACACTGACCCCCACCGCCACATGAAGAGCTTCAACCTCCTTCACCGGTGAATCCACCTCCACCCACGATGTACCTGATGGAGGAGAGATGATGCTTTGAAGCTTTTATCGTCACTGTTGCAGAACAACTTGTAAAATAAATGTCATAATACTTTGTCTTTTATGTTTATTTCAGATTTTTAACAATTGGAAATATCTTCATTATTGAAAAGTTCAGAAAGTTGACTGAAATTAAAGCTGACCAGTTGGACTGTCCAGGGTGAGACCAGTTCGGACCAGCAGGTTTCCATCCCAGAGTAAAGCCCACAGCAGGTCACCAGGACCCGCTGATAGCTGAGCAACCTCTCTGGGGACCTCTACTTCCTCCCAGGAGGTGCCTTCAGGGACCCGAGGGTGGATGCCCTCCCTAAACCACACCTGCAGGATGAAGATAAAACCTTTATGAACCTTGGTGGGCAGCGTTAAACATAGTGTTTGGTTTACAAAGACTTGCACCAGCAAGAACCCAGAGCCTGACTTTGTGAATTGCATGGTGTCATGCTGCCCTCTAGTGGCTAAAAATCAAAGCTTCTTTCACATGGAGCAGAGTAATTCGCCTGTTGCTGCAGAATCTGACCTAAAGTTGCAGCTTTTCCCTCATTAGTTCAGATATTCCAATTGTAACTATAAGAATAAGGCAATTATACATCAAACGCTATAAAACCTGAGCGTTCAGCAGGTGCAGGGGAAACACACTGTGCAAAAACAAAGTTCTTGGTAGAAAAGCATGTTGAGTCCATCAGGCTCACCTGTCCTTGCTGGGACACTCCCCACAGGTAGGGGTACCTTCCAGACTGGTCGCTCATCTCCCAACCGCCACAGCTGATGTCACAGAGCGGCAGAGGCGGCTTTCTGGGATTGTCCAGAGGGATCTGAAGAGGAAAAGAGGACTTTTTTATTGATATCATGTGACCTGAACTCCACTTTTCATCCTAAATTTCAGCCTCTCAGGTTTGGGCTTTAAACTTTGGAGAACATAAACAGCCAAAATAAAAACTTTTCCAACGAGTAACGACTGTCCAAACCTTGGCCCAGGTGCCTTGTGCTATATATCTCCTGTAACGGATCCAGCGCCTGCGACGGACACATGAATTCCACTTTTTGTCAGGAGAGAAGTTTGCTGGAAAATCCACGGCATACTCCCAGCCCTGAGGAGACACACAGAGTTCAGTTACCGTAGACAGAATGTGGAAAACACTTGAGATGTTATTGATCGTCAGTGGAAAAAGAAATCCCTTTCTTACCCCTGTCTGGCTGGGTTCTCCGCAGCTCTGATCCACATACCAGTCCCCCTCCCACTCCCAGCTGCGGGTGGGAAGTTGGAAGCTGTGGAGCGGCTGAGGATTCATCCCGGTTACGTCACTCCATGGCCAGCGGTCAGTGGGCAGCAGAGTGTCAGTGAAGCTGTCAACTGGATTCCACCTCTAAACCACACAGACATAAACACTTGAGCTTAACAACACACAGTGCTGAACAGTCACTGTGATGACCAACAGCTCAGACAGACCTGGTTTTCATAGGTCTCCTCTCGGTAGCGGATGGGGGTCTCGCTGGGCGTTACGTTGAGGTAAACATGGTGGTCACAGCCAATGCCCCAGCAGCGGTCCTTCCCTGCAGTGACCCTCTTTAGCTCCAGCAGCATGTCGTCTGCTCGCTCCCACCGCTGTCCGGCCGTAGAGAGGCTGTACACCCTGCCGTAGACATCTACGGCCCACAGCAGCGTGATGGGCATGATGGCCCCTGAACAAAGAGAGCGAGAGAGCACTTAACCTTCTGAAAGTCTACTTCATCACCCCATGGTTACATCCTGAAAACAGTCTGAGGAAGAAGAAAATGATATGATATTTACAGAGTAGTTTTTGCAGTTACAGGGATATTTCGGTGTAAAATTGATTTAGGGTCAAACACACTGTAACACTGAGTTAGACAACCCTTTAAGAGATGAATGTTGCCGACCGCTTGCTTCTCTAGTTATACCAACTCTAGTAACGACCGCAGGATAGTGATACACAGCGGTCTGAGGAGCCATAAACAAACCTCAACCAAAACGCCACTCTATAGCCACAAATAATGCTCAGAACAGCACCTACTGAAGCCTTACAGCTCCAGCAGGACTCTAAGATCCTCTGAGCAGGGTTTACTGGCTGTCCCCCGGACCAGACTCCAGACTATAAACTAAAGGATACTGTTCATTAACGTTTTTTGCTCCGAAACTTTGGAACTCTCTCCCTCGAGAACTGGACTGTGAACACTGTGGATACATTCAAGAAGCAGTTGAAAACCCATTTGTTTGCACTTGCCTTTGTATAAGCAGGACTTTGGCTACTAGTGTACTTTTCTTTGAGTTTTATGTCTTGTTGTCTCATCCTTTTTACTTTAATGACTGTAAAGCACTTTGTGACAACTGTTCTAGAAAGGTGCTATTCAAATAAAGTTTATTATTATTTTTGTTGTTGTTATTATCATTATAATTATTATTATTATGGGCGGCACAGTGGTGAAGTGGTTAGCACTGTCGCCTCACAGCAATAAGGTCCTGGGTTGGAAACCGACTCAGAGCGTTTTTGTGTGGCGTTTGCATGTTCTCTCTGTGTCTGCGTGGGTTTACTCCGGGTACTCCGGCTTCCTCCCACATCCCAAAAACATGCAGAAGTGGGGTTAGGTTAATTGGCGACCTTTAAATTGCCCGTAGGTGTGAATGTGAGCATAGATGGTTGTTCATCTCTATATGTCAGCCCTGCAATGAACTGGGGATTTGTCCAGGGTGTCCCCTGCCTTCGCCCGAAGATGCTAGGATTGGCTCCAGCCCCCTGTGACCCCCAACAGGAATAAGCAGTAGAACATAGATGGATGGATGGATTTAATAATAATAATAATTATTATTATTTTCTTGAATATGTAAAAGAGACAAATGTTGTATTTATTTATTTCTTCTTTTAAAATTCCCACCTTCACTTTTCAGATTTATTTCTGTGACTTTTGGCTTTTTATTCCTAAAATAGTTATATTTCTCACTATCATGACGGTTAATTATCATTATTACTAATACTTACCTTAACGGTTGCCATGGCATCTTAATTTGAAGTCTCTGCCCCAAGTCAAGAGCTCTAATATTTAGCTTTTTCAAAAGTTTTTAACATACCTTTGGATCATATCTCGAATGTGCTTTTGGAGTACAATGGTTTTAATCTCAAATTTAAAAAAGGAAAAAATGTTTTATTTATTTCCTTCTTAAATTTCCACCTCCAGTTTTCAGATTTATTTCTGAGACTTTGGGCTTTTAAATCTTCAAATAGTTCTTATTTTTCTCACTATCATGACGGTAAATCATTATTACGATGACTGACCTTAACGGTTGCCATGGCGTCTTAATTTGAAGTCTCCGCCCGGAAGTCAAGAGCTCGTGCTTTATCGACTGATACTAATCCGCTACAGTATTGACCGTCCCTGATGCTCATTCAAACAGGCCTTTAATCTGTTTACTCTGATAAAATGAACCATAATGTCACTAAAAGCAGCCGCTATAACTTTATTTTAAATTACCTGTAAAATACGATAATACCTTTTAAGAAAATTAAAAAATGTATGCATATTAATTAAACCAGACTGTAGTTTTCAAAGGTTTAAACTTTGAGGACCTGCACGGATCTCAGTAAATCCAGGATCAGAAACAGAGTGTGTGTCAAACAGCAGCAGCAGCAGTTTACCTGTTTAAAGGTGGATATCTGATCCGGTCCGCGGTTGTCAGGGGAATATCAACAAACGGGTCATGGCATCAGGTGTAACAGCCGATACCTGCCGTCTCCGCGAAGCCCATGCTAGGACACATCCAAACCTTTACGTCCAGAACCATCAGATGGAGTTACAGTCCGCTATGCAGCATCAAAACACAGACACACACACAGCTGATCTGGCCCCGTCTGTCTGCCGCAAAGTCCGCTATAAGCTGTTTACATTAGAGGCTGCGGTTAGCATTAAGCTAACACCCACAGAATAGAGAATACGAGCTTTTACTTACATACGAGGCCCGGTCATGAGTATCACCTGTGCAGAGGTAAAGTTCATTCATTCGTGCACATTCCTGCGGTGGTCTTTAATTCTCATTCTGGACCACAGGAACGCTCTACCCAACTCCAGTCCACAACAGGAAATGGATGAAGTAGCGCCCTGATTGGTCGAGGCCCTGCATGAGGGCGGGATCTCGTGTTTCTATTGGTTAAAGACAGGAGCACCTGGTGTGTGTTTTTTTCGACGGGCCGCAGCTGATTGATGAACATATTTTAATAATTAATTCAGTGTTAAGTGAATTATTGAAGCGAGAGGTTGGCGTTACAAGTTGTAACAGTATATTTAATGTAGAAAATACTCCGAGCTGATAATGAGTGAACGACAAGGAAACTGCGAAGTGGTGCAGGGACGTTTATTATATAGGTTACTGGTTTTATTGTTCAGCTGGTAAAGAGTTTATAGCTACTTCTTTTTCTCCAGGTTGACCCTGAACTTCAAGATCCAAAAGAGAAAAAGTGACTGAACAAATCAAAAGGATAACCTGGGCTCTATGTTTGTTGATCATTACAAACATACAAACATTAGACATGCGTTTAAAGGGATATTCCGGCGTAAAATTGATTTAGGGTCAGACACACTGTAACACAGAGTTAGACAACCCTTCAAGGGATGAATGTTGCCGACCGTTTGCTTCTCTAGTTATACCAAATTTAGTAACGACCACACGATAGCAATACAGAGAGCCACGAGCTCAACCAAAACGCCACTCTATAGCCACAAATAATGCTCAGAACAGCACCTAACTTCATCAACACTACATATTGGGTCTTAGCGTCTCGGTCTGATTTCATTTCCATGAAGAAATGATCATAAATGTTCTTCCTTGAGCTGTGTCACCCTGCAGTAATCCATAATAGACTGGCCTGAGGTCTTGCTACAAACAAGTGGCTGCTGGAAGAGATTAGGTGAGTTGTGTTTAGTCTCTTTGCTAAAGAAATTAGGTAAAGTTAAAAGAATGTTTTGTGGCTAATGCTATGGCTGGGACCCTATAAATACTGTTGATGAAGTTAGGTGCTGTTCTGTTCATTATTTGTGGCTATAGAGTGGTGTTTTGGTTGAGGTTTGTTTATGGCTCCTCAGACCGCTGTGTATTGCTAATTGTAAACTAATAATAATAATAAACTATGAATTACAGACTCTTTTGCCAGAGTTGCCAAGCTGTTAAAGCTGCGCTAACATGCAGTCCTGATGTTTGTTATCAGTGAGTTTGAGTTTGTTGCACAAATGCATGAGGATTCTGCAGTTTTCAGATATAAAACTGATTGTGATTCAAAGGACTTTCAAGTGAATGATACACTTTGAATTTTAACATGAGTATCATAAACTATTTCTACCAAATCTGCTGGTAAATACTGCTAAAAAACTACTCACTGTACCTTTAACTTCATTGTTATTGCCACTTTCAAACTGCCTGTAGGTGTGAATGTGAGCTTGGATGGTTGTTCGTCTTTATATGTCAGCCCTGTGATTAACTGGCGATGTGTCCAGGGTGTCCCCTGCCTTCACTTGAAGATGCTGGGAAAAAGCAGTAGAAAATGGATGGACAACATTTATGTCAATAACTCATGTAAAACATTACAAAAGCCTAAGTATTGCTTTTATGATTAAAAAAGATGTGTAAACATCGATCCAAGAGAGTGCCAAATCAATGGCAGCAGGTAAAACTACAATATGTAAATGTTGAGTTAAGTACATTAAAATTGTGTGCAGAGGGAAATGTGCAGATTTTTTGTCCTTATCTTGATTTCCACTGGTCTTAACCATAGACTGCATATAGAATGGACGCTGTCTGCCTCCTCGCTGGGTGAAGCCACTGCGAGAACAGCACCCTCTGTTGACGGGCTGCAGTAAAGGTCATAAATCCTGCCTCCGCCAGCAAAGTTTATGGAGCTGTGGACAAACTTAAGAAATTTATTACACAGAATACAAGTTGTAGTTACAGCCAGACTAGTTTGTGCTCGTCCTCTTTTTTCTGTACAGCTCCACTTTTAAAAGTTATTAGGGGGTTCATGTTTTCTATGATTGACACTTGACACAGCCTATTGGCGTTCAGGGATTGCGTAGCTCACCTGGAGGATACGCTGTTTAAGCCAAGCGTCAGCACAGGGACGCTCGGCGACTCTCCCGCCTAATGCGTACAATGCTACTGTGCAATGCTGGTTTCAGGAACTGAAGATAAATCGTAGAAATACTGAGAGCTTTTTGGATTCAAATCCGTATACAGGCGGGAGGTGGAACCAGGTGTACGGATGGTCTTAACACAGCCATATATATATTTTTATGTAACCTCATGATTTAGCACAGCCTTTGAGATTTAGAGGAGCTGCTGTTACTTTAAATAATCTCATAAACCCAAAATGAAGAGTGGATTCATTCAAAATAATCAGAGTTCATTCACTGTCACACATCATCATCCTCCTCCTCAAACCTGCTGCCTCATCCCCTGATAACATCTGAGTCTGTGTGAATCTAATATTATGCAACACCAAGGGGGAGCCCACTCATAATCAGGACAAATATTATGTAAGTCAGAGACAACAAGTTTGCCTCCTCCTCACAATGGGCTCTGTTCAGACTCTGAGGCTGCAGACCAATCAGAACCTGTGAGGTGTAAGAAAACTGAATAATGCATGAAACCAGTCCTGCACTGGAGGGTCATGGTTTATGCTTTAGGAGGAGACAGGAGCGGTGTGCCGTGTCTCTGCACTGCGCTTCATGACGCACTCCAGCCTTTTGTTTTCATGCACTGTCGCTTTAAGAAGCCTTTCGCTGCGCAGAGGCGCTACAGCAGCAGCAGCGCATCACATGATTCCTCTCTTGTGACAATCCAGACAGAAAGGAAAAGCCTTTCTGACTTCCAGCTGAGTTAGGAGGCGCTGCGATGACAGATCACTGTTGTTTTTGTGCCAAAGGACCAACTTCGAGAAGGAACATGGAGTTAAGTTAACCATTACCAGACTGATTCGGGTCATTCCTGTCTTTAACGTTTCACGTTTGGTGAAATATTTCGGGGGGTTGTTGCGCCGACGGGGACAAAGTTGGCGCATGGAGAGGGACGAAGTTTCATTTTTGCGCAGCATCTTTTCTTTGTTTTCTTTGTTTTTGTCGCCTCTGCCTGTCAATCTGCCTGACAGAAGACAACCAGCCGGAGTTGAGCTTTGAGTCTGTCTGTCGCGGAGTTCATTAAGTTGAGGACACAACGAGACAACTTGAGGACGCAGTGTTACGTCGGGTGAGATGGTGGACAGCAAACCTCTTCTTCAGGACAGACCTCCCGCCTACAACGCCGTCCCCGGGGCTTATGAGTACGGCCCGCAGCAGCAGCAGCACAGCTACGGGGCCATCCCCCCTCCGGCCCCGCCGCCGTACCCCTACCCCGATGGACAAGGCAAGTAGTCCGGTTTCTGCTGCACGGTCCCCACGTTTCCCACGGAGTGAGGACTCGCTGTTCACACTTCCGCTTTGGTTCAGATAGAGACTAGAAACAGATCTGTAAAAGCTGGAAATAACTCGATTTATTTAGTGGAAAATTTAACCCATCAGATGTTTGGATAAATGATTTTTTAAATGGTCATTAGTTTGGGTTAATCGGTTGCTGTGGTGCAGCGCATGCGCAGTTAAGGCAACAGCAACGTGAGTTACTGATAAAAAGCAGATTTTGCATAAATGAAAGAGAAAATGTTCCTTTTAAGGTAGTGTGGAGTGTTTACAGTCAGATAATTCCCTCTTCTTAGTAATAAGATTAATAATAAATTCTGCTCAAGGTGCTCAAAAAGACGGTTTACAAAACAACACAATTTAAATTACAGAAATGTTTGAGTAATAAGACCAACAATGTAAATAAAAACCAGTTTGAAAAGGTGTGTTTTTAGGAGTGATTTGAAAGTATGGGGGTCTGTACAGTACATGATTTATTCAGAGTTTTTACATGATGAGTATCTGTTAATATTTGTCCCACAGTGTCATGAAATACACAAGGTGTTATATGACAAAAGTTCAGAGTACATATCTGCTAAAACTTGTGTTTTTATGTCTATTCTGTGTTTGCTGTAGATGTCAGCTGCACAAATATCTTTATGAATATGAAGAATATTTCACTAGAAGCCAAAAAACATGTAAAGAAAAAAACAAAACAGAGCTTACAAAACTCCAAAATACCAAATAAAATCTAAAACTTACTCTAAGTAGGTACAACGATATTTAGAAACGTGCAAAATATATTAATTACCAAAAAAAAACCCACTTTATAATGGTCAAAGTTTGAAATGAAGTGCAGAATTTTTTATGAACTTTTCAGGAAACCCGTAAACATTTCACTATAAGCCAAAAACATGTCAAGAAAAAAAACAAAAAGAGCTTATGAAACTTCAAAATACTGCATAAAATCTAAAACTTACCCAGAATAGGCCAAACTATATTTTAGAAAGATGCAAAAATTATTTTACTAACACAAGAAACTGTCCAAAGGTCAAAATATGAGATATAGTTTCGAAAGCTTTATGACGAGAATACAAAAACTTTTCAGAAAACCCCAAAATATTTCAGAAAGAAATATTTTCTGAAATACAAAAACATCTCTTCAAATGTGAAAAAGTTCCACAGGCACAAGAATTTGCACAGACTGAGTTTCAGTTCATTTCTCATAAGTATTTTTGGGTTGGGTGCAATAAAATGTTTTTGGAGTTGACCTTCAGGGCCACCGTACTATTTACTGTTCATGTTGCACAATGCCGGTGTTTCCTCTTTTACATTAAACAGAAATTTACAGTGTCTATTACAAATGCACATGTCCCAATAATGTAAAAAATGTGATGCATTGTGCAGCCCTGTTTTTAAGCACCAGTATGGCCCCTGGTTTTCTGCTGCTGATGTCTGTCTTATGTTCAGGAAGCTTCTATCATTTTTCTGTCACTCTGTTAGAGCTGCAGAGAGGAAAGACAGCGAGCAAGTTCAGCTTTCCTGAAATGAGGTCTTGTTTCCTCTCACTGAAGTTATTTCCTTGTTCCTTGTTGCCACATGATTTTCTCTCCTCAGCAGATTGAAGTTGCTGCTGCTGAAAGAGATGAACGTTTATTCCCCGGTGTTTTTTAGTTTCTCTCTCGTAGAGATAGAAACATCCTTATCACGTAAACCCTTCTCATAAACACTTCTGAGAAGTCAAGTGTGGTTATCAGAGCTCAGCGTTTACACGAGCAGTAAAGTAATCAATAACAGCAGGAAGTGTGAGTGACATGAGAACGTGAATCCCCAAATACATACACGACTGTGACGCACTGAGTGAGCTTGTTCTCTAAACATCTTCTTCAGCTTTTAATAGAAACCTGATTACAGACAGATGATGCAGCTGATGGTTGAAGACGACTGTTTCTGTTTCTTCTGAATATCAAACCATCATGAGTTGAAGTCAGCTGAGCTCTCACTCTCACTGGCTCCTCTCTTTAAAGCGACATTTGCTTGTTCAAATAGATCAATCTTATCTGACTGCATACGGGCCTGAAGCTCTCCTAAACTTGACTTTGGACTTTGCGCTCTGCTCCTCTCTGACTGTGGAGCTCTTTATTTGCAGATAAACACCGTCCAAATGTGTTTCACTGCCCTGCATGCAAAGTCACGTTCTTCACACTGATTGCCTCAGAATGAATCCAACATGTCCGTACATTTTAAGACTAAATCAGACTGAATTGTGTAAAAAATGTTTGAAAAGTCTGATTTAGAGCTGTTACAGTATGTAATGAATGCATTAAGCTGCTGCAGGTTAAAGGTTTCAGATTTGTTATAAACAAATAAGCAGCTCGTTTGTTTTGGACGTGTAATGCAATGGTCAAAATTAAAGGTACAGTGCGTAGAATTGGGAAGACTGAGTGATATCTGGTTGGGGACGCTCCCTTGCTCACCTCTCACACTGATAAGAAACTGATAAATATGGTCCTCCGCTTTGGTCTTTTATGCTTTTATTTGAGAGGATAGAAAAGTCAACAAGAATGCAAAACAATTTTTACATGGAGGTGATAAAACAGTAAACTAAACATACTGACAGACTAGAGATAGACTGGTTGATGAATTAGTCTGTAATTGGCATTTATAAATAATCTTAAACCCACATAAAATGAATATCAGTACCATTTTTTCCAGATAAAAACACGTTTCCAACCTTTAACTAAAGCTAAAACTGTCGCATTATAAATACAGTTACTGTTTGAAATCTGTCAGTTTTTCTCTTTCATCAGTTTATTATAAATCCGTCTGAAACACATGACATGCTAAGATAACAGATGACAGATGTGTACATGACTGTGTACATGACTCTTTAACCTGATATATTTTTGTAATAACTTCAGATGGTTTTTAAAGTTGTTCCGTCTACATTTATATGATCAAATGTTCACTCAAGTTTAGCTTTTTGGTCAATTATTAAAAATAGAAACAAAAACAGCGTTTTATATATCAGCCAGTGCGTAAAAAGTAATATCCGTTAGCCTCTTCTTATATTTACTATTTTATTTCTACTTTATATTCCATTATTATCAAGTCACTTATTCTAGAGGCTGCCAAATTCTACGAACTGTTCCTTTAAATGCACGAAAAAGGAAGTTCTTCTTTTGGAAGAGACAGAAACCAAACGTGAACTTTGTTTATAATTTATTCAGCTGATGATGATTTTCTGTGTTTTCTGCTGATTTGACAAAACGATAATCTGAATAAATCAAATTGGCTCCAAGGATATAAACATGCTGATTATTGATTAATGATGAGCAGTTTAATCGATCATGAGGAATAATCACTCCTTCTTCTTCTTCTGTCTCCTCACAGGGTACCCTGCAGCCCAGATGGGCCCTGCTGTATCCCAGCAGCCGTACCCAGGCACTTACACCATCATCCAGCCCTCTGTAGTGGTGGTGGGAGGCTGTCCTGCCTGCAGGTGAGCACACACACACACACACACTCACACATATACTAACCTAAAGATGGTGTATTACAGCAGATGAGCTGAGTGAGTCTTCTTTGGTTGACCCACTAAAGCTCATCAGCCCGTCATCTGACAGTGAGCTCTCTATCCCAGCCTGTGGTTTTACATGAGAGCCTCGCGCTCGCCGTGACGAAGGCAGCTTTCTGAGCGCGCTCTCTTCTTCTTCTTCTTCTGAGGCTGAAACTCTGAAACAGCTTCCCTAAACGTGTCTTTCCTCTGTTCCTGTGTTTAATGTCGCCGGCCCGCACACATGACTTTCAGTTTTTGGAAAAAGTTTGACCCCGCTTGTCTCAACTTCCTGTCAGTCAGATGATTTCAGACTCAAACATGTGACAGCCAAAGGTGATGACAGGACACGGCGGGGAAATATTTCTCTTGTAAACTGCTGAACATTGTTACAGGAATAGATTCTGTATTTATCTGGAGTATTTCAGGAAGCGGTGTGTATGACTAAGGAGGATCCTGTGGCTGAGATGGAATAAATATGTTTTAGTACTGTGTAATCATCTGGTAATAAAAGTTTAAAAGACTTAACATCCTATAATGAGCTAATTACATCTACAGAGTCTCTTATGTGGAGCAGGTCATTTTGCACTGCTATATTTCTATGGTGGCCCAAAATAGACAAACTAATCTTTGCTCTTGCCTTTTGTGCGCCTTACAAGTTCTGCAAAAACGTCCTGCAACAAACGGGAACAGAGAGGCAGTAATCAGGCCTGTTGCACTCTGCAGCTTCACCGTTTAATACCATTAAACCTACACTACGCTGATCCTCCACTAAACCTGGTGGAGGAGCTTTAAATTTTTCAGCACTGTAGCAGGATTGTGTGGGAATAAAAACACAGCAGAAGGAGCTCTGCTGGTTTTACCCCGACAGAGAGATGGCTCGTCTTTACAGTCGTCTCTTCATAACTTTTGTAAACAACAGTACATATAGGGTCCCAGCCACCAAGCATCTTTTTAACTTCACCTGATTTCTTTAGCAAAGAGACTAAACACAACTCACCTACTCTCTTCCAGCAGTCGCTTGTTTGTAGCGAGACCTCGAGCCAGTCCATTACCGACTACAGCGGGGTGACGCAGCTCAAGGAAGAACATTTATGATCATTTCTTCATGGAAATACAGTCAGACCAAGACGCTAAGACAGAAGAACTACCGCGTCTGCAGTGAAAAACGATTAATATGGTGATTATTACTTCAAAAGAAATGATCATAAATGTTCTTCCTTGAGCTGCGACACCCCACAACAGTCCGTAATGGACTGGTCGAGGTGCGTTGTGTTTAGTGTCTTTGCTAAAGAAATTAGTGAAAGTTAAAAAGATGTTTGGTGGCTAGTACTATGGCTGGGACTGTGTATTGCTATCCTGCGGTCGTTACTAAAAGTTGGTATAACTAGACAAGCAAGCAGTCGGCAACATTCATCTCTTGACGGGGTGTCTAACTCGGTGTTATGGTTCCAATGCGTGATGTTTTATTGACGTCCTTTATGTGAAGTGACGTGAAAAAGAAGGGTCACAGGCTTCGACCTCTTAATCCAGATCTGATTACAACACAGTGCTTTTTTCCGATTTATTCTGTCCATTGCAAACTTGTAGAAACTGGAGCACTTCATTTAGGATTTACGTCATTTACAGGCATGTTTTTCCTCTGTGAATGGCACAAGTGTACAAACAAGTCGCGTTAATCCGCAGAGCTCTTACTGCGGTGGTGTGGCGCCATTGTAGGCCAAGCACTGATTGGTTACACCCTATTGCTTACAATGCTGCGCAGCCAAGCCCTTCTTAAGAGGCCAGAATGATGTTAATGAGGGTTTAAGACGCTTCAGAGCAGCAGATTCCAATATCATCACTGTTTATCAAGATTATTTCAAATTCAACATTCTTAATTATTATAAATCCTCAGTTATGTGTCACGTTTTAATAGCATTAGCAGTGAGAGCGTGTCGAAGCAGCTTTTCACCCTCTCATCTCTATAGGAGCTGCATTGATATGCGGCATGTGTTAATTCTCTCTCAGGGGCCTCCAGCAGGATTTAGAGGCTGCGGCGCTCTGCATGGCGCGGTCATGAGACCACTGTTGTTTACCGTGACGCTGGCTGGACTTAAGCTGACCCACACTCAGACTTCAAGACATTGAGCTTCAGGGTCGGTTATTTTTTTGACAGATATTTGTCACATGATGCAAAGAATCCAAAAGAAGACAAACGTGGTCTTTCAAAGCAGGAGATTTGTAGGTTTTTCTTTCTTTGTGCTGAAAATGAGAGTTAAAGAAAAGTTTGTTTCTTCCCAACTCTGAGGGGATGACAGAGCAGAGGTGGGACACATTTCTGAGGACTTTTCAAAACCTAAAAATGAGTTTAAACTTGTCGGTTTATCTCTGTGAAATGTCAGGACACTGCTCAGATTATAGATAATAAAGGAAGCGGGCAGATAAACACCCACGGTAAACAGTTTTTTTGAACAATGTGAAAACATGTGAAGACCTTGTGACTTAAGCAACTCCTTCAAACAGACCTGACCCGCAGGAAGAAGTCCAGGCAGTTTTGATTTACTGTCAGATTTGAGCGCAGAAGTGGGTCAAAAGCGTGTTGAGTCTCAAGTTTAATGGTGACTCAGTAACATCGGTTCAATAAGTAACTTTAAATAGTTTAATATGAAACCAAATCTATGATCAGCTGTTTATTACCTCTAATTAACCAACAGGAAAACAACGCAAACAAATCAAAGGTCAACCACCTTGTTACGACCAGCTCGTTTAAGGGAGAAGGGAAGCAACATAAAACCGACCAGATGTTAAATGATCAAATCAAGTTATTTATTAACAAAAGTAAAATTGGCAGTAACAACAAAAAGAGAGGCAACAAAGGCCTTAAAGGAAACTTAACAGGTTGCCAAAAACACAGGGAGACTCTAACCTAGAGTTAGTTACCAGTAAAATAAAAAGATCTGCTCACAATCGGCAAGAAACAAACTAAAACACAACTCTCAGCCCTAATGCTGGATACAAAAGAAAGCAGGTAGGCGTGTGCAAACCAAAATGCCTCACAAGCTACGAAAAAGTCCCAATTCACAATTACTAAGACAATCAGTCTGAGGAAGAGGCATGGGAGCTCCACTGGTTACAGCGTGCTCCCTGATCTGCAGGTCCGCTGGAGTTTTATCCACTCCCCCCAAGTGGCTCCTCTCAATTGGCAGAAGCCCTCAGCCAGTCAGTGTCTGCAGTTTCCAGGTGGAGGTGATCAGGCACTTAATTGATCCGCAGCCACGGCAACCTGTGAACTGCAGGCAGCACGCACACACAGGCACTCTCACACACGCACACACACACACACACACACACACACACAGAGGAAAACCCAAGACTCGCCACACTAAGGCGGCGGCCGTAACACACCTCCTCTGACATACAAATAAAGGCACATGTGAGAGCCATTTTGCATCCCAAAAATTATCACTTTGAAGTTATTAGTGTGTTTGTTTTTCTTTTTGAGACTTTATTGAAGTTTAATATCTAGATCGTTTTTTTTTGTTTTGTTTTCTGTGCTGCCATTTTGCATCCCTTTATGATGTAAATAATGTGACTTTTAAATTATTAGTGTGTTTGCTTTTGTTTTATTTAAGTTTAATATCTTTGTCTATTTTTTGGTTTTGTTTTCTTTGCTGCCATTTTGCATCCCTTCGTAGATGTTTAGCAGGTCAATGCTGCGTTTATTTTGCAGTCTCTGTTTTGGCTTATGATGATTAATCGTGAAACTATATCGGTATATTCTATTCATATTGTTTTGGTGGTTTAGTAATATCTTAAAAATGCCGTATGGGAGCGGTTGTCACAAGACATTTGAAGGTTTCTACCACACCCACGTACACGTCTTTAATGTCTTAATTTTCTCAGCTGTCTTATAAAGATAATTACAATAAAAGAAGCACATTATAACTTCTGCTCTAGACAGCTGAATAAACTTTACTCACTTCCTTAAACTTTTGTGCCTAATTTAGATCTTGTTGTGTCTTTGTGGTTGTTTTTCAGGTTTAAATACTTGTTTTATTAGTTGATTTTGTGTATCGTCGTTTTCCTCATTGTCCCATTGCTGTAGTTGTTTTGTTATCCCTTCCTGGAACTTTGTGTGTCACTCTGACGTTTATTCACAAATGTTGGCGGCCATTTTGCATCCCTCTGTGGTCATTTTGCAAGTTTTTGTTGTTGATTGATGCTTTTTTAATTGTGTTTAAGGTCAGTGTGACTATTTTGCATCCCATCCTCAGTGTTCTGCGACTTGAATAATTTTGCATCTGCGGTTGACTAGTATTGCTTTGTCATTTTTTGCTGGACTTTTTATTTGTCACTTGTGCCGGTTACTAAAGAATAGTCATTATGGAACTATGAAGCTATTTTGTGTCTTAGCAGTCATTTTGCATCCCCTTATAGATTTTGTTTGCCCTGTACACCATCCAGAGTCATCTTTGCATGTCAATATCTTAGATTTAAATGTTAGCATCTTTTTTTAAATCCTACATTTCATACCTTTAATGTGGTTTTGCAGCCATTTGGCATCCCTCGTCTGTATTATTACGAGTCTTTGTAGTATATATGTACTTTTATTTCGTACTTTTTTAATTTCTGTTCTGAGTCAGTGTGAGTAAAAGTGATTCTGATTGATTTGGCTTCCCCACTGATATCTCGAACGTTTCCCGCTGCAGGGTTGGCGTCCTGGAGGACGACTTCACCTGCCTGGGGATCCTGTGTGCCATCTTCTTCTTCCCCCTGGGCCTCCTCTTCTGCTTCGCACTGCGCCAGAGAAGGTGTCCCAACTGTGGCGCCACCTTCGGTTAGAGGGACCAAACCACAGCCCATGCACCTGCTTCTGCTCCCATGCATACATACATACACACACACATAATCCAGCATTTTTGTGTCATTTACTTTATGTTTTCTTATTATTGCACATTAGTGTTGCCATATTATGATCAAGATGTAACTTCGGATTATGACGTGAGTTTTTAAATAGAGGAACGTGTAGAGATCTATTTTCATCTGCTAGTTGAGGATCTATATTCTAGCATATGTTAGGCGTCCATCTGTTGTCAGTGCCTTCACTTCATGCTGGGTGATCATCGGAGATTCCATCAGCCATGACTTTTTCTGTAGATGTAGCTCAGTTTTTAGAGGATCTGAGCAGATTCCTTCATATTTTGTCAAGCCATCATTTTATCTTCCCTTTATTTCGTCTTTTGCAGCACGCTTCATACGTATGTTTTTAATTAAGACTGTGCTTAGTTTCATTTAAAGATTGCTTCATGTATTAGCTTCTCTATTTTTTATTTTTTTTTTGGCTCATGGAAAAAAACAGAAACGCGTCTCCAGAAAACAAAACAACGTGTAGATCTTCACTCTTTCGATGAGAGCTGTCCAGGCTGGAACTATGGACTCAAACAAACAGCCTGCAACAGTTCGCCTGTTTTTGTTGATGTTTCCTCTTGGGGCCATATTTGCACTGATCATTTGTTCGATGATAACTCTGCTGGGTTGTGCTTCCCCAGGGCCAATGCAGACCTCAGGTACATACAATCTGGAAAGCCCTCGACTTCACAACCTCAATCACTGTTTTACTTGGACTTCTAGCGACTTTTAAGAGGACAATTGTGTCAAACTTCTCCTTTTAATGGGCGGAGCATCACTTCGAGGAAGCATGCTGAGAGGAAAAAGCTGAAGAAATCTCTCTCCGATGTGTATAATCTCTGGATTTTTATCTTAGTACTCTTCTCTGTGACAAGTCAGCCCGCCCCATTCCTCCCAACCAGACAATCAAATCATGAATGTCTACGTCCATGTATCTGCGTTATCTCTGTGTCTACGTCTTCCATTCAGCGAGATGTTATGTAACTGTCCATGGCAGAAGAAAAAGAGATAAAAACAAGGGGCAGGGATTTGAAGAAAAAAAGACTCTTCTTGCTTTAGAAAATACACTACGCACGCTCTTATGATTGAGGTTCTTACTTTTTATATATGAGTTACTGTAATTAAAAAGAAAGACTGCTACCTACGTGTCTGACTCTGCCTCGTTCCTGTTTCAAATAGATGATAAACTGATTTTTACACTTCACAGGGAGAACTTTCCCCAGAGACTGGAAACCTCTGGAGGAACTCAGTGGGTTTCCACTCCTGGGACAGGGTCTAAATTAAGTTCCTGGGGCAGTAAAGCTGGGTTGCCGCTCAAAAAGCTGTCCGTGGGGAGAATTACCAACCTGCTGATGAACTCAGTGTGTTTCCATCATAAGTAAGAGTCTGTATGAAGTAGAGTTCAAGCCTGGAGTCGAACCGGCAACCAATGCAACAGCTTCTGTACATAAGGAGCATGTCATGATATATTCTGTTGATTTAGTTTTTCACTGGTTTTGTAATTTGAGTGGATTTTCTTTGTATTTTCCCGAGTGTTCCTGTTCCCCTGTAGTCCTATCTTGTAAGTTACTACGGTGCCTACGGAGGCTAAAAACAACAATTAAACAACAATAAAACCTGACCCTCCCACCCACACACGTACACACACACAGGTGCACACAGAGTGAGAATTGAAGATAATGTTGTAGAGACATCGCCTGACACCGAGACATTGCGCGAGGAAAGGGCTACCTTTGGGAAACACTGGAGGTAAAAGATAAAAATGGAAAAAAGAAAGAGTAAAACCTGATGGACTAAAACAAGAAAATAATATGAAATGAACAAATAAGTTTCAGTTTGTCTTTGACCCTGTTTCCCTCCTGCTCTCTGTTTTATTCTTCAGTTTTTAGTGATTCACATTTTATTTTATAGTAGTTGATTCCTTGTGTTTCTAGTCTGGTTTTCCCTCCCTCGTTAATCACCCATGATGAGTCTCACCTGTGTCTCGTCTGCCTCACCTGTTGCTCGTTTCCCAGTGTGGATATAGTCCCCGTCTTCCCCTCGGCCCTGGTTGGTTCATTGTTTGTGTGTCTGTTTGTGTGTATGTCAGTGTCCCCAGTGTCAGGTACTACAAAACAAGTACGACAAAGTAAAATGGGAAACACTGAAATCTGATATAGGAAGAGGACTCAGAGAGAACAGGAGGGAAACAGGGTCAAAGACAAACTGAAAACTCACAAGACAGGACTACAGGGGAACAGAAAGACTAGAGGAAAATACACAGAAAATCCACTCGAATAACAAAACAAGGGAAAAACTAAATCAACATATCATGACAGTGCAGACTTGGGTTCCCTACGTCTTTGTGGTTTTATCTGTTGCATTAAAACTGTTTAGCAGTCCTTCATCTTGAAATATCTCTCAAGCATGTCTCACAAACTGCACGTCCCTGTAATCCACCCACACCGCTGACATTTTCCTCCACTTTTGGCTGTCATCTCTGAGAAAAACAAGTTAGCACATGAGAGAGTTTAGAGATTTAAGGCCTTAAATTATCCCCCAACCACACCGGGTGAAAGGCGTTAAAGCTGACTGATTAGGGTTCACGCAGGGAGGAATGGTTAGAGGTCAAGTAAGGCGAGGGTTGTCTCCATGGCATTTATCTGCTTTTGAACTCCATGGAGACATATCAGCATTCGTTTCAGTCTGTTCAACTCGCGACTGCGTTGAGCATAAACTAGGCTTAACTTTAATGGGGCATTCACACCAAGCGCGATTAAAATCACGTACTTGCTTAATTTGCGCAAATCTAGACGTGTGAATGAATAGTATTCACTCGCTTCATTCACGCGTCAAATCTAAGTTATTTTATCATTTCTTGGATACTAGCGCTGTGAATATGAGCGCTCCAAGAACGGTAGAAATGGACCATGTCTCGAAGATTGCTACTATCTATTTGTTGTGGAGAGGAGAGACACCTTGACATGAGTAAATTAGATCCAGAGAAGGAAATAGCAGGGGGTAAAGTGTCGCTTTTACCACAAGCACACATGAACACTCACAGGATTAACAGATGATCCAACCTTCTCACTCACTTGCCTCCAGACGGGCTCCTTTTTATTACGGTTTCGGTAATTGAAAGAAAAGGTATCCTATAATTCGGGGCACCCACACACTGACATGATCAGTTTGTCCTCCATTTAAGATACCAGTGAACAACCGTCCATTTTATATGTCACCCTTATCGGCAACCTTATCGCGATGCGAATATCCGCTCAAGTTGAGACATATTCAGCTCCCGTCCAATTGGCGTCACCAAAGTAGTACGAGCGTCTAATCATGTCTCTGCATTGACTTAACATGTAATATATTTGCACGAATGATTTTACTCGTGCTTGGTGGGTGGAGACCCTAACAGCTTTGAGATTAGCGAATCAAAATAATTTCTTCATGTAGGGTACACACAGATAGAACAGTAATACTAGATGGGCTTTTTTTGAATGGGTGTGTATGTGGCTTTCAGATCTCCTGCACACAGCCTCTAGTGGACACTAAAGGAACTGCAGTTTTTAGGACTTCTGCATTGGCCAAATCTTTCAAAACTGGAGGTTAGTGTTCCTAAACCTTTGTAGGCGGGGCCTGCAGAGTAAAGTAGAAAAGTGGATAACAGCTTAGTGGAACCTTTCTGCTTCTTTAGATCAGGTTCCTGGGACTTAATCACTTGTGGTGGAAATGTGACTTTAACGCAGGATAACAAGCAAAACAGCAGCTTGAAGAAATAAACCTTTATTTTTTTCATACAAGCAAATTAAGAGTTCATGTCGACCAAAGAGCGAAACGCACGTGTCCGCACTTTGGTGTTTAAATGCCGCGTGTTACGGTTAAAGTAGGAACGACTCCACAGGTGAGGCGATGCAACAGGTACAGGATTCATTCTTTACAGTAGATATGTCATTAAGGCAAGATCAGTCCTTCTCCACCATCGTCTAGCTCTACAAAAACATTCAGTTAGGTGGCAGAGGACAATATTTAAAGCATCTGATGTACAAATATATTTACACAAGAGGGTAAAGATCACTTGTGTGCCTTTTTTTTTGATGCATCTCTTCAAAGCTTGCAGTTTTCTCTCAGCAGCAGACGTCCTGTTTGCGTCGAGGTCCTCTACAGTACATTCTTTTACTGTCCTATGGCAACAGACAAGATTCCTAACAGTCTCTCAACGACAAACGACAACATCGACAATAACGGTTTAAATACGTCGCAGTTTTCTTTTTTTGCTCTGACCACTTTTATTCATCCGTTTCTCAAGTGCAGGTAAGAAAGTGGTCTTTAAATATCACCACCACAAACAGAAGGGACAAAAATAGAAGACTTGGAAAATATGTTTATCTTAAATATATGAGCATCTGTTCTGTCAGTAAAGCAGTCCTAAAATACTTCCAGATGAGTGTCTGCAGCAGTAAAGGGGATCCCACATTCAAATGGCGTTTTTTTTTTTTTAAAGATCAGTTTGTCTCTCCATCCGGACCAGGAGAGTCCGTACAGAGCCGCACATCCTGGGAAGATGAAGAGGAGTTTTTAAGGATGGGGGGTCCGATCAGATGACGGGTGCAGAGCGGTCGTTGGTGACAGTAGGACGTAGTCTGACGGTGGCGAACGGGTTCCCTCCCCTGTGGAGAAGCAGCAGTTTTAATGCATGTTAAGTGTGTTAATAAAAGAAGAGCTGGTTATTGAGTTTTTGTTCTTCGGGAACTTACGCGAGGTAAGCCGGCGTCGGTCTGGAGACGCCGTTGGACTGGGCCACCTGTGGAGAGAACACAGATTCATGTTTGATCAAGTCTTACACTGAAAATATTAAATAGAACTCATCACAATTCAGGTCTTATTTTTGGTGGATAAACTGAAATCAGACTTTTCTGTGGACTCTGAAGTTAAACATAATAAGACCTTTTCTTACTCGAAATAGATGAAAATACTTGATGTTTTTGTGGTTCAAAGTGGATTTTTCTAAACTCTCACCAAGTGTTTTGTTCTGTGTCTCTAGAGATTATTTTAATCACTGTATTAACAGATTTTTTTTAAATACTTTTTACACAGAATTCAGATCTTATTTTTGGCCGACAGTATCTTGAAACGAGGTTTATTTATTCAGACTTGTTTGGTAAATGTGGCTTTTATGAATTATAATTAGACTTTTTATCTAATTTTAAGACAAAACACCTTCCCAATCCTAACCCTAAACCCTACCAACGACCCTAACCCCTAATCCTAAATCTTACCACCTAACCCTAACCCTAACCTCTAATCCTATCCCTACCATGTAACCCTAAACTCTACCATCTAACCATTACCCCTAATCCTAAACCCTTACACTTAACCCTAACCCCTAATCCCAACCCACGACCTAATCCTAACCCCTAATCCTAACCCTAACCCCTAACCCTACCACCTCACCCTTACCTAGAGCTGATCAGTCAAGTTTGACATCTTATTTACAGATACAATGAGCCCAAAAGAAAACCCAAATTTATTGTAATGAGTAAAATAATCTCCAAAATCTACTTGATTATTTTAGTCAGATTAATTTGTTTCAGGTCTTATTTTTGGTCTGTAGCATTGTTGAGTTGTATGTTTATCAGGTGAAATGTGTTAAAACATGTCCTGACTGAACATTAGAGCAAACACACTCTGTATATGAGTGAAGTTTTCTGTTGTGACATGAGTGTTTCATGCAGCTGAGGCACCGGACACACACGAGGGAAGACAATGCGCCGCGTCACATCACGAGACAGACTCTGGAATCTCGACCTTCGAGAAATTCGAGTCTGCTTCAAAGAAGTTTTCTTACGAAGAGACAGTTTCAAAACGCAGAGTTCACGCTGACGAGTTTATTCACAGGAAAAGGCCTCATCTTTACTCTGTTTTATGTCGAGTTCAGAGAGAGTGAAAAATATGACTGAGACGGATCACAAGAAAAACAAAAAGTGAGACACAGGCGATCAAACATAAGAGTCAAGCTTTCACCTTAAAACATGTTTGTTTTTGTTTCTAAGTCAGGTTATTGGGATTTAGTTCAAGTGTGAATAAGTGTTTCTTACATCGTGGTTACTGAATGTTTCTGGTTCAATATCGACCAAATAATCACCCACAGCGTCAGAGAACCAAACCCTATCTTCATGCAGTATCAGGTTCTGGTGGGGGCTTCTCTCTCTTGCAAAGTTTCTTTAATTCCTTATTAATAACAATGAAAAACATGAAGAATTAAACACTAATCGTAATGGTGTTAACACTTTTTAACTGTAGTTACACTGACAGGGATCTTCTCCTCACTCTAACCCCGATTTGAACAACACAAATCTCAGCATCAAAATTCTGCTTCACTTTACATCTGTTCCTTTAATTTTTTATCCATGAACTGTAGTTGAACTTCCTGGCTGCTGGCCACTCCTGCCGGCCTGTTATGAGCCTGCAGTACCACACAGCCTCCACTAGAGGTCAGCAGTGGATCGAGCTCCTGGTTCTGGGTTATTGTGACGGCCGTGTGGGCCCCACAGGATGTGAAGAGTCCCACATCTGTTCTGCTTTCACAGATGTTTATAGCAGATATATAGACGGTTAAAAGTTCTGATTTACTCTCTTAATCTCTGTTTTTATGAAAACACGCTGAGTCACTCTAAAGGGGCAAAGATCGTCGTTTCCTGTCAGTTCTGCTCTGTTAAACTTAAAGTTTCAGCGTTTTCTCTTTACTCCTCTTTTAACCCTTTAACTTTCTCTCTCTCTCTTTCCTCTAAATAGATTCATTCCTGCGAGTCGTTATCTTTCTCTCAACAAACCAGTGAGGGTGCATTTTTTCTCACAGTGACAGTGCATTCCAGGGTAACCCCACCTCCTGCTGCCCTCTTCTCTCTAATCTCCCCCTTCCTCCCCTCCTCTCACCTTTCTCTCCTCCAGTCCGACCTGAAAAAAGCCTTTGTTTCAGTTTGATGACAAAAAAAACACGTTACTGTGACATGCTTTGCATTTGCGCGGAAACCGAATCTGCGAGTTTGCATGTGAGACGGAAGAAGAAACGACTCCAAAACAACTCAGAAATGTTTATGAGCATAACTGTCGGCGCACAAACCAACACACAACCTCGAGCACCCACTCACACACTGAGCCGAACATAAACCAAAGTATTACAGCCTAACGCAGAAGTGGAGAAGTTTTTCCCACACAAGTCTATTCTGGGACGTGTGTGTGTGTGTTTTTTTAGAGTTAAAGCAGAGGTGTGTGTGTGTGTGTGAGGATGAACTTCTTCCCTTATTTACCCTGGAAACAAAGGGAGGGATAAAACGAGAGTGAAGAGGAGATTAAGAGGAATGTGCTGAAGAGATGGAGAGACAAGAGTGCAGATGTGGAGATAAACTGACAGAGACAGAGACAGAGAGCAGAGCGGTGACTCACACTAAAGAGCGAGGAGAGGAGCGAATGATGTTAAATAATAAATACAGCAGAGGTGACGCGGAGAAAAGGATCTGACTGACCGCCGAGCCCCGATCTGGGTCAAACCGCCTGTGACTTTAACATGTCGGAGCTGAAGGAAGAAACAGGTGAGACGAGAACGACTGAGACGTTCTTCCAGATGATGGATCACCTGTCTGCAAAAAACTGCAGCTGAAGGGTCAAAGGTGACGCACCAGCCGCCCGAGTAAACGTCAAACTTTAAACTTCAGGTGTGTCAGGTAGCAGGGAAAGTTGCAAATGCAGCACAGCAACGTTACAGGAAGTCTTTTATCGATAATGTTGTGGAATTAATGATTGTGATTGTGGAGTCGTAGTTATTACTCAAACTATAATCGCACCATTATGATCTTCAATCGTTGAACCCCAGCGTCCAGTTTAGGGTTATTTTAAGAGTCTTCTGGCCGGTTTAGCATCTGCAGGTTTTTAGATCTGATCTGTAAACGCACAAACAGCAGAGCGTCTGATTTATGCGCAGATTAAAATACGAGGAGGCTGTGAGTCGGGCTGTTGCTCACACTCACTGACACTTTGAGTGTTTTTTACTTCAGGATTCCTTCAATGTTTAATGAGCGCTGGGATTTTACGACAGTCCGAGTTATGTGGTTTTAAAAACGCTAATGGATCAGGAAATTAAAGCGAGTTATTATGGTGCGTTCGTGTTGTACTCGGAAGTCCGGATTAATGAACTCTGAGTTAAAACTTTCAACTGGAACGACCCCCGAGTTCGGATTTCCGATTCGTAAAGTCGGACGATCCACTCAACCTCCGAGTTGACATTTAAAAATGGCGGCGCCAGTTGTAAACAGGAAGTAGATGCTGCTGTAATAGAAAAAATAGGCTACCTTCTGCATATCTGTCTAGAGGTTGTTTATATTCGGACAAGGCAAGCGCGAGAATATCTTTCGTAGATGTAGCCATCTTGTTTCCGCTTCCATTATTGGCCATCGGCGACTTTTTTCCGACTTTGTAACTGAAAAGCTGATAACTCGGGTGTAACATCATTCCCAGTTCCGACTTCCAATTTCCTAAGGTAAATGGAATGCACCATTCCCCCACTTAATGGTTCGTTCAAGTTACCTCGGAAGTCAGATGTCGGGAGTTGAAAATGACGTCACACCTGAGTTACCGGCGTTTCAGTGACCAAGTTGGAAAAAAGCAAAATCGGAGGTGGAAACAAGATGGCTACATCTATGAAAGTTAAGTTACACTGGCCTTAATATTGGGACAAGGCAAGTGCTAAACAAACTTTCGTAGATGTAGCCATCTTGTTTCCACCTCCGATTTTGCTTTTTTCTCGGAACTCAGTTGTGACGTCATTTTCAGCTCAGACATCTGACTTCCGAGGTAACTTAAACGCAGCATCATACCTGTACTCTGATTGGTCAAAGCCCTATAACAGTGGTTGCTAGGGGCAACGTGATGAGTCAAACTGATGTCCAAGAGGCACAGATGTGAGGAGAGCAGCCTGAGGTGCTACTGGACTTGATTTGACGTTCGAAGAGTGTACTCGGCGTGTCCGTGAGGAGAGTGGGGTCAAAGGTCACTTAGAGAGAAGAGATTTGCATCAATAAAAAGGCATCACACCACTCCAGGTGGAAAGAGTGGGATCTTATCAGAGATCTACAGATGGACTACAGGGGCATTGTGGGAGTGATTACACAGACCGAGTGTTTGACCCGACACATTTACATTCATGGTCACACGCTGAGCGACTACAAAAGCTTTCAGAGAGAGAAAACCACTACTTTGGCTGACGGTTTGCATGCTATGCAAACGGAGAAACATTCGTAAAGTGATGAGTGAAGCTGAGGCGGAGTGGGAGGAAGACGAAGAGTGATGATGATGTGGAGGGATAATGATCGAAGGAGCGAAAGGGTCGAACTTTCACACTTTTTTCTTTCTTTCTGTCTTCCTGCTGATGAGTGTTTACAAATCAAGTAAATCTGAATCTGTGACCTGCTCAACCTCCATCTATCTCCATCTCCTGCAGCCATGAGAGGATAAACACTTTTTGGATGAAACTTTTCAAACCGTTTCCGTTATCTGTTTATCTACGACGTGCCGAATTGGCAGCGGAGATTATTGAGCAATAAACTCGGGAAATACCACAAACTCCAGCTCAGGTTCCAGACTGAGTTCTGTCTCTTTTGGCTCTTAGTTTAAGGCCACCAAGCGGTCCAAGAAGACGCAGAATCCAGGAGGAGCAAAGATCAATTAGCCCCAAGTGGACACTCGAGGAACTGCACCTTCATGGATTCATGTTTCTGCATCAAAGGCGAATCTGTTCCTCCAAAACCCAGAGTGTGTATTTATCAAAAGGTCTACATGGTCAAACTTCTGGTATCTGCTCGTGCGTTTCCTCTTCAGGGTCAAAGGAAATATGAAAATAATGAGCTCTTCTTTCCAGTTGTGGTTAAATTTAGTCCACAGGAGAGCCGAGCCTGATCCTCATCCTCCGTAGTACCTGTGCTCAGTAAATACGAGGGAACAGGTCCAGTCTGTATAACCCAGACACGGCCTGATATTATCAAACATGTTCGATAAACAGGATTTATAATCCGGATTATTGCATCAGCGCAGTCTGAGGAGAGACAGACGTGCAGGAGACAGAAAACACTCGTACCCTGAGGCTAATGTTAGATTAACTCTCGGTTTCTATTATGTCCGTTTTTTCCATCTTTATTTTGAGCTTACAGTCACATTTTTAAAGACTGTAGCATTAAATTTGGTGAGATTTCTTGTTTTTCTTCTTTAAAAAAAAAAAAAGTAAGTAAAAAGAAATTGTTAAAAAAATGATTATTTTATGAACACTTATGTCTATGTCATTTTTTGGGGACAAAGGAGGCTGGATGGAGCTAAAATAAGGAAATTGGCACTATGTAAAGAATTTAAATGCGCCAAAATACATTTTACTACTCAACATTGACATGGCCCTGACTCTTTTTTATTAAAAAAAAAACTTCATTCGATCATTTTTTATGGGAAATATGGCGATTTTGTGTTTTTGACCTTTCAAAATAGCAGTGACATGGTGCACAAAAACTGGCATAAAAAGGGTGTAACATCGAATTTTGTATTTATTATTTTTTTATGGTCAGAGCTGAAGTTGTTTAAGAAACATGAGTCAAAAAAAGTAAAAAAAAAAAATTTTAAATTATTATTTTATAAACATTTATCTGCATGTCCGTTTTGGAGAAAAAGTTGGCTGGATGGAGCTAAAATACAGAAATTTGCAAAACAAAAAGGATACTAATGCACTGAAATCGATTTTACTTCTCATCATTGACATGGCCCAGACTCTTTTTTAAAAAAAAATCATCTTTGTCTTTTTATATGAGAAATATGGTGAATTTGTGATTTTTACCATTAAAAATAGCGGTAACATGGTGCACAAAAACTGGCACTCAAAGGGCAATACATTGAATTTTGTATTTATTATTTTTTAAGTGATCAGGGCTGAAGTTGTTTAAGAGATTTGAGTCAAAAAAAGTAAAAGAAAATGTTTAAAAATGATTATTTTATGAACACTTATTTGCATGTCCGTTTAGGGGACAAAGTCGGCTGGATGGAGCTTCAAACCGAGGGTTAAAATAAAAAGCTGCTTCCCTATTGGCTGACAGCAAACCTTACTTTATTTTACCGCATTAGTTAGACGACACTGGGAGGGTATCAGAATGTGGTCAGCAGCCCAAAGCAGGCACAGGGAGCTTATCTGACACCACAAACACACACACACACACACACACACACACACACACACACACACACACACACACACACACACACACACACACACACACACACACACACACACACTCTGCACAGCTGAGTGTACAGTAGCAGCAGGTATCAGGTGAGACTCTCATCACCAGTCCGGTCACGTCACGGTGTCAGGGCTGTGCCAGAACGGCACAAAGGTCCGGCAGAAGACAGTGGGTCAAGTTGTTCAGGGCTGATTAAATTTCCAGGACCCTCTCCAGACCTGTAAAACCGTTCCATAAATAAACCGCCGACTCACCGTGTTGTGATCGGACGAGGAGGACGAGGCCGCAGACGGCGTGGGGGAGTGATGGTGGTTGTTGTGCACGGTGACGTTGCTGCCGGACAGGGCGCTGCTCCTGGCGGCGCTGTAGTCCGTCTGAGGGAGCACCATGGTGGCCTCGTCCGTCTCCGTGTCCTGGTGGTGGAGGTTCACCACGCTTCTGCTGCGGTACGGGGCGCCCGACACGCTGCAGAGGAAGAGACGAGGGTGCAAACATTTAAAGGAAACAAAATCAGGATTTAGCATCGAAGAATAATCCAAATAGTTTTCTTAAATTCAGGTTTTGGTTCGCAGACTAAACGAGGACAAGATCAGGATGTATATGTGTGTGTGTTTGTGTCCCCGAGCGCTGGTTATAGATTAAACTTTCTGTTTCCCTGAATGCTGGCAGCCTCTCTGTGGGAGGTTCAGCACATTAAGATCTAATAAATTAATCCGACAGGGATTAGTCCCTTTGAAGACGAGGCTGTAGCTGACTCCGTGAACTCTCTCCCTCTTTCTAATCAGCTGTAAAATCTATTCATCAGCACGCAACATCCTGTTTCCTGATATTTTGCCTAATTTTAGTTTCAGATTCGAGGAGTATTTAATATTAATGGGCGCAGAGGATAATGAAAAGTGTATTAATCGTAAAAACTGATGCGGCTCTGGTTTCATGAGTGTGCATTAGTCATGTCACTCTGCAGAGAAAAGGTCTCATGAGGAGGAGGAGGAGGAAACTGTGACCGAGGCACGGCGAGGAATCAAAGGTTGAGGAATGGGAGAGTCCCCCCCGAAGGATTAGAAAGGTTATCACGCTAACAGGAGTAACCAGAGGAAACACGGCCAACAATACAGCCGCCTGCAACATGAAACCTCCCACTCTGTGTGTGTGAGTGTGTGTGTGTGTGTGAGGAGTCTTCTTACCTGTTGTTATTCACCAGCGGCTCTGTGAGTGCACGGCAGTAAGATGAAGGGAACCAGCCCCTCCTGTGAGACAAAGAGAGGCAGCGTTAGCGATGATCACAGCTGCGGTTAGTCGTCCCTGTCGGCTCTTCTTTCACACACATGAATCTGAAAGTTCCTCCGAATGTTCGACAAACGGAAAAGAAACAAAACGACGTCCAGATGCTCCTCTATCCATCCTGCAGATTAAACTTTCCGCTCTGCTGCCGCCTCTGCTTTACTAACACACAAACACACACCTGCTGCCCTTTCTTGCAGATGCTTTTTGTTGCATCAACAGCAACTTTGAAACTCTAATATTTGATATGCATGACCCAGACCCCCTGATTATGGCAAATTAGAAGCCCAGGACCCCCAGAATGTTCTTGGTGTTAGGGTTAAGGTTAGGGTCTGCTGCATGCACACGAACAGGCCAATCAAAAAACAGACATTCAAAGTAAACTAAGAAAGGTTAAAACAGGTTTAACTAAGGTGACCATACATCCTCTTCTACCTGGACATGTCTTTTTTTTGAGGGGCTGACCCGCTTTGTCCGGGGGGGCCATTTTTGGTAGGGGAAAGTCCCGCCTCTTTCGACTCTGATTGGCTAGAAAAGCTGTTAACGTCGTCACACACTCAAGCTAAACGCGGGCTGTCGGCTCTGTACATGGAACAGAACATTACAGAACATAACCGCACTTCTGAATCTCCTAACCCTAACTGAACAGACGATGACGTTTCACAGCCATTGGGAATAACCAATCAGAGCCCAGCACTTCTAGCCAATCAGAGGCGAAGGAGGGCGGGATTATATAAAATCCTTTAAATGTTCGCAGTTTTGTACGTAAGTTTAGAGTTTGTGTCGTGTGGACTGAGTTAGAAGCGTGTAAAAGACACTCGATCCGACCCGAAAAACTCCCTAAATCAACTTCATGCGACTCCATGACTCCGCCCCCTCGTAGTCATGTCCTCTTTGGGGATTCAGAAGATGGTCACCCTAAGTTAAACATTTTTTTGCACAGATTTTTCAGACATTTAAAAAGATATGACGTAAGCTGTAATTTTGAAGACATCTTGTGACCTCCAGAGGGGTCCTGAACCACATATTGGGAACTACAGGTACCTTGTATTCATTTCAAATTAAATGTATCTACTTCCTACTCTCTACATTTTCAAAATAAAACACTATGTTTTGTATCCAAGAGGAATTATTGACTTTTTTTGATGATGCATTTCTGTCTGAATTTCACATCTGTACGGAGTCCATTTCAAACTTTTATTGTTCACGTTATCTTCTTTTGAACGAGAATCATGCATCAGAAGGAAACTATGCATCATCTCTGCAGAATCCACATAACTCAACCCTCTTCTATGTTTGATTTTAGCAGTAAAGACAGAGGAATTCACCTCTGAACAGTAATAATCCTGTTCAAGGACGTTTCCTTGGCAGCTAGCTTCGTCCACTCTCAGATACAGACTGTCCCTGAACGGTCGAGGAAAAATCTCTGATAAGACTCTAAATTTGAGCTCAAATCTGAGGAACAACAACAGGAAAAAGAAGCTCAGCCTAAATGTGGGGATTATTTCACTTTCTGGTGCTGAAGTGTGGGTGTGGATCGTCTCTTTGTCGTGTAAATAAAGCGTCCACACGGTCTCCTGACAGATTTCAGAGTTTATCAAATATTATCTTCGTAACTGTTTATCAGCCGTGTTGTTTTCCCTCAGAGTGAATCATAAGTGTGTCTTTGCCCTACTGATATTTACCCATCAGTCCATCAACAGAGTGTGTGTGTGTGTGTGAGTGGGTATCTGAGTCAGCCCGGGTGTTGCCAGGCGTGTTGCTGGGATACACTCTCAAAGCCCATAAATGACAAATAGGAAACTCAGACCAAAAAGCATCAGAGCCGGCCCCCCACTGGGACACACCGTCTCTCTTTTCTCTGATAAACACGATGACTTAAACTTTCTAAGCCTTTAGGCGCTCGGGCTCGCCTCGCTTCTTGTTCCGCAGCGAGAACAAAGTTTTCGAGTTTCCCTGTTTGGACGGGGGCTCAGGAGCGATCGCCGCCTGCCCTTGATCGGCGTTTTTCGTATACATTTGCCAGGTAATTTCCCTCGATAGTGACAAAGATCAAACTTGATGAACGATTAAAATTCAGAAACACACTTCCGAGGGCTTCAGATCAAATCCCTGTTTAAAAAGTCAGACATCAGAGACCTGGAGGGGGGGAGCTGGCTCGGTGGGTGCCTGCCTGTCTGTGTGGGAGAGCAGGTGGTGCTCTGAAGCGCTCTACCTGCCTCTCTGCCGTCCGCTATCCTACATCCCACCCTCAGGCCATACTTTACTTTGATTTCTGTATCAGAGTGTTCCAGCGCTGCCAGGGCGAGTGTGTGTGTGTGTGTGTGTGTGTGTGTGTGTGTGTGTGTGTGAACACGGTCAGCCTGACAATCAGACGAGGGGCCGTTTGTCTCTTTAGGACAGAGCAGGAAACTCGTCTTTCACCGGTCAGCAGGAGGATGGAGGAAAAAAGTAACGAGTCCTCCAGAGCGAGCGTCAATATTTCTGCAAACGCTTCAAATATCTGATATCTTTAAAGTCATGGTTGATGATTGGAGACATTGGTAATTATTATGAACCTCGTTTCTATGGCGATCGTGGTCTTATAGTGCGGTCTCCACAAAGTGAAGAGAAAAAAAAATGGAAACAATCTGTTCACGGGAGCAGGTGCAGGGCTGCAAAAACATTGACCAATGGGAGCCATCCGTCGTGGACGTGATATTTTTTTTTTGTAGGATGGTAGGGGAAAGTCCCGCCTCCTTCGCCTCTGATTGGCTAGAAAAGTCAACAGCAAATGCGGGCTTTCAGCTCTGTACATCACACAGAAGATTACAGAACACTATCGCACCTCAGACAATGACGTTTCACAGCCATGAGGAATGACCAATTGGAGCCCAGCACTTCTAGCCAATCAGAGGCGAAGGAGGGCGGGAGCTTCCCCTACCATCCTACAAAAAATAATTCGCAGACAGCTCCCATTAGTCAATCTTCTGCTCTGCCTCTCCATCCAATCACCTTTCTGTATTCCTCCCGTAGTTCCGACTCGTCCCCTCCCACTCTCCCGGCCCTCCTTGGAGCTCTGAGCGGCCTAAAGTAGCGTAGCAGTTTAGCTACAGGAGCTGTAATGGAGAAGGATGCCAAAAAATCCGCCCCACCGCCAAAAGTGGGAAGAAAGCGCAGGAGGAGACAAAGAGGAAAGAGGGACGTGACCAAGCGACGAATCTAACTCGAATAAACATCGGGTCATCCTTCGAGCGGTGGAGAAACTCTGTCTCTGCCGAGACAGCAGAGTTTTTGTTAAATGGTCATTTTTATCACCTTTTATCATGGCACATGTTACTTAAATAACTCTTATTAGTCTCTGCAGTGTCAACACGGTAGCTGTCCAGGCAGCTGCGGACGGCGCTTGCTAGCAGAGCTGGCGTTTACTGCTGCTAGTCACTAACAATCCGACATGGTGAATCCTATTTGAAGCTAGCGTAAGATCTTCTACTGGCCCGAAGGGTTGTGTCCTGGGGATGGCGATACAGGTTCAGGGTGGAGTTATCATGGAGCACAGAAGGGAGAGGTGTCTGTGTGGGGGTCGGGACGCTTTTGTCAAATCTGCCTCAACGGCTCGATAAAGATGTTATTTGTTCAACGGAGGAACAAGCAATGCGCTCATTAAATTTCCAGTTAGGAACTTTTCAATATATGTCAACTTTAGCGCCCCCTTTAGGTCAAATCAATCCTTCCCTTTTTCTCATCTTTTACATGCTCAAGTATCGTGATCTAATTCTGCAGATTTTTAACAGTTACTGTAAAATCTATGGTCTATATGTCTACGTGTCGCAGACCTAGAATGACAAAATAAAAACCATCGATCAATAACGTAAAAAGTCTGAACAGTTTGAATTTGGACTCACTTTCCGTTCTTCTCCATCTCCCCGTACATCCACCCGTCCTTCTCCTCGGGGATCAGCAGGATGATGACGTCTCCCTCGTCGAAGCTCAGCAGCGTGTTGTTGTTGCCGGCGGTGTGGGGGAAGATGGTGCGTACGCGCGGCCTTTTCACGATGTTGTTCAGGCCCGTGGCGACAGAAACCGACCGCGCCAGATTGGTGTCCTCGCCATTGCCGTGATCTGATGTGAACAGAGGACAATAAACTTGGAGCTCTCAGAGTCACACATTAGCGTCCACATTACTGTAATAATCATACCTGTGTTGTTGTTGTTGCTGACCGCGGTTACAGCGGTCGTGTTGTTGTCCTGGTTGAACATGCTGGCGAGAGGACTGGTCTGAGCCTTCAGAGGAGGGGCCGGGGGTGTAGACATGTTCTGCACAGAAACATCGACGTTTATGTCAGTGAAAACATGAATCACAGAGGAGACGGAGCGGCTTTATCTGAGCCTGAGTCGATTCATGATTGTAAAAGTTAGTTAAATTTTATTCCAACTCGTTATTCTGTTAATCTGTGACGCTCTATGAACAAAGATGAGATGTCTGTTAAATTTGAACTTTAATCCAGGGACCTGCACTTTAATTCTGCATTAACTTTTTATTTTCACCCCCTCTCAATTTCACAGCACGATTTTATAAAGTTGAAAGCGTGCAAGGATCTACTTTTAAGAGTATTTTTCTTAATTTATAATATAAAGAACATAGTAAAGAAATACAGGCTGGTCTAACAGCTAAGTTTACAATAAGAGAGGATATTTTATTTACTGGCTGTGCAGAGGACTAAAAATATAACTATCAGTATTATCAATTATAATTTTAGTATTTTTTTTTTCTTTGCTGTTTTTCGGCCTAAATTTTATTCTTCTGTTTTTAAACATTTTTCCCCCTTTTTTTTTTCAGACCAACTTTTATTCTTTTTTTGTTCTTTTTTTTTCGTCTTTGTTTTTTTTTCTCCTGACTCAGCGAGATCCTTCAAAATCCTGCGAGAATCTCATACAATCAGATAACGTTAACCACCGCGGCTGCTCCAAACCAGCTGACTCTTCAGCCCCTCGATAACTTCGACTACAGGGTCAATGAGAATAAAGCATGTTATTAGTTAAACGTAAGATATGAAAATCCTGAGTAGATAAACTTATGAAGATTCCATCGGTCTGACTTAAAGAAAGGAGGATCTCCCAGAGTCTCAAACCCAAAAGAAAGTAAAACTTGATTAAACTAAACAAGTGGGCCAATAAATCGAGCAGAGGGGGATGAAAGCGTCTGTTTTTAAATGATCATGATCCAAAACAAAACAAAAAAAATTAGGCTGAAGAGCAGAAAAGAAAAAAAAAAACTCTGAAAAACAGATTTTTTTTTTTTACGCCTCCATTCTCTTTGGTTGTCTTGTAGACGAGGGTTTGTAATTAAACGTGACGTTCCTCAACAAACAGTTTCCTGCTGTTATTCTATAAACAAAACTACATAAAATATTCTTACTTCAACATGATAGTGAATTAAATCACATAACTGCACAGATGTTTCTGAAAGATTAACGTCATATTTTTCTGCAGCAGCAGATGCCGAGCTGCCGCCACAGTCATGAAAAAACGTCCCCTCAAATAAACGGCTCCATAGTTTATATTAAAACAACTATAAGTAACTTTCTGACAATCGTACCACGCTGTGCCGTGACGGGGACGGCGAGGGCATAGGCGTGATGGAGATGGGCGTCCGCAGTCCTTCGATCATGGTTAAAATGCTCTCGGGCATGTCGGTGGCGTCGTTGCACTGGTCCTGCCAGCCGCTCAGCTTCGCCGTCAGAATGTCTCTGGCCTGAACCGGAGCGCACGAACACAAGAAGAAGAAGAAAACATGAGTAATCAGAGTGCGGACGTTTTGTATCACCATGGTAACGTGCAGAATCAGTGTTTGAGGTTGAAAGGTTGAGGAGTTAGTCAGGTCTGAGAGTGTTTTACCTTGTCGTGAAAAGAAGCGGTCTGATAGGAGAACATGCAGTGTTTGTCCACCAGGAAACAGAAACGCCTCTTCTCCTCCAGCAGAGCCTCTTTACAGCCGTCTGCGATGAACAACTGCATGTCCATCTGACGGGTCGACAACGTCTCCAAGCACTGAGACACAAGAACACAACGACAATAATCACAATAAGTCCATCTGAAAGTTTGTGTCTTATCTGCTCGACCACACGCTCTCATCTCTCCTGACGACACCGACCCTAAAAGGACAAAGACCACAGAGAGAGAAAGGTTCCTCTTATATGTTCCTAATCTCCCTCCTGCAGAGGGAACGGTATTATTGTGCGACTGTTTTCTGTATTGACAGATTTAGTGCCGACTAAAAGGACAGAGCAACAGGAGGACGAGGAGATGGCAGCTCCGGGGAGGGGAGGTCTTATCTACACAGACAGGCTGAGATTATAAAAAGGTCAGGAGGTTTTACGAAGGATCAGAGCGCGACGGTGTGGAAGTTATGAGAAATCAATTATCAACAAAGTTATTAAATCAGACACGCTTAAAGAGAGGAGAGCCGTTTCTGTCCGCCTGTGAAACCAGAACGAGTTTAAAATCAAGAGAGAGAGAAACTGATCTGCTGCCCAGAGCATGATGGTCACACAGAAAGACAGAGCATCATCATCATCATCATCATCATCATCATTGTGCATTTGAAGAAAACTTCAGTGCAATGATGAGGTAACGAACCTTTCTAAGTACTGGTTTGACTAAAAAAGACCCTGAAGAGGAGGAGAGTCCAGGTTCTTCTTCGTCTTCGTATTCTTTGTATACATATTCTTCTTCGTATTTGTATTTTTCTTCTTTGCATTCTTCTTCTTCATCTTAATTTTCTTTTTTTTCTTCCTCGCCTTCGTATTCTTCATAGTCATATTCTGTGAATTCATACTCCTTGTATTCTTCTTCATCCTCGCATTCTTCGAATTCATACTCTTCGTATTCTTCGAATTTGTATTCTTATTCTTCTTCATATTTGTTTTCTTTTTCTTTGTATTTGTACTCTTCTACTCCATCTTCTTTTCCGTATTTGCCTTTGTATTGGTATATTTCTTCTGCATATTCTTCATATTTGTAAATCTACATTTTTTCAGCAGGAACTTTAACCACAGACTACAGACTTCAGGTCTCTGTTAACGCAGGTAGTGTATGGAAAAATTTTGTGGTTGGTTGGGTTGGTGTTAAAAACACATAGTTGGAGTATTTTCTGTGTGTGTTTGAACTCCTCACTTCTGTTACGTCACCTGTATAAATCAGAGCGTTCACATGTTCTCGTCACTCACAGCTTCTCCTTAAAGGTTCAGTTCAGACCACAATCAGAACCACTCCTCCTCCTCCTCCTCCTCCTCATCCTCCTGCAAAAAAACCCTGACTCACTCTTTTGTCCCTGATTCCCGTCAGAGCTTCATGTGAGACTCGTACCGTCATCCTCATCCAACGGGCTTGGATTGGCACGCCTGTAACGGCCGCTCATGCAGCTGCACACGCCCTCTTCATTCAGACGTGTACAACCGTTTCCACTCTCAGACCGCCCAGGGCGCTCTTCAGCAGGAAATGACTTTTTCTTTCTCGTGTCTCTTTAAAAGCAGCAGATATAAAACAACATGACCTGTGTGTGACGACAAAAGCTCAGTAACTCTCAGCAGAGGTCATATCATCTCTGTCCAAACACCGGCGGGAAGTCCTCGCATGAACCCGTCCATTTAGACCTGATGAGATCTCGATAACAGGCTAACCTTTGTGGCTCCGTGTCAACAGACCGGCGGATGCAAACACGCACCTCTAAACAAATGAATTCAGGAGAAGAAGCGCTTTGCTTTCCATGACCGCTCTCTTTTCCAGTAAAGCTCACCGCCTCAGGTGTTCACATTTACCTGCGAAATCCCATCATGAAGGAGCTCACCTGCTGCTTAATCAACTCAAGAAGGATCTCCAAGAGTCAGATTAAGTTCACGAGGAGCCGTCTGAGGCTGTGTCCAAAATCACCCTCAGTTACCATCAGCTGCAGATTTTCACGATTTGATCTAAAATGTGAAATCCTTCCCTCTGCTCCTCCGCAGGAGAATAACAGGAAACACACTTTAAATACAAACTATGTAAAATTATTCTTCCATAGGACCGAAAGCAGCAGAAACACCAGGGTGCAGATGAATCATATGTACATTTTTAAACCGTTCACCCCACATAAATTGTAATTATGAAACACCCCACACACAGATCTGCAGAGAAACACGGTTTCAGAGACGTTTGACGAATGTAAAAGTAAATCTTCTTCAGACTTTTGGATTTTTCGTCTCCTGATACTTTTTAAACTCTGAACTTTGTATCATCTGTATGAAATAATCATTTATGAGATTTTTAGTGTCTACAGTGATGGTTTTCATGGTGGTGCGGCTGCTAAAAATACCAACAGTTGGTCTGGAGCTGCACAATCAGACTAATTGCTCTTCTTTTCATCGACAGGTCTCCAACGATCGGCCGAGTTTGCGTGAGTCCTTTATTTTCCACGGATGCACTCTGCATCTATTTCTGTAGGAGTGGAAATGAGGCTCCTGCGTGTGCGCCCACTTCCACTGTGATTAAGGTTTAGAGAAACATAAGCAGGCGCACCGATCAGGAAAAAATCTGAATGCCTGATTTTTCTTTTTCCTGCGTTTGCACGGTCGTACTTCAGATTAGTCGACTGAGACGCTCTGAGGAGTGATTATAATTTCATTTCCATCTCTGATAATGAGATAAAAAGTCTCTTTAAATCTTCAGGTATCTTTAATTTCGCAGGAAACCCTCAGAAAATCTCCTGCCGGTGAAGATAAATGGAGTGTGATAATAACGGTGTAGTGACAGAAAAAGAAACCGTGAAAGAGTGAAAAAACCTTCGCCGAGCTGCAGAGGTGGGCGGAATAATTTACACTAACAAGCAGATGAGGGAGGAAAAAAAAACACACGTGTGCACGTACGCATACCTGAACACATGCACTCTCACACACACACACACACCCTGTCTTAATCACTTTACATCAGTCAACACTGCAGCGGGCTTGTTGCTATGGACAACTGCGGACAACCTATGTTTATCCTGAGAACTCTGGGTAAGAATGAGGGAGGGATGGCAACAGGCGACACACACACACACACACACACACACACACACACACACACACACACACACACACACACACACACACACACACACACACACACACACACACACACACACACACACACACCTTCGAAATCAATTTGACAAATCGGTAAACTTTTAATCAACACAAAAGTTTCCAAGTTGAGCTTCATTTTTTTGTCTCAGTTTCGCCAAGAGCTTATCTCGCCCCTCTCTCTCTCTGTATGACGTGTCTCTTTGGCGTGTCCGCTGAATCATCCGCTGTCTGTCTTTGTGTCTAAATTCTAATACCTGGGCTTGTGTCAGATAAGTGTGAGCAGCAGCGAGCAAATACTCTGACTCATGGCTTTGTGGAGAAAAAAGGAGAGGAGAGGAGGGAAGGGAAGAGGAGACAAAGGAAGGAGGAGGAGGAGGAGGAGGAGTGCAGAGTAAAGGGGAAGCTGAAATATCGCAGTGCAGAAGAAGAGGTTTGACTCTTAACTTCTCCTTCAATTCAACATAAAAACAACTTTGATTAATCTGAATTTTATCCGACAAAAAATTTCATTTTTCGCTCAATTCTCGCCGCCTCACAGGACGGTGAAATCTCTGCAGCTCGAGCTTTCCTCCATCAAAAATATATGAACTTTTTAAAACTTTAAACTTTAAAATGTCAAAAAAGAGTGAAAGTGAAAATGTATTTCCTCTTTGGAGATGGAGTTTGGCTTTGGAGGTTAAAGTTGAACACAAAAACTCGCTCCCCACTGAGCAGGCTGCCTGACTGGATCCATGCTTATGTAATCCAGGAGCTGCTCACGGTAGCGGCTCTGAGGTCAACGCCTTTTCTGTGGAGTCATGGCGAGGGTGTGGCGGTGGCAGCGGCGGCGGTGTTGTAATAACAACTCCAACAGGTTGTAATGACATCATGTTCCTGAGTGATTAATTGGCAAACTGGGATCAAGCAGCTGTTAGAAAAACACAGTCACACAGACAGACAGATCCTCCTTTTAGTTTGAGTCACTTTAAAGTGGAGACGCTGAAGTCTCTCTCTGCAGATACAGACTCAGACTCACACCTTTGGACCCTCACATGAGCTCGCTCTGTTATGTTACATATTGTACAAAAGGTGGTAGAAATGCAGCGCAGCCACAGGCCTCCTCCAGAATTCACTTTGATTTGGTGTAAAATAAAAATCCAGACCAGCCTGAGAAACTTTTATGACCTCAGGCTGCAGATCTGAGTCCAAGAAAAGTTCAGGAAAAGTTCAAGAGTCCACGCCACATTTGTACTTTCATCACTTTTTGCGTTTTTCAGACATTTTTCTTTCTTATTTGCGACAGTGTTATCAGTTATGAAAGATTATTGACTTAAAAGGTTAAAAAAAAGGTCTTTGTTTACATTTGAGGACAGTTTTGAATTCAGCCTCTCAGTTTCTAACCTTATTAGCCATGCAGTAAACGCTGTCATAAAGAAGGACTGCACCGGCACAGACAGACGCAGAGGTGGAAAAACACCAAAACAAGAAAACATGGCGAGCTCTCCAGAAGAACCTGCAGAGCGTGTCTCTGAGTGGTACAGACCCTTTACAAAACATTAGAATACCATGGAAAAGTTTATATATTTCAATAATTCCATCCAAAAAGTTAAACTTTAACAGATTATAGATTCATGAAGGGCAAAATATGACAGGAGAAGATGCACCAGCAAAAGAGACGACTGTGGGCTTCAGCAGATGATCAGACAGAGAAGATTCAAGAAGTCTAATTCTTTTTTAATTTTTTAGAAAGGGTCTGTATGTTACACCTCCTTCTGCTTTGCCCCTGGAGAGTAATTTAAAAGTGGTCCACAGTCTCAGCAGATGGTCACAGGATCCCCTGAAGAGTAGGAGCGGTTTTTTGCGTGCATGTCTACGCAAATCCCTCCTGTCCTTATGTCACGACAGGAGCCGATTCAAACCTCCTCGAAGGAACAAAGTAAACAATCCAGAAACTTCCACAATCTTAAGTTAACTTCAGCAGAGTGAGCTTTAACTGTGAAGATCCTCGAGGTACGAGCTACTTAGAGATACTTTAAGAAGTTAAATTTGGAAATTTATCCTTTTGACCTGCTCGGATCTTCCAGCTCAGAGTTAAAGAGTGAAACAGACAGAGAGTGAAAACTGAGAGATGCACATCCTTCCTAACCTAACATGCAAAAGTTTTCATATATTTAGAGGTAGTTTATTCTTTTAGCTCACATCAGTTCCTCCTGGTTTCTTGCCTGTTATTGCGTGTACATGTGCAGATCTATCAGCGTACAAAAACTCGACCACATGCGGGTCTAACAACCAGCACAGACCTGGTCCTGCATGGGTGCACCGAGCCAATACTCCCCACATCATCTCCAACTCCTGTTACACGGTGTGTATCAGGTGTCAGTGTTTCCTAATGTCTTTGTAATTATGCTCATGCACAAATCATCGCACCTGTGTGTGTTTGTTTGTGTGTGTCGACTTCTCACCTCGCTCTCCTTGCTCTCGTACTTGTTGGCGTTCTTGCCTTGGCTCTTCCTCCTCAGCTTCTTCAGGTCGGACTGGGATCTCTCCAGCGAGTCCTGCTTCATCTTGTGCTCCATCTGGTATCTCTTGAAAGTGGCCTGGAACAAAAACAAGGATCAGAGTAGATTTTTCAGAACCGCATTAAGTAATAAAACTACGAGTAGGTTGTGCAGATGTTCATTAAACTCCCTGTTAGAGAGCGCAACAGAAAATAATAACATGCTCGGTGTGTTATAATGCAGCTGAATTGGACCTATTTCCTCCTGCATTGTGTTGCAGTAATAACTCACATTAGGAAATAAATGATCTCTAATGACGGTGGAATATTATAGCAGTGCATCGCTGCATGTGGTAAGGTTGAGTTCAGGTGTTTAACTGTAAATAAAACCTGATTATAGTGGGGATTTTAAGGTAAATACATGTTTCATGAGCGCTTTCCAATGAAAGTCTGCTCCTCTCCTCATGTGGCCGTCAAAATTTCAGGGTTTAAACCCCAAATTTAAGGATAAATTTGCCTAAAGCTGAAAAGTCTTGGACAGAATTGGCGGAGGAGAATCTTGTGGGACTAAGAGTCAAACAAAAGTTGGAAAAACTTCTTTAACTTCTGCTAAATATGCAGAAAATGTCTTACAGAGCGTTGTGTGTGTTCTCCTGATCGACACAGACTCAGAGTTAGAGAGAAGATACTCACTGTCATGTATTTGACGTCCATGTCAGTCTTCTTCTCCAGCTCGGCTATTATCTCTCTGTGAAACCTCTTAAACTTCAGGAGGAGGAGGAGGAGGAGGAGGAGGAGAGAGGGAGAAGAAGAAGAAGACACACTGGTGATTAGGAGCTCGATGGGAGGGGTGCAACAGTTTGTCAGTTAGCTGTCAGCAAACAGGGAGAAACACCGAAGCCTCGGAGAGAAACAGAGAGCGATCATTTGGAGTGTATCTGGGGGCGGCAGCCGAGGCCGAGGCTGCGCTCATGAATGAGTCAGAAACAGAGCGTGGGAATGCCCACAGCTCCTCTCTCCTCCCGTCGATCTTCCCCTGCAGCTCTCCTTCAGGACTGCGGGGGCGGACACAGCCTGGTCGTAACGGGGCGTCAGACCCCACAAGGAGAGGATCGATCGAAGGACTGGAAAACCCACTGTGCACGCACGCACCCTCATCCGTCCAGGTTTCTCTCCGTTATACCCCCTCGACCTGAAGTGATGCGGTGACTCACACTCTCGAGTCCATTAACAAACATCCCACTCACTGATGCAGCGAGAAACAAAGTCCCAGAGGAGCGCCGCACATCCTCCAGACCCCCGAGATCAACTTCAAACTCTGCTGTCTTTGGTCGAGGGTTCATTAACGATAACGTGGCGACTCACTGGAACAGCTTCCTGTTTTTGTGAATGAGAAGAAAATCAATCGACGATCTACAACGAAGAGAAGTCAGGATGAAGGGGGCTGCATGAGAGCGTGTCAGTCAGTGCGTTTACATGCACAGCTTCATCGGACTAAGATCATAATTCGTTTATTTTTCGCTGAATCAGACTTCTCTCCTTGTCCTCGGAACGTGTCCTCCTCCCCAAAACTAGGGGGCAATATGAGTCTTTTCAGTGGCGCTGTTTCTGGTCCCTGCCAGACATTGGAAGTGTCTACAACTGCTGCTGGGCATTTTGGAGAAACAAGAAGATGGAGCATCGTACAGCTTTGTTTTTGTCGTACATGAGGTACGCTCTACTTTTTCTGCAGATGAGATGCATGCTACTGCTCGTGCTCATGGTGATTTTAAGAACGCTGTGTGATAATGGAGGACTACAACAATATCATGTCTTCAATGATTCGCTTTGTGCCGTCGCTACTGACTGAAAAACTCTCACTCTTGGTTGATGAGGGTTCATGTTGCAGTTGCTTCTGAGTTGAAAGTTCTTTAAAAGATAGAGACACTTGTCACTACACTTGTCCGATCACACTCCGACTTCGCTGGTTACATGGTAGAGAAAAGCGAATTTCAATCATATTATTTGGGTGTCTTAATCGGACTTCTCTGACTCCAATTGGAGTTCTCAAACTCAGATTATAGTTGGAATAAGGTGACTAAGGTCAAGGCAATAATTAAGGCAATAGTTCGGTTTCGTACTGAGTGATTTGCTCAAGAGCACCTTGGGAGGGCCAGGAGGGTCAAACACCTCTGAGCCAACACACTTGGCCGCGCTAGCAACACAAAAGAACTACAACAGTGGTTTGACTTCCTGTCACCACCGGAAGTGGAAAGCGACTTAGAGCGGCTGCCGGTGTCGCCAGGAGCGACTGCTGCTCCGACTCGGCTGCTACTTTTACCTAAATTTTTTTATTTATTTATGCATATTATGCACTTTTACCTAAAATAAAAAATCCAACGTTTTTTCAACATGTTTGGTTTTATTTAAACCGGAGCGGGACAGGAGTTTTGAGTGGGAGTGGGATGGGACGGGATTTTTTCTCTGGGAGTGGGACAGGACAGGAGTGGAAATCCGCTCCCGTGTCTTGCTCTAGTTTGTGTTTACGGATCTCCAGACGATTCCCGTTGTGTTCAGCAATGTGCAGATTCAATGCAGACGTGTAGCCCTAACCCTCCTTTGTTAGCCGTTTGTGAAATCTCAGGGCAAACTCACTTAAAAGTACACCACGTTTTTCTTTAAATTCAGGATTTTAACCCAATTAGGGACAAAAATGTTCAAAGGTGTCTCCTAGTATATTTGTTATATCAGGTTAAAGACACAGTCTATCTTGAAGTTGACATAAAAAGTGTAAAAGTGTCAGTTTAAGTTTTAAATTTAGCAGCTCTCTCCCTCCTGATATCAGCGTCCAGCCGAGTCTCTGAGTCATCCGTGTTGTTTTGAAAAGATTAAAACCATAAATGACGTTTGGGGAACTTCTGCAGAAATTTCACAGTCAAAACACCAAACAACTACTGAGAAACAAAACAAGGAGTTTTTGGCAGCTGCCTGACAGAAGAGAGTCATATTCTGTTTTGTGTGCTAGACTGAAATCATCGCCTCTCTATTAAACAAGCCGAGTTAGAGAGGATGCAAAGTGAGGATCTGGGGTTTTCCTGCCACAGCGTCAACAGGCTGATGTGAAATCATTCCAACCGATCAGAATCAAGTATTTAACACCTGGTATTCATCGTGCATTTCTCACGGATGTTTACGAGTCTAATAAATACAAAAGGATTAATAATAATCGAGCCCTCGCGGTGTTGTTAGCGCTCTAACAGCCTTTAATTAATCCGTATTTTCTCCATGCAGCACCTGAATCGGCTCCAGCTGGTGTTTTTTTTCAGGGGCATGTCGAGACTCGCCTCCTCGTCTCATCAAGAAATAAGCCAACAGGTGCTTCTGCAAACTAAACCTGTTGTTTCCCCTGCAGTCAGACTCTCTGTGTTTCTTATCTGTGGAGCTACTGTAGTTAATGTAGGTGAGGAGGAGGAGGAGGAGGAGAGAGATGAGGCAGTGATTATCCGTCAAAGGTGGGAGGAGGAAAGAGAAAGCTACAGGCTGACTGCGTGTGCCGCTGAACAGTGTTTAGTGAATTGGAGCTTGGCTTGCGGTTGTCGGGGAATACGCCGAACAAACAGGTTTGGGGAGTGATGCAAGCCGACGAGGAGAGCGAATCACAAAAACACATGTAGCACTTACATTTTCTTCCAGCTCGAGATGAACCTTCCTGTGGACCTCTGAGATTTCCATCAGAACGACACCTGAAACACAAAGAGAAGAAAGCAGGGAGGAAATAAAAGCACAGGTTAGGAAGAGTCTGACAGACGGGCCGACAGAGACTTCACAAAACAACAACAATGCCATCTTCAGAGGTTATGCAATAGTTTTAACAGCAAAACGACAATGAGAATTACATATACATGACACGGTGTGTGCTCAGAGTGAATGAGCAGGAATCCATCAGATGTGACAGACTACAGATTATATTACAAAGGACTTCCTTGGCTGGGATGAAAGGGAAACAAACACGTGTGCCAGGACCGGAAAAACCGGACCACCTACCAGCGGCTCTGCTAATCAAAAAGCTCTGATGGCAGACGGCCACGAATTATAACCCTCAGTCTTTAGACGTCGGCCAACAAGGTCAGAGAATTAGGATTATGTTAATCAATAACAGATTCACATAGACGTCCTTCCTGATGTGTGTGTGTGTGTTTGTTTATCCCATCGGCTGAGGCCTTGGTAGTGATAAAAACAGGCCCGTATTTGCAGCTGTGTTTGTGTTTCTAAACATACACGCGTGTGTGTGTTTGTCTGCAGGAGTCCCCCCTAACAAACGCCATTTTTAACACCCTGATGACTGGCAGACATGAAAGGACAATGTGTGTGTTTGCAACAAAACGTGTGTGGGCCGACCGTGCTGATAAGTTATTTTAGCACAGAGGGAGGCAGAGTCTATTTCAAGAGAGGGTGGTGGCAAAACAGAAAGACTACAGCGCTGAGGATCCACTAAAAGTTCAGGATCTGGTGTCTTTATTTTAGCATCATCAGTTCAAGATCCACTCAGGTGAAGATCACGCTTTACTTGTTGTTTACATGTTTATATGACATTTTTCTGATGCTACAGGACACATAAATTCAGGACAGATTAACTCGTGCTAGAAAGCAAGTCGAGCACAGACACAAAATAAAACATTCGGCTTCTTTTTAAAATAAAACATTCCATGTTTCAGGCGGATTGTATTTCACACCATGTAAACCTTGCAAAGCCTTATAGACAGCATTTCATCACGATGATACCACAGATGAGAAGATACTGATTCTAAAAGTCTAGAAGTAGATTTCCTCCTCTGGAAGGACACAATCTACATGGTATATGGTTAGCCTCTGTGGCTAAAGACAACTTGTTATTGCGTGATTGCACGGGAATCCGTGGGTTCTTGTAAGTTCTCGTGATTCCTGCTGTCTGTAATCCACCAAGAAACTCGTCTCACAAACTGATCCGGAAGGAAAATCGCCGCTGTGTCGTTTCGGATGCATTGAAAATTGGGGGTTAGGGTTAGCTGACTGAATCTCTCACAGACCCAAACAGAAGGTTCAAAGTCAGTGAGATTTCTTACTTCACAAATCCAAGCTCCGCCCCCTGAGCCCCGCCATGCAGGCCAGACTCGTAGAAGTAGAGAGGATGATCACAAACAAGCGTGTGTGTTAGCGAATTGCAATGCTAGTGAGAAAGCTAATTATGATATCAACTTTCATCATGTCCCCAAAGACATTTGTGTCCAAGAGCTGAATAGCTCCGATGTGACCTGCTACTTCTACTACACTGGTAATGTCCGGATATGTAGATTTGCTTCCTAGTGTTCCTGTTCCCCTGTAGTCTTGTCTTGAGTTTGACCCTTGTTCTCTCATGTTCTCAGTGTTTTATTCCTTATATCAGTGTTTCCTGTTTTACTTTGTTGTAGTTTATTCCCTGTGTTTCTAGTCTGGTTTTTCCTCCTCAGTTTTCCCTCCTCTGTGATTGTCTCACCTGTGTCTCAGTGTCTCACCTGCCTCTCGTTGCTCGTTTCCCTGTGTGTATATTTAGTCCTTGTCTTCCCCTGTTTCTTTGTTGGTTCATTGTGAATTTGTGTTGTAAGTCTGTGCGTCAGTGTTTTTCCCCCAGTGCCTTTGTTGGATTTTGGATTTTTATTTCTCGTGGTTTTTTTGGGAGTTTTTCTGTTGGACATTCTAAGTAGATTTTTGTTGCTTTTTATTTAGTTTGTTTTGAATAAATCTTTTTGTTGTCCAAACCTGCAGCCATGCCCTGCTCATTAAAGACACTGCCTTCAATTAGGAGGGGCTCTATTAGAAGTTTTACGGTAATTATAGGACAAGACAGCAGGACAACAAAAGGATCTGTCTCAAACAGAAACACGTGTCCATTAGTTGTTTATGTAGATGTTTGTGCAGGAAGACACTTCACTACAGCTTATATTTATGCCTGGAAACAGTGTGAGAGAAATAAAAGCCTTGGCAGCTAAAAAAAAAAACATCTTAAAGGGAAATAAATTGGAGGAAAGTCCTTCAAGAGACGACAGCTGATGCATAAATGTAAAGCTGCATTGCTGACGTGATTAAACTCTTCCTGCAAAAACAGGATGGAAACTTGATGCTTATTCTTCAGACTTTCTCCCACACTGAGCTTTTCCCACGAGTGTTTATTTTTTCCAAACACAGCGAGCGAGTAAATAAAAAAATATATTTATCAGCAGCCAACATGTACAGCTGCACTGTACTCAGGGGTGTTAGCAGTGATGCAACCTTGAGAAAACACAGATTTTCAGGGTGGAAATTAGAGACACGGACCAACGCAGGGGTGAAGCGTTGGCTCTGTGAATAAACACAACTTTAGACATTCAGCGTTACCTCATTAAAACTGGAAAAGCAAGAAAAATATGAGAAGAGAAAAGAGTTTTTTTGATTCAATCATCGATTTTTTCCTCGCAGTAAATAAAACCACTTCGTTTTTTTTGGTGAGGTGTGATCGCAGTTCTGACGAACTCTGTGACGGATGTTGAGTCTGATTTATGACAACATCCTGTAGTTTCATCAGCAGGTAAACAGAGCTCCTCCCTGAAGCTCCGTCCGCCCCACCTTTTACCGCCACACCCTCCCTGACAGCGAGCACAGACCAGGACGATGGACAACAGACCATCGCAGAAGAACAATAATAATATCAATACATCACCAAATGTTAAATACTCGATCAATACACGTGAAACTTCTACTGAGTCTGCACAGATATCTGATCCTCATGAATCAACGGCCACTTTACAGCAGATAACACTCATTTGTTTATTGTTGCAACACGTTGCCAAGCAACAGGTGTTCCTGATCCAGCAAGGCGTGAGGGCTAAAGTGTGTCATGATGTGGATAAGAGTAGAGGCGATTCTGCACCATTAGCGGACAAACTGGGACAGAGAGACGGGCTGCTGGAGTCCTGTCAGAAAACCCTGACAGGTTTTTATCAGCAGGTTGGACTGACTGAGGAGTGAAACGATGATGGTGGATTTTAGTGTTTGTTAACGATCTACCTAAACCCGCTCACCTGCTTCCTTTCACACCTGCTGCCTCTCTTTCCTCTGTTTCCTCTCAGTGCGATCACTCTCGACATCAACGGGTTTTTACATTTACAGAAAATGAATCAAAGGCTTTAAACAGTTTTTAGTCTGCCTGCTCCTCTCTGTGCCTCTGTATTTACTGACTGTTTGACAGTCGTTCAGTGTCTCTGCCAAACTGATAACTCTTATCTTAAACAGGCACCCTCCCTCTGCCTCAGCTGTTAAATATCTTGTCCTACATTTATGTGACTCTGTGAACTGTGTCCCTCTGGTACCAACACAGGTGAGTCAGGGCTCAGGTGTAGTTTACTCACTTTACGGCAACGCCTGTATTAACGAATATTGACATTTAATAACTAAACCTTCAATATACAACAAACCTACTTTTTTTGAAGGTGTGTTTTCAGGGGAAAAGCCTTACACTCACAACGGCTAACAACAACTGACAACCACTTACATCAACTGACAACAGACATTTGCTAACAACAAAATGACATCAGCTAACAACAGCTGACGACCACTGAAAACCGCTAACAACGGCTAATAACGGCTAACAACAACGGACATCAGCTAGTGACAACTGACAACCACTTACAAAAGCTGACAACTGCTAATATCAACTGACATTGGCTAAAAACAGCTAACAACGGCTAACAATAACTGACAACTGCTAACAACGGCTAATAACGGCTAACAACAACGGACATCAGCTAGTGACAACTGACAACCACTTACAATAGCTGACAACTGCTAACAACGGCTAACAACAGCTAACAACGGCTAACAATGGCTAAAAACAGCTAACAACAGCTGACAATGGCTAATAACAGCTAACAACGGCTAACAACAGCTAACAATGGCTAAAAACAGTTAACAACAGCTAACAACAGCTGACAATGGCTAACAACAGCTAAAAACGGCTAACAACAGCTAACAATGGCTAAAAACAGCTAACAACAGCTAACAACAGCTGACAACGGCTAACAATCGCTAACAATGGCTAACAACAATTGACAACTGCTAACAGTAGGCGTCCATCTTGGTTTTCCGACTTGTTTACTGGAACGCCATCAACTTGGGTGTAGCGTCATTCCCAGCTCCAACATCCGGGTTAACTGGTCAAAGTCATCGTACGCTTGAGCTCACTTTGCTCCGCCTGCTTTTGCTCTCCTTAAGACTGTTTTTCTGCACACACCTGCTGATGCATGATTGGTCAGCTGTGCTACAAACAGAAAACTCTTCCCTGCAGATTCAGAATGTGTAAACATCATCACCAAGCAGATGGACTAAAAGCTTTTAAAAACGTTGCATGAAAAAGAGAATATGATAAATCAATAAAACACGACTCTGTTTCCCTTGTATTGCAGTTGTTCTTCTAAGAAACGCAGCCTGTGATGTTTTTTCTGCTGCAGTAATAACCAGCTTCCCTTTTACTCCTGCTGACTGATGATGGTTTTCATGAACGTCTTACATACCATAGGTGTCCTGTTTTCTCTTGACGTCTTCGCATAATTACGTGTTTTGTGCATGAGCCTGTGCGGTAATGTGACAGGCTTTCCCCTCGGGGACAATCAAAAGTGTCTCAACCTCGATCGCTATGGCGGTTAGAGTTTTGTGAAAAACAGAACGATCTCTCTCTGCTGTCAGCGCACTAAACTACTTACAGCACAGATTGAAATCAGTCGCCTCTGGTGCGGCGTAAATCATGCAAAGAAACATGTTGTGTTCTGATCTTTGAGAAGAAAGTAAAGCAGAGGTATGTGGAGCTGAAACACGCAGAGAGAGTTTTATATGTCATTAACTAATCTGAGTGAAGGAACTATCTTCTGATGCCGGCTCATAAATTATGAATATTTTCGTTTTGAAGATTTAGCGCTGAATATTTTTGACTTGTAGACAAAAAGGAAATTTCTGAGAGGTCGATAAGAAAATAACCACCAATGCAAAACCTCGTCTTTCTACCGAGGAGCGATCACCTGATCACAACAGACTGATAAACTTAAGAGGAATCTCAAGGCGTCATTCTTCAGAGCAGATAAAAAACAGAGCAGGATCATGTGAAAGAAAAAAAGCGAGGAGCGTACGACTCTGAGCCGATTCTGAAAACAACATTTTGCTTCGAGCATGCAAAGCGGCCCACAGCTCTTCCTCTGTGCTTTACTGTGGGCAAAATAATCCTGGCACCGGACAGAGCCACCTGACACACCATGCAAACATGTTTGGATTATGTAAAGTGGGCTTGGTGCCACTCGAACAAGCCAGGACTATCAAAAGACAGCGAGTGTGTGTGTGTGTGTTTGTCTGCGAAAGTGTGTAGCTGATCTGGACGCTGCATGTTTGTGGCGGCTTTTACAGACTCTGCAGGGTCACAGTGAAACGGTTCGGTCCTTCAGAAACCCGAGTGCTTGAATGAAACAACTGTTGACATTTGAACTCTCGAAGAAGAGGAGGAGGGGCGAGTGAAGGAATTAAAGGAAGAAGGTAGGAGGACGAGGCGCACCGGTCCTCAAATGCCTCTCGAGAGTATCTGGTTTCTGGTCGGCTACGCTCCACCGAGGATCAGGTTTCTACATCCTCGAGAACTTTTCCAGAACTTCACATTCAGATTCAGGATCAGTCTGTGGATCCTGCTCAGTCCTGGAGAGTTCATAACGCACTCAGGTTAACAATCGCGCTTCATTAGACGAGATGACTCTCAGCCGTGTGCGTTTAATCGCCTCCTGCTTTACATAATCCCCCATAATGAGTCAGACTGGACTGATCTGTCTCCGTCTGTCTCTCCCTTTCATGGATTAGTGGGAGCTGGAGATGGTCCACGGGTCAGAGGTCGCCGTGACTCAGCTTTGACATTTTAACTTCACGCTGTTTTGTAATGCTAATGTCATCTGTTCCGGGACCTGACGTTGTTTTGTTTTCGTTCTGCAGAGAAGGAGAGCGTCTGACGGTAATCGCTGAAGTTTTTAATTACTCTGATAATAATCTGCAGTTTGTTTGCATCCCTCCCTTCATTTCCTCCTCACTTCCTATCACAGGAAGTAAATCCCGAGCCGTGCTGCTCATACTTAATGTACTGTAAACTGCTCCGTCTGACAGCAACTAAAAACAGCTCAATGCATGGGAACTAAAAAAAGAGGTGAAACCGGGTCAGAAGACGAACTTCCGTCTGAAAATCGTCAGTGTCAACGATCGAAATCCTCAAAATACGAACGTTTTAAGAACAGTCAGTTTCACATCTGCGACCCACTAAATCCTGACAACAGAAGTCGGTATATCATCGGTGTAAAATTGAGCCACATTTCTCTTCTCTCTTTTCTGGGTGAAAACAATAAAATTGATGTTTATTTTGGCAGCAGTGCAGCTCTGCGTCCCTCTGGGGCAGATTTTTTATTCCAAACAAGCGAAGAATGTCGAGGGGGGCGCCAAGGAAAAACTACAGTAATAAAAGACGGTCCACATAAACTCAATATTTAGAAGTTTAAGGTTATTTACCTCCAGCAGATTGACTCTCCGTCTGTTTTCAGTCAAACAAACTGTATTCTTGCGCAAAGTCTGACCTCTACAAGTGAGCAAAAGACGTGCCAAATGGAGTTTTGGCTTGTCATATCTCACAGGATCCTTTCTCCATCATCATGTCAGTGCAAATTTGGAAAGCTCTAACACTTCGCTACTTATTCAGGGAAGTTTTTAGAAAGTGATTTATTTAAAGGAGTTTTATTTGTCATTCCAGTCTGCAAGACAAAAAAGACAAGAAACTAGAACTGAGGACCCGGTATTAGCCACAAAAATATACAGACATATACTGAGTGTCGGATCGGTCCAAAACACATGATGTTGGACGCCTGGAAAGCCGCTGTACTGCTGCATGACTTCTGCATTTCTCACGCTTATTTTTCCCCATTAAATACTCCGTTTATGTTTTTCATGATAATTAACTTGGCTAGTTTGAGTAACTCTGATTTACCGACCGGGATCTTTTTTCACCGACCACGAGTTGGCGGCCAAACACATCATAATGCTCGAGTCTCACTCTTGTCTTTTTCTGAAACTTGGCAGCCCTGTGAATGTGTGTGGATATTAAACAGTCTCTGCAAAAGATCACAGACATGCAGTTTGCAGGACAAAGAGGGACTTTAACGTCTGATTGTTATTCAAACATCGGATTATTTCCAAACTACAGCTACAGTGTAGAAAATGTATAAGGTCCAGTTGTAGTGGTTGTCGAGGTTGTCTTTGTGTTTGTGGTGTGATGTTTTTTTTTGTAGACTCCAGGAAGAATAGCGATGGCCTCAGCCAAAGCTAATGGAGATCTAAATAAACGAAACAAAGCAGAAGTAGTAAAACAAAAGTTCCAGTTTCCACTCTTAATTTCATAATCAGTTCATCTTTGATCGGTGTCTACTCTTCTGTCGTGAACATTTACTTCATACCCATCTTTAAATGTCTCCTGTCTCACGTCTCCTCACTGTCTTTTCTTTTTGCTGCTGTTTTGAGTCGTTGGGACGACCAGGGGCCGTGTGATTGGACAGGTGGTCGAATAAACGTGGCCGTGTTTGAATATTTGATGGTTGATGGAGAAAGCGGGAGGCATTTCTGGGACTGCAGCGCTAACTTTAAGCCTCTTAAGGTGTCATGGACCTCGGTTAAACAGACACCGGTGATGGGAGGTGCTTTAGCTGCTGAATACAAGGATGTTCTTTCACAGATCTACACCCCAAAGCTACTGAGCGACCACAAAAACTCATTAATGATGTTAAAGTTTGAGGTCAGAGTCGCAGAAACTCCGACAGCTGTTCTTCTGTCTCACGCACAAAAGCTGAAAACTCCTGCCAACTTTTTTAGAGGCTGCGGCTCTTTGTTTTCCTCCGGTGTTGATCTCTTCTTTATGACTCCTCTTAAAAAGTGTTTTAACACCAATTAAAAATTAATACGAAGATCTGCTGAAACTTCTCTTCTCACTTCTTACTGTCTAAAACGCTGCAGCCGTTCAGAAACCGAGACTGTCTCCAACACGCCGAGCAGATGGAGAGCTGAGACGTGGATTTATCGTCACACAGTAAAAGCTTGTTATCCTCAGAATCTATCGTAGCTGTGATACATTTGAGAGCCAGTAATGATCCTATTAAGGCTTCACTATATGTCTCTGAATGCTTCAGTCTCTGTTTGGAGTGCCAGGACTTGCACTGCAGCACAACACAACACCACGTGGCACTTCCCATTGTGCCGCCGAATTTAATTAGCAGTTTTGCTTCTAATCAGCAGGGGAGTCCAGAGACACGCGGCGGTTAAATCAGAGAGCGCCACCGGTGACGCCGCTGAGAGAGGACGCCAGACGTCTTCGAGCTGCAAATGAGCCTGTGGGAACGGGAGCGTGGGGAGTCGGCTCCGAACTAACAGAGGAGCAAACAAACTCTGTGCAGAAATGTGTTTCTTTTTTCACACACTCGAACACGTCCGTTAATCAAAGTGTAAGTGCTGCTGTGATGGAGCTACAGGACGGCGTTTGTTTGTCTACCTCAATAATAACGAGGAGGCGTGACAGCGCACACTTGTTCTCCTTGTTTACTCTCTGTCGTTTTTAAAAAAGTGACACCGCTCGCTTTAAACTGAAGGAACACAAACCTCTGAGTTTGTTTTCAGTTTGGAGAGGCTTTTCTTCCATTTCTCTCTGAAGATCAAACCTCTGATTCTTTCAGACTGTCGGCAGATTTTTTTTCTTCCACACGCTGAAGGAAAACGTGACCAGATTCACCAGTTTGAACCCGACTGGCAGAGTGTTTATGTTACCTTGTTTATCTTGACTTTATGAGCGCTGACCTCATTGATCGTTGGCTACAGTAAATGTGCCAGTTTGAGACCTCTATTGATCGAGGACACGGAGATAAAAACACCAGAGTCATAAATTCAGACGAGTTACTGAAGAAATGATCCACAGAGACTAACCGCATGAACGCGTCCTTTAAAAACCAACAATGAGACCAAAGTGAGTCCGCAGGAGACGTGGAGACTTACCTAATTCTCTGGAGACGGGAGACACTGCGGCATTTTCTCCAATCTTTGCCATCGCATCAAAATACAACTTTCCCGCCAGGGTCATCGCTGAAAAACGAGAAAATGAGAAAATTAGTGAATGAGAAAATGTTAAAGCAGAGTGACTGAAACTAGATAAGGCCTTTTATGACATGATCTACTTTTACTATTAGTTTTGGGAATGATAACGGTCTGTTATCATTTTTTCAGGGCTGATACGCCATTACTCGTTGTTAATGAGAGCAATAACCGTATTTGCAGCTGACACACATTCACAGTCAAAGTTGGAAACTTTCTGTCAAAATGTAAAATTTAAAATGTCAAAAACATTTTGTGACTGTCTTTAGAAATGTTTTAATCCAAGCTAAAATGCTCAACATCATGCATAGATGTAAACTTCGTTAACCAGATTCAATTAGCCAATCAGACAGTGTTGTGGGCGGGACAGAGTGGTGCTTGAAAACAGTCACATAAATCACACTTTTCAATCTGTTAATGTGTGAAATAAAAGGCAGATACAGAGATCAGTCTGAAGGCTCACAGTTTCCTGAAGTGTTCTACTGGACACACATGGATGAATCAGTAACTCTGAAGATGCTTTTCAACCGCAGGAACTTTTCTTTGGTACTATAAGAACCTTTTGAGGAACTGTGAGCGTTTCAGCCGCAGGAACTACAGTCTAACTTTATTCCTTTTTTTAAAGCTCCCTGCTCGTGTTTCTTTAATGTATTTTTCGCACTATAAGGCGCGCTTAAAATCCTTTTGGCTTGTCGGAGCGCTGCAGCTATCGTAGCCTCGCTGAGTTATTTACTGAGTTAAATAAAGTTTGACTTATCTGACTGTTTTGTTTGGCTTAGTGCACCTTATATCTTCATCAAATGTCCCAGGGATTTTGAGATTTCAGTTACACATTAAAAAGAAAAGGTTGTCAGTTTACATATTAAGTATCTGATGCTATCCGATCAGTAAAAGCATACAAATACATGATTTTTGACTCTGTTTATGTCAATTTCTTTATCCTCTTTGGGTCTTTAAACAGATTTAGGTGTTAGTCTGATTAGGAAATTATCTATTTTTACTAGAAAAGCTGAAAAACAATCTTCACTTTAAGACGCCATCTGAGGAAAACGAAGGTTAGACAGGTAAAGGCATCAAAGAGTGATAAAAAGCTGTGCGAGTAACTTCACTTTTGCATTATTTACCCAGAATTTCACAGGAATTTTCACAGACTTGCATGTAAACGTCAAACGAAGAGGATCACCACCTGACAGCGTGAATAAATACTCACCTGCTACTGATTTCTCGTAGTTCTTGCCCAGGTTGACCAGGTTCCTCAGTCCTGGGTTGAACTGGTCCATCACACTCTGATTGGGTGGAAACAAAAGAAGAAGAAAAAAAAGGAGGGGACGGTTAGTCACACAGTGTCCATTCATGGTTTAAATAGTTGAGATGTTGTCCAAACACATCCCAGTTTCCAGGTGGGTGACTCAAACACGGCGGGGTGACATCACACGGGAGTAAAGGTGGAGGAGAGTGAGACACTCAGTGACATGATGGAGTGATTATTAACCGGAGCCGACACCTTTTGGGAACAAATCCACCAAACCAGATCCTCGACAGTCCTGGATTCAGCTCCGTAAAAACTGTAAATAACTCTTCATAAAGGTGAGGCCCACCTGCAGCCGAGCCGGGCCCTCATTTGCTGCCCTCCTCATGTAAACAGATTGTATTATACGGAGGTGATTGCTGCTGGAGGAGCCTGCTGTATAATCTTACCAGCACACAGCACACACAGGCAGCTAAATTATTAAACCCGGAGTCTTTTTCCTGCGTTTCATCACAGCGAGGAGCTGCGGGGGCTGTCCTGAGAGCGGGCCCTAGACTAGATGTGTTTTCTGACCCCTGCAGCCACATTGTACTCCACTCACCTCCACTTTAATAGATGCTAATTCATCTATGAGGTGAATTAAGTTGCATAACTATGTCTAGAATATAATTAAAGGTGGTTTAAATCAATTTATCCTGATTGTTTCTCTTCTGATGGGAATTTAATGGTTTTAGGACAGTTTTCTAACTATCCAACAGTGCAAAAAAAGGAGTTAAGCTATTTTAAAGCAAGAACTTATCTATAAAAAATATATATGATGATTCTGGGGAACATAAGCAGCATTAAAAGGAGGAATGGCTCTCCTAGGGTGGGGCTATTTTCTTTAAAACCAGTGATCTGAACCCACTTTTGGAGAGTTTATGTCTCTCAGAGGAAAAGTGCAGCATTGCCACTAAATATTCAGACTATTATGAAGAGAAAGCGCTTATAACTCTTTAATAACTGCAGTAACCCTGCCATAAATGTTAGGAATGAGTTGTTTTTAGTGCTTGAGTTTATATCAGAGCTTAATAGTCCATTAAGTCTCAGCCAAGTTGAGTTTAGAGGTTTTATTGTTCAGTTAAAAAGACATAAACTACAGCTGGTTAAAAACAACAAAGTGAGGAGGTCAGCAGGTTAAAGTTTCTGAGCTGCAGCTTCATGTCATGGAGGTTTTCTGTCCTCTCCTCTGTCGTGGTCGCACCTGTTGTGTTCCCAGCAGCACTCACCTTATAAGTACTTTCAGTCAGCTTGTACACCTCATCCACGCTCCTCGACATGTTGACTTCTTATTCCTCACGACGCCAAACAACGAAAAATGTCTGAATATCACAGGAAAAAAAACGGCGACCCCCAAAATATTTCAACAAAAGTAAGTCCAAGAGGAGCAGAGTGGCCAAACCTACGGACACCTGAAATCCCTCATATCCAAGAGGAGACGCAGGACGCACACATCAGAACCAAAAATAAGGTGAAAACTGAGAGGAGGAGAAAAGAGGAAAGTGGAGAGAGAGAGAGAGAGGGAGGGAGGGAGAGAGAGAGAGAGAGAGTCTGTCGCTGCTGCCGCTCCGAGGGTGAGCACCAAAAAAGCTGAGCTGTCAAACTTGTTGTAGGTGGTTCGTTCAGGAGGGGAGGAGGGCTGTAGAGGTAGGGAAAGGTGGACTCACGTGTCAAGCGAACCAGACCGAGAGGTGAACCAGACTTCCCATCAGTTCACCTTCAAATTAAACTTGATTCAGATGGTCGAAGTTGGCATGAACGAGCCAACAAAACTCTCAAACTTCGATAGCAAACCTGAAAATGTTGACTGGAGTTTCAAAATCGGTTTAACTCTCTCTAAAAACATGCCTTCAACTTATCTTCTGTCATGTGCCAAACGCGCGTTTGCATAAATTACGCACCAGACTTTCTCATATACATTTCTTTTACCAAACCTCATGCATTTATGTGGCTTTTTTTTTGACACATTCCTATTCCTTTCAATACATTTAGTGTCATTTTTAGCCTCCCCAAATCGTTTTACTCTTCCATGCTTTTATTTTGAAACACTCGCCTCATTTGGATCTCTGTGTCGCGCTTGACTCTCGCTGCTGCAGGTAGAAAAAAGTGGACAATAGACTTCATACAGGAGACGGGCGCTCCCTGGAGGTAACTAATCCTTAACACAATGAGAACACAACATACCAAATACCAGACACACACACACACACACACACACACACGCACACACACGCGCGCGCGCTTTTGACGAGATAATGCGGCTTTAAGTGCAAGAATTTCATATATCATGAAAGTTGGGACTTTTACGGCACAATCCACGCCTGATAAAGTTCACTTTTATTCCTTTACTCCTTATCTTAACACCATTATTCGACATACTTGATATAACATAGTTTAAATATGACAAACAGATTTTTAAGGTGTCTTTCTCTGTCGTCCTGCAGACTCACCTGTTGAACTTTATGCGTAAAAGGAAACAGAAGCTCCAACTTTTAAAACACTTTTGAGGAAGTTTCCTGCTCCACCACTAGATGTCCCCCACGCTCAGTCGATTTTTTTTTTACAACCCCAGAGACATTATAAAAACCAATGAGACAGAAAAGACACGCATGCATTCATAAATCACACAGATTTGTGCTTCAATTTCACGTTTTAACATCCAATAATAATCTGCATGTCTCCTTTTGTGAAATCCAACATGCTAAAGCCACGAATAAAGAGGCTGTAAAAGCTTAAATATACGAGCTCTCTGATGTCAAAGTTGGAGGTTTTGGTCGACAAATCAAACAAAGAACCTGCAGATTTCATGAGTGTTAAAGAAAATCTTTGCATTGTAAATGTCATTTCATATTAAACTCTGGAAAAGCTCTTGCAGCCACAGGGAGCAAGAAAAAGAGCGGAATATAAAATCAGATTGTGCCCCCCGGTTCTGTTCAGATACACCACTGTCTCCAGCCTTTAAACCGCTGTAAGGTGACACACACAGACACACACAGACACACACAGACATAAAGTCATTACTCTCCAAAGCCACAGTGTAAGTAGCTTCTACATCGTCTGTTATCTCCTGATACACCGCCGTCCTGACAGCCTCCCACTGAGTTATGTTCCTGTGGGCTGGAATCAATAGTGACAGAATCTGAAGCTAAATAAAGCAGGATGAGGGTCAATTATAAGCAGTCGCTCACATTTTTTCTCAAAGACTGAAGAGGCATTTCAGCTTTTCACCAACTTTCTCAGCTCAAGGACGGACAGGAGCTAAAATTAGGATCTGGTGTTATTTCTCCTGAATGGAGTGTTTACGTAAAACTTTGAGTACTACAAAGAAAGTTTGAAACTCTTATCAAGTAGACTTTCTGCTAACATCGAGGCCACTAAGACAAGACGCTTACAAAACGGTGACCGGTTTAATTCTTATCATGCTGATTTATGTGCAAAGACGCCAAAAGAGGAGATGTGACTCCAGGATTGACAGCTCTATTGACAAAATCCTACAACACTTAATCCTGGATTATCAGAGCAGAGGAGGAGGAACGCCAACTGAAAACACGACAAACACCGAAATAAAACTTGTTGCACCCGCTGTAACCCCGAGTCCCAGCTTCAAACGGACTCCAGGATCAGGATTGTGCCGACCAGGGGGGTCTTTAACGGATTATTGGAGAGTTAAAATGTGTGTTTTGGTGACAGAAAACAGGATTGGAGTGGAGACGAAGGTGCTTTACCCATTTCATAGACAGTCAGTGGATTAAATCAGTGTTGATGCAGAAGAAGAAGGTTGTTTGTTATATTTATGAGATCCTTCTGGGTCTTTAAAGTAGCAGAACCTAAATTAGGGATGTGCACATTAACTTTAAATGTTGTTACAGCTCTGCATTAGAAATGACTGTTGGTTAAACAAATTATAAATATTCTTTGAGGCCCAAAATGCAGTTTATATTTTCTGTACAAGCCATAGAGCTGCCACGCTCCACTCACAGGAGCCTTAGCTCGGTATTCCTCTCTGCTGTAATGCTCTAAAGCTCTACTACCCTGATGGAAACGAGCGCAGATGAGCTTCATTTAACCTGCACAGGCGTGTGGATGTCCACCTGCAAGGAGGACCAAAAGCGGGGTGTGCTAGCTCTGCTACAGTTAGGCAAAGTCAGACTCCAGACATTTGACCCTCTTGGTTTACAAAGAAAACTGTGTCCACACCACTAGGTTTTCAGAGTGTGGGTAGTAGTGTAGCGAGAAGCTCAAGCCCACGTTAGCCAATCAGAGTCCCGCATAGCAGCAGCAACAACAACAACAACGTCCCTTCCTTCTTTCCTGCGCACAATCTGCTGTCGGCTACTTAAATCTCAGTTTTTCTCTGTTTACTTGCAAACGTTTTTAAAAAGCATCATTTTCAGGGGCGAATTCTCCGTTTGCGTCTTAACGAAGGGTGCAAACGATGATTAATGTCTCAGTTTTTAAAAATAATGTAGTACATATAAACGGGGCCTGAGACTCTGAGATCTCATATTTAGCCACGTTAGATAAATTGTGCTTAATGTTTGGCTGGTTTTCTGAGTGTTTTTGCACCTTTGCACCTTTGCACCTTTTTTTACTTGTCACTAGAGGTAATGGATGGGTGTGTGTGTGTGTGTGTGTGTGTGTGTGTGTCATTGGGGCTGATTGATTGTCAAGCGGATGTCACCTGTACCTGCCTGTGAGTTGTTTGCCTGGTTCAGAGAGAAAAGGAGGCAGGGTAAAACTTTGTTCCTTCACATATTTAAAATCTACATCAAATACATGTTTTAAAGTTTGATTTGTTGAAAGAGAAAATAAATATCTCAGAACTTCATTTCCCCTTCTTGTTTTCCCCTCTCAGCGACTAATTTAGGTTTGATAGTCACATTTCAGCACCTTTTCACTAATCAGTTGGCCAAAATTGTCATTTCAATTTTAATTATTAGGAAATTAGTTTCTTTGGGATGTTGGTAAATTAAAATGAGATTGATTGAATCTTCTACAGTAGTTTTACTTTATTGTCACTATTATGATCGTTTGTTTGGACTTTTAAGAGAGAGGACAGAATCGTCGCCTTTCAGGTCTATATCCTCTGTAGATGGGATGCATAATCTCACTGCTAAGCCGAACTGTCACCCTCATATAATGTAATTTTTGTATTTTTGTAATGTAATCCACTCACAGGCTTTGTCTTTTCTCTGCAACTCGATTGTCTATTCTCGCCTGTGAAACAAAGACCAGCGCTGGGAGAGGAAGTCTTGGCCTGGATATCCTCTGTGACTTTATGGAACACTACAAACCCCCAAAACGGCCACTACTCCAGGCAGAAGTTACGAGTTATATCCAACACTGGCTCATAAAATTCACACAATTACGATTTGAAAAGAAGTGGCCAAAAATTGAAGTCCTAACCTGCAGGAGAAGACAGAATGAAGCGATCCCTGAGTTTGTTCGTGTAGGCGACTGCAGCTGCAGAAACATATTTTCCCAATTTGGCATCTATATAACCTGCAAGATTGTCAGTTACAGCCTCTGCAAAACTTTCCCCCGAGCTTCAGGTCTCACCACCTCCCCAGCCTCCACCTGCAGGCCCCGGCAGGAGAGTTTGAGATATTGTCACGTATCACTGCATGCAGAATAAATCTGCGAGGAGTCATGAGGATGTAGACGATTCGCCAAAAATAAACAATCCTCTGCGGCTGGTTTAAAAGTTTCCGAGTCTGGCTGGAGTGTAATTGATTTCAAAAGCATCAACAAGGGGGGCAAAGAAGAGAGACGGAAAATTACAGTATCATATATGTGACTTTACTCTGCAGGAAAACAATCATAAAACTCTCAAGGCTGTAAAGCAGTTCTGTGACATAAGAGTTTTCAAAGAGCAGGTTCTGTACAGACTGTACTCTCCGACTCTCTTGTCCACGCTCCACCTCTCATTGATCCTCTGCTAAGTATGCTTGTCTTCCCGAAGACGACCTCCAATCTGTTGTAACCGAGAAGCTCAAGCCCACCGGAGCATTCAGAAGGCTGCCTGCTTATACCGTGCTATCGCTAGCAAGGCCACATCTTTTTCAGACCAGCCATGTTTTTCCTGGCAGTGCTTCACAGGTGCGGTTAGGTTGGACAAAGGAGACGGTTTATAATTTGCTTTTCGCCCTTGAAGAAGGCGCCTCGTTTCTGCCGTTTACAACTGAAGAGCTTTTTGAGAGAATAATCTACGAACACGTTTGTTTGAAAGCCTCTAAAAATTTGGCTTTAAGTGGAAAAAAATTGCATATTTGATGCCAATGGAGTCTCAGTTCATTCTTAAATCTGACTTTTTTTTTCAATGAAACCACCAGGTTAAAAAACAAACTCATTTAACGTGATGATAATTCGACATGGGTGTGGCTGAACACATTTCTGCGCCGCAAAATATTAACTATTGTATGGTGACTACACGTCCTCTTTTACCTGGATATGTCCTCTTTTTTGGGGGGCTGTTTGGCCTTGTCCGGGAGAGTTTATAAAACCCTTCAAATGTCCAAAGTTTTGAGTTTGTGTCGCGTGGACTTACTGAGTTAGAAGCGCGTGAAAACCACTCGCCCAACCCGAAAA